GAAAGAAGGCATACTCTAAAATCTCAGGAACAATGCTTATTTTTCAGTGCTTTCTTGAATAATCATTGTTTTTACTCATACATATATGTATCAAAAATTCAAAATATGTGTACATGTGTATTTGCATATTGTATATAGGAAAAAAATTAAAACTCTCTTTCAAGTATTGAAATCTACATAGTTTTGTAAGATAACTTTCACTTTGGTTTGTATAACTCTACAGGTAACTTCATTTGGGTAGAATAACATAAATTAGACGCATTCCAGATAGTGAAAATTGATTGGAGGCAAGTTCTTCAATGAAGTCAGTCGGGTATCCCCTTCTGTTTATTTACTGTCTGCTCATATCAATTGAGTCGGGTTTTATTATTTCACCTAGACATATGCCACAGGATGTTACCCATATTTTGTATAAATTCTTCTTGTAAATAAACACTCATTCATTCATTCATAAAGGACAGTGCAAATTGAAGGCATTGATTCATTTCTACCCAACTGTCTATTTCTTAAAAATCTCCTGGAATAGGTTGATTTTCCACATTTATCAGTTTAGTAAAAACTGAATATACCAGGTGATACACGTTTGACTTCTGACGTCTGCCACAATTGTTTCGAACAGAACACCCAATACTTATATTATTTATGGAGATTCCAAAAATTGAATAGTAATTATGGTGTTCTTTCACTCTTTACATTCAATTTTCGCTTGTGAATGTGGAAAATATTCAACTGTACTGGGAGATTCCTCAGAAATAAATAGATTAATTCAATCACAACTTCTCGAGAGCACTCACTTCAACGGACGCTTTGTATACGAACCCTATGTGTAATATATTTTCGAATTCAGCTTCTCATTGAGATTGAATAATATATAGGATGCTCACCTCCACTCTGCTGCAATCCCCACAAGCAAGCTAGTTATACAGGGTGTTTCAGAATTAAATGTACAAACGATAACTGCAGATAGAGAACACCTTGATGGTTCCAAATCACGCCTCATTGATGTGTCTACCGCCATTTATACCTGAGATACAGGACGTTATCTTGATTGTGGCAAAACTCCATATGGTCCCACTTTGTATAATCTTTTCATACTTGGTAGAAATATACCACTCGTATTACTTATCAAAACTGATTGAAAATCGAGATCAGAATCCAGGTCTGTCTCAAGGGAAAACAGAAAAATTCTTTTATTTATGAAACAACACTCTGTATGGCAAATGTTCGTAAATCTGTTTTGATATTTGAAATGAGCAGGAAGAAATGAATAAAGTGACCTACTTGTTACTATCGCACATCCGATTTGACAGATGTTTTATTATTATTTTTGGAAATATTCTGCTCCATTTTGAGGCATTTTTACTGAACTCATAATTAAAATTTCAATTTTAATGTAAAAAATAACAGTCTTCAAAGTTCAACATCATTAGAGTCGAATTAGGTGAACTATCGATCGATAGATTTGCTCATTTGACAGAAAAACTTGTCTACGATTTTTAGAAATTTTCGAGGGCTCATTTTATTTTCAACTATTAATTCATAAGCTGCAGTAAAGTAGCTGTATAAAAAATTCTGATATTCTGACAGTTCATAATCACTAGTGTGATATTATTGGTAACCTTGAGATAATTGTTGGTGCTTGTATTGTGTTGTTACATTTCAAAGTGTTCATAATTATTATACCTTAACCTAATAACCTTATGACATCACCAAACTGTCAGAATTTTCAATTTTTTTGCACAGCTTCCTTTACCGCAGCTTATGAATAAATATTGTAAAATAAAATGAGTCCTCGAAAAATTCTCAAATCATTGACAAGCTATTCTGTCAAATAAACGAATCTATCTATAGTTCACCTGATTTGATCCTAATGATATTGAAGTTTGAAGATTGACATTTTTCTGTACCAAAATTGGATTTTGAGTTCAATTGAAATGCCTCAAAATGGAGATGGATATTTCCAGAATTAATAATAAAACATCTGTCAAGTCGAATGCGCGCTCGTGAAAATTGGGTCCCTCAATTCATTTTTCCCCGCTGTTTTAAAATACCAAGACAGATCTACAAAATTCTGCCATACAGAGTATTGTTTTTGAAATGAAAGAATATTCAGTTTTGATGAGTAATATGAGTGTTATATTTCTACCAAGTATGAAAAAATTATATGACGTTGTTCAAAAATCATGACCAGATGAAAATTTTGCCAAACTCATAATAACGTCCTGTATCTCAGTTATAATGTACATGTACATTCAAATCCGAAACACCCTGTATATATATTGGTAACTGACCAATATTTTGTCAACGAATCAGCTATAAAATTCTACCTGCAGTGACCGTATATATCCACGACTATTTATAGACACACACGTGTCTAGAATTTCAATTAACTCTAGTTGAACCAATCCAGGAAGAAGGAAACGTGTATCAAGTGATTTCTGCGAACTTGCATCGCATGTTTGTCCTGCCAGAGGGCACCACGAATCACTGAATCAGTCTAACCTCACCTAACCTCACCAAGACCAACAAGATCATGTATCATTACATCGTTAGATAATTTCACCTGTCCCTGTTAATTTGCATTGCATGATAGTCTTAGGTGGAAAAGAAGCAGAACACGTAGTCGTTTCCACAAATTCAATATTTTCCAGTCATACTGATAGATGGTAACTTTATTTTGACGTCACGGTTTACTTGTGAAGTTCGACAGACGTCAGTTTACCAGCTGTTCTTGCTTATTGTAACTTTCAGTTACCCTTAAACTATTAGTGCCTATTTGAATATTACCTCTCGCAAACTATTAAGCCAAGCAAACCTCTTATAAATCGATATGAATGGACCAACCATCATATATTTGATCGTGATGACAGTACACTGAAATGACGCCACTGATCTTGAATCACTCAAACGTTGATTTTTCCATAATATCGTTATGAAACAGAGAATTCCTCAACGTAACATACTGGAATAACAATCTCATTATGCGTTTCGCTCTCAGCATTGCGAGGAATCCTAAGGTCTAGGACTCTCGTCGTAAGTATTCACGTTTTGTGTTCGTGCACATTTTCTTTTTTCCTCAATCTCTCGTCCATTGTATCTCACAGTCTAGCCAACTGCACGAGAATTTTCTTTTGTAGTGCCAGCCACGGCCATTTTTGCTAAATATTGACCTCTCTGAACTACCTCGATGTACACGATTCTCTTTTTCGACGTATGTACCAAGGGGGTAATAAATTTCAATTTGAATTCAATTAAAGCCAGTTGGGGCCTTTGTTCTCAGCAGGAAGGAAGGTATTAATTATTTTTGCTAGGATCGTATCAGTAAGGTACTGCTTCAAGCACTATATGTTCTCCTACATCACTGATAAATTGCAAAATTCTCATTGTCCATTCGTGAGAGGGAATGATATTTCCCTCTACTAGTGCGAAAATTATCCCGTTTGCTCTCTCGAGGCAAAATCATCACATTTTCTCACTCGAAAAAAAAGTTACACAATCGAAAATATCTTCAATGTCTAATGTCACTTGTGGATTTGGAATATCAGGTATTCATTATCCCTCAAAAGTAATCAAAACTTCATTATGAGCAACTCGTCTATTGTATCTTACAGTCTAGGTAACTGCACAAAAGTTTTTTTGTAGTGCCAGCCACGGGGATTTTTTGCGAAATATTGACCTCTCTGAACTACCTCGCTGTTCACGATTCTCTTTTTCGACGTATGTACCAAGGGGTAATAAAATTCAATTTGAATTCAATTAAAGCCAGTTGGAGCCTTCGTTCTCAGCAGGAAGGAAGGTATTAAATATTTTTGCTAGGATCGTATCAGATTGGTAGGTACTAGATGCTTTACGCACTATATGTTCTCCTACAGCACTGATGAATTGCGATATTCTCATTGTCTATTCGTGAGGAGAATAATGTTTTTCTCCACTAGTGTGAAAATTATCCCCTTCTCTCTATCTCGAGGCATAAATATCACATTTTCTCACTCGAAAAAAAAGTTGCACAATCGGAAATATCTTCAATATCTAATGTCTCTTGTGGATTAGGAATATCAGGTATTCATTATTCCTCAAAAATAATCAAAACTTCATTATGGCCTTCTCGTCTATTGAATCTCACAGTCTAGCCAACTGCACGAGAATTTTCTTCTGTAGTGCCAGCCACGGCCATTTTTGCTAAATATTGACCTCTCTGAACTATCTCGATGTACACGATTCTCTTTTTCGACGTATATACCAAGGGGGTAATAAATCTCAATTCGAATTCAATTAAACCTAGTTGGGGCCTTTGTTCTCAGCAGGAAGGAAGGTATTAATTATTTTTGCTAGGATCGTATCAGTTAGGTACTGGATACTGAGGGCACTATATCTTCTCCACAGATATATTGCGATATTCTCATCGTCTATTCGTGAAAAAATGAACTTTTATCTCCTCTAGTGTAGAAATCATCACTTTTCCTCACTCGAAGGATACTCATCACATTTTTCACTCGGAAGAAAAGTGGCACAATTGAAGATATCTTCAATGAAAGTAATGTTCATTGTGGCTTTGGAATATTAGGTATTCATTATCACTTGGATAAACCAATATTGTGTAGAATCACAGGTATTTCTTGAGTTATATTGACTATCCTGATTCTGTCTTCTCATTATCTATCGGTGAGAGAAAAACACGTTTTCCACCTTGTCAAAGAATGTACAATTCTTCTCACTTGAAGAATTATTGTCACATTTTCTCACGATAACTGCATAATTTGGGTCAACTTGAAAACTGCTTCTTCCATATTTCTCCTCCTTCCTTTTCCATATTTTTATTGTTTCTAACTATTTCCTGCTAATAATGTTGAAGTGTTATATAAACATTATTGTTTCCATTATTATTATTATTATTATCATAATTATGAGTATCTGATAAGAGAATTGATTGATTTTGTGTAACTATGAGAGATTATCGTACTAGTTTGATAACTAACTAATTTTATTTAATATTTTTGCAGATAACTGCCAGAAAGAAGATGGTACTGAGTGTCAAAATGGTGCATGTCTAGACGGGCAGTGTCATTGTAATGATGGCTTTGGTGGATGCAGCTGTGAAGTACCAGGTAAATGCAAATATTATTTGTAAGCTGATTCTTCCCACAGGTTTCATAAAATTAATAAAAAATATGTTCTTCTGACTACAACTTTGAGAGATACTTTTGGAAATATTTTTGCGCAAACGCAATAAGAATTCTATAATGGCAGACACATTTTCTCGAATGATTTCTCTGAAGTAGAGATCCGATGATCTTAATATCGCGAAATACTGATCTCCGAGGTATCAACTATAAGTATTCACAATCAGTTTTCAATCTCAAGATATTAACTTGGAAAATGAACAATGCAGTAATTAATTTTCATTCCTTATCTCAATTCTAGTCACCCAAAGCTGATATCGCCAACGTTTACTGTTACCAGTGAACCAACCTGAAGAAGCTCATTGAAGTATGAAAAATGATGTAACTGTAGCTCCATTGGATATTAACATCTGCACCTGTTGCACATGCTAAATATCGACAATACTTAAGTTAATATCGTTCCATCCGCTATTAGAGGCTAATAAATAAATTGATGAGGCTCAATCCACAACATGACTCTGATTTATTTCCGTGACGTAACGTGAAAAATGGAAAGGGAAAAAAGAGCGGCGGATAATAATAATAATAATAAAAATAATAATAATTATTATTTTTTGTTAAATGTATAACATTAAACATTAAAATACGTCTAAAAAAAGAAAAAATATAACAAACAAACAATGATACAGCATCACAATTAAATACAATATATACATCACGTTACTAACATTTTTTGAATTAGCTGTTGTTTAAGCCTCTTCTTAAATATATTCAAGTTCAGGGAGCTCTCAATTTGTTCATCAAGAGAGTTATTCAGTTTACAGCCATTATAATGAAAACTTTTCTGGTACAACGTAGTCCGGTGTCTCTCAGGTTGGAGGTGACTTTTCGAGCGTGTATTATGATTGTGCTTCTCAACAGTATTCAAAAACATATTTTTATTTTCATAAACGTATAAACAAACTTCTTGTATATACAAACTAACAACGGTTAGGATGTTGGCTGTTCTGAAATATGCTCTGCAACTTGTTCTCATATCAACACTAGCAAGAATTCGAATTGCATAATTCTGAAGTACCAGTACTCTATTCACATGAGCACAATTGCCCAAATTCATGATCAGAACATTCAAATAGTTTGACTACATATCAATCCTGCTAGAACCAAAAAAACAGTTATTGTTTTTTCATGATCAAGTTGTAGATTATTATTTTTTGACCATTTCTCGATATTCGAATAATCCATTTCAGCATGCAGTACTTTTCAGCTTATTCAGATCTTCATCAACAACCAAAATATTCGTATCATCTGCATAACACGTAACATGAACAGTCTGTAGCTTTAGAATATGAAATATAAGATCATTACCGAAAACATTTTATAGAAGAGGACCTAAAACAGAACCCTGTGGCACACCATGCTCGATTTCCATTCCATTAGAAGAAGTATTGATCACTCTAATTATTTGTTTCCTCCTGCTGAGATACGAATTCTTTCTAGCTTGGCACAAAGTAACTGATGATTCACTAGATCGAAAGCCTTTGAGAAGTCAATGAAAATACCCAAAACAAACATTTTTTTGTCAATACTTGAAATTATTTTCTGACTGAACTCACAGAGTGCCGATTCTGTGCTTTTGTTACTGCAAAAATCATGTTGTTTCTGTGATAGTAGTTTGTACTTGACTAAATACTTGGTTAACCGATCCTTTACTGCCATCTCAAACAATTCAGAGATACTGCATGACAGACTAATTGCTCTGTAATGGCAAGCCCACTAGATGGAAAGAATGAGTCAGTGATTCTTTGGTTCTCACACTATATGACGGATGGTCTTTTCTGGCAACAGTTATACGTAACAGATACCAGCTTAATAATATCCGATGATCTAGATCGAAGGAAGGAAATCATGATCCACAGATGATACCATATTATCAAGATGTTGGCACTCATTTTGAAACAAGAAGAATAACTACACACGCATCAAGGATTGCTCCATTTGATGAAATATGTGATTAAATCAATGCTCTTTGGCTTGTTCATACAGGGTGATTTGGAATATTGGTGAATAATTCCTGAGATACTTTTATGAAGAAATGTATCAATGTATATTTGTCGAAGAATACTTCCTAAAGACGTACTGTACTCAGTATTTCCGAAATCTTCTTATCAAAAATCCTGAGATCTGATTCATTGCATCCACTTTCAATGTTGGATCAGAATTGATACTCATGATTTCGATATTTCATCCAGGGGCTTGCTATTCTAAAGAGGGGTTAGGGTAAGAAGAATCCAATTTGAGAAAATTGCAGGAAACACTCCTGCGGTAGCAGATAACATATTCTTCTTTTGGTTGATTCTTCTCGATGAAGATTATGAAATCATAATGTGAATGAAGAATTTTGGTGATTAATTTGATGTTTTTTTCAGATGAGAACGAGTGCAAGTACAGACCTTGTGACGTATTTGCACACTGTACCAACACTTTAGGCAGCTTTTCCTGTACCTGCTTTCCTGGATACAATGGAGATGGGTTTCATTGCGAGGGTAAGTGGCAAATTTTCAACAATTCGACAAATCTATGGATATATCATTCAGGAGCTCAATCGATACCTATATATTTAATTGATTTTGGGTTCTCGAAATGTTCAAATATGGTCATTTTTCTACTTGAAAAATTTATAGAAATGTTTTTTTGGATATCCTTCCTGGGGAATTAGGACCTCAATTGTAAGCATCAGAAATCTACATGAAAAAAGGAGACTATTCTCCTGAACAATGTAACCCAACTTGGCCCAACTACCCCTTGATGTTGCTAGTAGTGAAAAATTACCCTCTAGACCACTTAACTACTACTTATAATAGTGATAATAATAATAATGATAATAATGAGTGGAGCCATTTCATTTTTTTCTATGTTTTTTTGTGTTCTGGTTCCCACGGAAAGGAATATCCTGTAATGTTCAGAGAATATCGTGAGAACCAAGGGAAATAAGGTGTTCTTCTTGAATTTCTGAAGGTTATATGCCTCAGGAAACACCTCCCTTGGCGTTGTGTTCTAGAGCCTCGGTGTTCGTTGAAAGAGATGTTCTGCAGGTCTCCAAAGTGACCACGAAAGGGTGCGAAGCCTCAACTCGACGGATTAATCTTGCTAGGACTGCCAAGGGGGGAACAATTGGTGATATTTCAGAAGAGCATCGTCCATGAAAATATCTATAAAATAGAGCCAGATCGCCAACTTTTCTAGTGAGTTTGTGAGCGAGGCATCCCCCACGAGACGAATTGCCCTTTTTTGGACAGAATCCAACAGTTTCAGGGTATGTTTGGGTGCTGTACTGTGTAATATGGTAACAGTATTCCAGGGCAGGTCGGATTTGTGCCTTATAGATCATAAGCAGCTGACTGGAAGTGAAATAGCTCCTGGCCCGAAATAGAAAACCAAGTTTTTAGGATGCACTTTTAGCAATTGATCTCACGTGATTTTCCCAAGAAAGGTTATTGCTGATAGTAATTCGAAGCATCGAGATGGATGTCTTCAAAGGTATAGTTACTCCTGACAAGCTTATGTTGGGCACAGTGAGATCGGCTTTTCTAGAGAAAAGACATGCTTGTGTTTTGTTTGCACTGAAATCTACCAAGTTATTAGATCATCATGCTTGTGCGAATGATCTTTATAGCTTAATCTTTCCTCTGCCTACACAATTATTCAATAATATACATCTCTTCTCCACAGAACGTGATAAGAGGCTATTCAATCGTTGCATATAAGCCATATAAAAAGAATACCAACACGCTATTATAACTGGAAAAGTAAAAGTTCTACCGTCCTCACTGCAAAAACCCATTCCGGTTAATTAGAGATGAAAATATTTCGACCGTTACAGCATCAAACGGTTAGGTATCTGCGAAATGTATCATTATTAAGCATGTGCGGACCTCAATTACGTAACTGTATTGACTGGATTTCAAAAAACGACAACAATCATGCTCTCTCGATGTTTGTATACCCAAGCGTTAACGTGCTGTTAAGCTGTAATTTGTCTGTGAACTCACCTTCAATTCAATTTGTCGGGATGACCTTTGACTTGGGTTCTTTCGAAGAAAATTTGGCCAAGGATTCATGCTATTATCATCAACTTAAGTCGAGTTTGATGGTATATCATTTGTTGTATCTAGGATGATGATAATTACTTTTTTTTCGCATCGCTTGAATTTATTTTTGGTTTCTGGGATAATGCCAACATAGAATAACAAACGACCTTCAGAATAAACTCATTATGATACATAAACAATCCGTCAACAACTATAGAGATGTTCACTTTTTAATGGTCTTAAATCAACAGAATCAACGGATTCAAGTATAATGTAATGGCATTGCTTTAATGATTAGGTATACAGGGTATAATTTAATTGATGGCTACAGATAACGGATATGGTTCTTTGGCTCATTCCAAGAAGAATAGTTCAAATGAACATAGGCCCTAATCTCTTAACTTTCGTGCAATAGGGAGTTGAAGAATTTCGTTTTATTGTCATAACTTAAATAGTCTTCTAGATATTTTCAAAAATAAAAGTTACTTTTGAAATCCTCAATAATTTTGCAACTATTTGACATCCAGAACTAGTATGCTATTTTGTATCTATTAAAAATGAATTTCTTGATCGATTACGTTTTGATCTCATTCTGACAAGTTATCCCTTAACGGGAAAGTTTTTTACATTGTGAAAGTTTCTTCAATCAATAATAAGGAGAAAATAAAATTGTTACACCCTATAGCTCAAAATTCGAGAGGTTCAGATGTTCATATGCTTTTTTTCTTAAAATGAGGTAAGGAACCATATTCTAAATTTCTAGCCATCAATTAAATCGCACCCTGTTAGTGTAATGATGATTTGTGAATCAACTACAACATTTGGTGTGTTCTTATTCAACTCATTCATTCATAAACGACAAATATATGTGCTCGATTCCTCTAACAAAGGCTGAAACCATATATTCTCCCATCTCCTGGTCTATCCAGTATCATGAGAATGTATCAGCAACGTGATTTTTTGCCTTCCTCCACTTTTAGAGGACCAGTCGAAAATATGTTAGGAGAACAAACAATTGCAGGCTTCATGAATGAAGGCCAATCTATTTTTTATCCGAACGTATTCCGGATTATTGCAGTGTATTGTATAATACGATCTATATTGCCCCCTTTCCTACTTACTACTTATGACAGTCTCAGTGATTGGTCGTTTCTCCTACTTACTTTAGGAAACCCAAGACATGAGAGACCTCGGAACTGTTTCATACTCGCCTACGTACCATACTCCTTAGTTCTGAAAAGCAGGCAGTGCATTTTGAAACAGGTAATATATAAAAAAGTTTATTTCTGACCAGGATTTTTATAAACTCATATCGTCATAGTCACTCTACCCATAAAGAGGGTCATAACGAATCCCTTGGGACATTATAGATTCAATAATTCCATTGTCCTTCCACAAGTAAAAATGAAATTAAAAAAATTTAGTCTCAACAAAACTCTTGTAATCAACGGTACCTGATTCAAATATCGAGGAAAGGTAATGAATTGGTACATTTATTCCGATTTGAAAATAAACAACCATTTACTGAAATCGGTTAGAAACAGGAAACTAAATGAGCCTTAATAAACGCAGGTAATTGCTGGACACTATACCATCGGTGATTAAGGCCCTTATAATTTCCTTGATACATAAAGAACTATTGTTTCTCTACACTCCGAAATGAATGCCTTGTTTAGTTTTTTTGATACTATCCTGCTGAAACTGTCTCTCATCAGTATCTGGATTTTTTTCTGCTTAGGTTGATGCATTCATTATATCCATTTTGATGCTTGGTATTACCATCAGCAATAACCTTACTTGAAAAAATCACGTGAGATCAATTGCTAAAAGTGCATCCCAAAAACTTGGTTTTCTGTTTCGGGCCAGGAGCTATTTTACTTCCAACCAGCTGCTTATGATCTATAAGGCATGGATCCGACCTGTCCTGGAATACTGTTCTTATATATTTGGAGTGCAGCATCCAAACATACCCTGAAACTGTTGGATTCTGTCCAAAAAAGAAGAATTCGTCTCGTGGGTGATGCCTCGCTCACAAACTTACTCACTTCTCTGGAACACCGTAGAAAAGTTGGCGATCTGGCTCTATTTTATAGATATTTCCATGTACGATGCTCCTCTGAAATATCAACAATTGTTCCTCCCTTGGCAGTACCAGCGAGATCAACCCGTCGAGTTGAGGCTTCGCACCCCTTCGTGGTCACTTCGGAGACCTGCAGAACATCTCTTTCCAAAGACGCGTTCATCCAACGAACAGCGAGGCTCTGAAACAAATTGCCAATGGAGTTGTTCCTCGAGGCATATAACCTCCAGAAATTTAAGAAGAACACCAATTCCTACCTTATTTCCTTTGGTTCTCACGATGTTCTCTGAACATTACAGGATATCCCTTTTCGTGGGAACCAGAACAAAAAAAAATAGCTAGTAGTGGAAGTATATATTTTTGTGGAGCTAAAGATGATATTGATCATGAGAGAAATTGAAATCTTCTTACTCAGATTATTGTTCTGAACCAAATATTTATTGGGAGACAGCTGATTTCTCGAAGTATATGCTCATGCCCTCTTGTTTAACGATGTGGTTCAAACTCGGATGTAAATATAGGAATGCGGCAGTGTTGTTTTCATGTTGGTCAGGCTAGAGTAACCGGCGAACGCCCTCTAGATCTGTTATTACGGCATGTGCGAACACCGCAAATTATAACTCTTGTTACTTCGATGCCTTTATGTCATATTTTATGGTCTCCTGTACTGTTAGTTTCATTATTAACGACCTGCAATTGATTACCGACATTTGCGGCCAAGAATAAATAGAATCATTCGATTATAATCGTAATCGTATATACCCATCGGCTCAAGTTTTTCATTAATTCAAGCGGAATTACACATCAACGTGAATAATTATGATTGCTCGTCTCAGATCTGCTACGATATTATCGGTTTTATGATGAGAACGTCATTTCAATTGATTTCGATATATCCATCAAAAACTACAATAGTACATACCTACCTCTTGATATTGTGAAATATTGAAAGTGAAAACCTTACTTTGTAACCAACGTAGGTGATCCATAACTTACAGAGTGGGGGTGATATAAATCAGGAGGGGTGAAAGAACTTACAGTCACAACTCCACCACATGAACAATTTAATAAAGACCAACGGTCATGGACATAAGGACATTTTTCGATGGTCTTAAATTATTCAGTTCATTATTATTTTAACTACAATTCTGTTCTGTGTTCTATGTCACTTCGAATCGAAACATTCCTTGGTTTTGACTTGACTGGTGTCATTCTGATGTTTTGTTTTGTCCTCAACGTCATTGTTGTCAATTGTCATTTGTCGATTGTCATTTGTGATCAGTTAACCTAATTCAAAAAATTCAGGCCCACATGTCGGTTCATTTTAATATCTGATTCATATCGAATTATCTTTGAAAACTAAGTTCTTAGAGAGCTGTGATCATGTGTGTTCCTTAACGGTTACTCACCTGCACTGTGCGTGGTCAAAAATAGTTTCTTCCACGTTTTTTGAGTAATCTTTCTCCACCAATAAAAGTAGGTACATTTAGATTTTTAATCAATACTTGAAAAGTAACATAAGCGTTGTTTCTTCTCACAGATTTTCTTTCAATTAATTTGCTGATGATGAAGGATCAATCCTTCGAAACATGTCCTTATGTCCATGACCGTTGGTTATTATTAAATTGTTTATGTGGTGGAGTTGTTACTGTAAGTTCTTTCACCCCTCCTGACCTTACTTCGTCATGAAATCAATGCTCTTCTATTGGTAGGGTAGAAAAGGATTTCAAGATTATCATTGATGTTACAATGTCATTTGGCAATGAGGAAAACATTCCGAACTCACCTATCACTGACCTATTAACAAGAAATAAAAAGACAGTGCTAGTTCTCTAGTTTGATGCTGAATAGTACTCGCTCATATCACGTGATCATGACATGATCGGCTCTGGAGATTTGGTTGACGATTATGCGCAGTGCAAATATCGTATGGTAGATTTCAAATTCAGTATAAATATATATGTACAAGGTATCGCAAAATAACGTAGCATAAATTCTACATGGTGATCTAGAGACCAAAATAGGCCTATAAAATCATCTTACGAAAATGTCTATTGAGATGTGAGAGAACATTGAAGAATGAATTACAGGCAGATATTGGAAAACCTGGTATATTATGTGAATTTAATCAAGATATGAATCGATCTCAACCGTGATCATCAACAAATCATCATCATCATCATCGTCGTAATTACCTATGCACGATAGTGGTATGACTAGATAATATTTGGCGAGGATTGAATAAGTTGTAGACAACCACCAATTGACTATCGCAGCATACTCAAAGCCGACTATTCAACTCGCTATTAATGACTCCATTTATCGTTTTATCGTCGTTATATTTTTCGATTCCGTTCGCCGTAAATGTAGACCCAATCAGAGATTCACGACTGGATGACATAACAACATCATTATCATGAAAAGGAATACTCGAGCATTGTTTTTCACCGTTACTTTTAACATTAATTCGGATGACTATAAATCGATATCCGTTTCGCTGTGGAAATGTAAAGGTTTGATGTCGATGACCGACAATTTATGAATTTGCTCAACGCATAACAAAAATAGTTATTTTCATTTCACTTGATTATTTGGATTTTCTCTCCTCGTTTCTATAAAATAAAAATATGAGTATCATTTCAATATATGTGTAGTAGGACAATAAATCAGATGATCAGATTCCACCGATTGTTCTCAAGAAATGTGCTCCCGAACTAACACCTGTTCTCTGCAAGTTGTTCAACTACTCTTACAAATTGGGGATATTCCCGCCCAACTGGAAAATTGAAAGAGTACAACCAGTTCCTAAAATAGGCAAAAAGACCCTACCTAGCAACGACAGACCGATCGCACTGCTATCTATTATTTCAAATATCATGGAGAAAGCTATCAACATCGAGCTCATGAATTACCTGGAACATTCAGGTATTATGAACGATAGGCAATATTGCTTCCGTCATCAGAGATCAACTGGTGACCTGCTCGCTTACGTCTATCTATTGGAAAATATGGTGAAACCTTAGCCGTAGCACTTGATATATCTCTAAGGCATTCGATCGAATCTGGCACCACGGACTCCTCGCCAAGCTTCCATCTTATGGCTTGCCTCCCCAGCTATGTTCTCTGCTAGCTAGTTTTCTCTCGAACAGGTCTCCATGTAGTGGTCGACGGAGTTTCATCTGACTCTCTCACCATGAATGCTGGTGTTCCGCAAGGATCAATTCTAGCACCAACACTATTTCTACTTCATATCAACGATTTGTTGGAAGCAACTGCATGTCCGGTACTCAGCTTCGCAGATGAGAGTACCCTCCATACCATCTTCTCTTCCATGGCTTCAATACCATCCAGGAAAATCTAAAACGAACGAGGAAGAAATGTTGACAACATAAATATTGACTTGGCAACAATCCTCGAATGGGGATCAATGCAAACAAAACACAAGCATGCCTTTTCTCTGGAAAAGCCGATCTCACTGTGCCCAACATAAGCTTGTCAGGAGTAACCATACCTTCGAGTACATCCATTTCGATGCTTGGTATTACTATCAGCAATAACCTTTCTTGGGAAAATCACGTGAGATCAGTTGCTAGAAGTTTATCTCATAAACTTGGATTCCTATTTCGGACCAGGAGCTATTTCACTTCCAGTCAGCTGCTTATGATCCATAAGGCACAGATCCGACCTGTCCTGGCATAATGTTCCCATATTTGGAGTGCAGCACCCAAACATACCCTGAAACTGTTGGATTCTGTCCAAAAAAGGGCAATTCGGCTCGTGGGTGATGCCTCGCTCACAAACTCACTCACTTCTCTGGAACACCGTAGAAAAGTTGGCGATCTGGCCCTATTTTATAGATATTCTCATGGACGATGCTCTTCTGAAATATCGACAATTGTTCCTCCCTTGGCAGTCCCCGCGATATATACCCGTCGAGTTGAGGCTTCGCACCCCTATGTGGTCACTTTGAAATCTCTTTCCAAAGACTCGTTCATCCAACGAACAGCGAGGCTCTGGAACACATTGCCAAGGAAGGTGTTCCCCGAGGTACATAACCTCCAAAAGTTCAAGAAGAACACCAATTCCTACCTTATTGCCCTTAGTTCTCACGATGTTCTCTGAACATTACAGGATATCCCTTTCCGTGGGAACCAGAACATAAAAAAATGTGTTATTTTTATATTCTGGTATACTGCAACTGATAGAAAAACCACTGAAGAATATCGAACCTGAGAAATTCCATCAAATATAGCTGATTAAAAAACTCGAATAACTGTTTATTCAACAGGTGCCAAAAATCCAAACACTAATTTCGGCATGATCTTATCGTGAAATTTCCTCAAGTTTATTGCTTGTTTATCCCAACTACGTCCTTGGTGGTTCACATACCATTTCGTCGGTATGACCTGCAGGCAAAACAATCATCATGGTCGCAATCATTCTCTAGGATAGGCCGGCGAAAATTAACGTCAAACAACTCCGACAGAGTCATTGATCTTAGGACGTTGATCTCTCAGAGGCGTTATACTGCTCACCGCAACGTTAGCTCAATGTCTTCTAACACCAGGCCGTACTAGGCGTATCGTCAGTTAGGTACCCGAAAATTGTTTTCCTTACCTCGTATAATTACGAATTACGATCATTGCGGAACTCCATAACTGAGAAGTTTCAAATCATAGTCGTTCGAAATGAAACCCTACTCAGTAGAGATATATGTATACTATTGAAAAGGAATATTCTCAAATAAATCATCACTCATAATTACACGAGAGCTTTTTTTTCGTCGAAGTAAACTTGACATGTATCAATAAGAATTTTGCTGCCTGGTAAATTGAGGAAAAAACTGCCTCAGAAAAAATTACGAGTCCGTAGGTGATGTTTAGAAAACTTCAACCAAATCAAATCAATTATACATGTTGCATACTGAGTAGGTTTTCATTTAAAACAACAATGCTTATAGCTATACTATATCTAGTTATTGAGAAATGGTGTATCGTTGGAAATCCTCGATAATATCTGACGAAAGTGAACGACTTGATTAGTTATCGTTTATAATTCAGTGGCCATCCTCATCAGAAATCTTCTATATGACATATAATGTCTGAATCGTCGACCACTGGAAAAATATCGTCTTGTTCGAAGTTATTCGGCTGCTATGTTAATTGTGTGTTTTTTTGCTTTGAAATAGGTAGCAAATACATCAATCATTTCAATCGATGTTTCGGAGTATGTCTTCAACCTATATGTATAGAAGCAAAAACAAAAGTATACCTCAAAGAAATATGTGAGTAATTCCTTCCTATATAAACATATGGTACAGGATTACAGATAAAATTCATCTATACTATAGCAGTTCTTTGACAGAAGAAGTTGCTTCAGTCTCGATTTAAACATTTGTACATTTCCAGAATTTCTTATGATATCGGGTAGTTTATTGGAAAGTTTGCAGCCCTGAAACTCAAAACTTCTTTGGTGAAGAGCAGTGCGATGTTGACTTGGTAATAAACAGTGGGCATTTCGGCTAGAAAGATTATGATAGGCTCTGTTAGCACCTAATGTATTTCTATTCCGGTAGATATATGTGCAAGATTCCATTATGTATACTCCTGCTAGCGTTAAAATTTTCAATTTTTGAAAACTCTGTCTACATGAATCTCTATTGCCCAACTTGGCAATGATCTTAATGGCATATTTCTGTATACAAAACACCCGAGTTCTTATTTAGGAACCCTAACAAGTCATTGGCGAAATCTAAATACAAGAAGGGTCCCAGAATGGATCCCTGTGGTACTCCATCCTCAATATTTCTTTCATTACTTAGACTTTTTCCAACTTTGACTACTTGTCTTCTCTCATTTGAGTATGAGTTTAGTAAGTAGTAGTTTTATATGTCTTTGCCTATATATGTCATTGTCCATTTGATTTATTTGTCAATATCAATATTACTGTCAATTAGGATCGTATTATTATCATTATCACTATTATTCGTGTAATACTTATTTTGTGTGCTGCTTTGTTGACTTGTCCTATAACTCTTGTAAGTTCCAAAGGATTAAATATGAGTTCAATATCAAATGATCATGATATTGTCTATTCAGCGATTGCAGTTTCTCTCTGTATTCTTTATTGCATTTCTAACATTTTTGTTACAGATATCAATGAATGTGATGAACCTGCATTAGCTGCCAGATGCGTGGAAAACGCCGAATGTTGCAATCTACCCGCGCATTTTCTCTGCAAATGCAAGCCAGGATACGAAGGAGATGGGGAAGTTCAATGCCACGGTGAGTATCGTGAATCGATGAAACAAACCGAACCGATGCCGATAGATCTCAATAAACGTTCCGATTTATTGGCCTATTAAGAGAGGATCGGTTTTTCATTTGTTTTCACATTGAGGGAGACCACCGCGAAGCTGCTGTACACTGAATTATCTCGTGAAGAACGGGATGACAAATATAGAGAATACAAAAAAAATAAAACTGAATCAAATCATGATGCGTCTAAAAAATTTAGAAATAAGTCGGTCGAGGTTATTGAAGGAGAGAAAAGAAAGTATTTCGAAAACAAAATAGATGGTTGTAGAAATGATACTACTCAAATGTGGAATACACTCAAATCAATTAACCCCAGCAGTGAATTCAAAGTTTATCCAGAAGAAATAGAAATTGGAGACAATGTGATGAATAAATCGGCTGTCATTGTGACAGCCATATATGAATTCATAAAGAAAGTTACTGATGCATATGAGAATGAAAATATATCAAAGGACATCTTCCTAGACCTGTCGAAAGCTTTTGACAGCCTGGATCATGAAATTTTGTTAGACAAGATGGTATCCAGCTCATGACTGGATGAAGTCTTATCTAACACAACGTAAACAAAAAGTTGTTATAAATTGCCAGGGAATTGAATATTACTTAGAGGAAATTACGACAGTGGTAGGTGTCCCCCAAGGTAATATAATGGGCCCCTCGTTATTCATATTTTATATAAACGATTTAGCCTTAGATATTGTGAATAATGAAAATATTAATCTTGTAAATTTTCTGACAGTAGGTTGGTCATTGAACAATCTTTTAGACATCTCGAATGAAACGGTGGAAATGTCTCAGGAATGGTTTTCCATGAGCAAACTCATACTAAACAAAGATAAGACGAATTATATTTGCTTTCGAACTGAAATAAAAAATAATTCCATACCTGAAACACTTCAAGTACAAATACAGACAATAACACTAGCAGAACACACACAATTTCACACATCGACATATTTGGGTGATGGAGCAAAGCGAACCATTTATTTTGCCAACTTCCACTAAGTGATGCGTTTTGGCATCATCTTCTGGGGAGGAAGTAGGCTGGCAGAGAGTATTCTTAAGCTACAGAGAAGCCATCAGGATTTTGCTACGACTCAACTACAAAAAATCATGTAGAGGTAAATTCAAGAAATTGAATATAATGACCATGTCAGGGACCTATATTTATGAAAGCATAGTGTTTCTATTTAAAAATCGGAATGAATTTGAATTTCATAAGATCCACAGACTGTCATCAACAGAAAAGAAGAAGATTTTTCAATTGAATGCCAACAACGGTCGAACAAGAAGTTAACATAACAGTCTTCAAGAGGCTAATAATCAATATTATAGTAGATTTGGGACTATACTCAATTAAAGAATATTTGGAGGAATAGTAGATATTCTTAAATACTGTCTGTAGGTTGATCGAGGAGGTGGACATTAATTTTACTTGATTTTTCGGGATTTTCTTTCCTCGCTTCTAAAAATTAAAAATATGCGTATTATTTCAATATATTTGTAGTGAGACAAATCAGATGATTCGCCCCAAAATCTCACTATGTTTAACGAATTTTTCTATCAGGAATCCTTAAAGAAAAAGAAAGTAGCTTGTCAGTGACAGTTTCTTTGGAAAAATGTTTGAGGATATATTTTTATGATGGTCCTGCAATGCAAATGAGACAAACACAAGGGCGTCGCCAGCGAAAAAAATAGGGGGGGGCACCATAAAAAAACTGAAGAGAAAAATCAAATAGAAAGAGTTTAATGAGAAAATCAAAAAACAGAAAAAAATCTATACAGTAAATCAGTTGAAAAATAATCTTCTAGGGTTCTTTGGGAATTCGTTGGTCACTTTTTGACGAAATCGTTCAGGTTTTTGAAAATATGTTGCCTGTGTATACTCATCATTGCGAGGCCATTGAGCCGAGCATCATACATGGTGCTCTTCAACCAGGTTTTGATTCTCCTAAGGCTACTAAATGCATGACCTTTCAACTGTACAAATCTTACAAGGTAAAGGCAACAAGGATCTTCAGAGCCTTCTCAACTTCAGGAGAAAAATATACTTCCGGAAGTTCTTTGCTCAAAGTGAGCGTTATTATAAGTAATATCACAATATTCTGAATATTCGAGATAATTCTATTGCCTCATTGTTCAAGAAATTGTGTTGCAGAGCAACACCACGAGTCAGGTCGATAGGTAGGGCTGTACGGCAACACAATAGATTTGACAAGGAAATGAAGAATTATGAGAATATATTCAGAACAGAGTGGAGACTATTTCACGTTCACGAAGCAAAGAAGCATTTATTTTGAATGAATGATCCATTCTGACAAGTACAGTCATTATTTTTTGCCAAATTGACAGACTTCGCTTCGCTACCCATGGTTACATCGTTGAAAACATCTAGTTTTCGCGATAAGCACACGTTTTCTCTGGCTTGTGATTGGTCAGGTTATGTGATGAATGAAATAGTCATTTCAATGATAGCAGGGTGACTGGTGAGCGTTAATCGTAGGGGGGGGGCAGCTGCCCCACCCTGCCCCTCTCTGGCGACGCCCTTGGACAAACATGTTGTTTATACAACTCAATTTATTTTATTTCAATTTTAATATTTTAATCCATGAAAAACTTTGAAGTTCCTATATTGATTCAATCAATTGTACCTGACACTATTTTCTTTAATTTTGATAACTGTGATGTTATATCACTGTAATTGTCATTCTTCAAAATAAAGCTCTGTTTTATTCTTTTCCATTTTATAAATGTCTTTCATGCTCCCGCAGATATCGACGAATGTCTCAACCCGAACGTCTGCGGCCAAAACGCTGTCTGCACGAACCGACCCGGTAACTACACCTGCGCATGCCCAGAAGGCCTGCGCGGCGATCCCTTCCAGGCATGCGTGGACATTGACGAATGCGAACAAATCGACGCTTGCGCTCACAACGCCATCTGCCGCAACGTGGTGGGGGGCAAAGAATGCTTCTGCCCGCCGGGTTACGAGGGAGACGCTTATACTACAGGGTGTTTCGATGCGGACGAATGTTCACGAGCGAATCCGTGCGGGAAGAATGCCGAGTGTTCCAACATGGAGGGGAGTTTCCGGTGTACTTGTCCAGTGGGGTTCATTGGGGATCCTATGACCGGATGCACAGGTAGGGGGGATATGGGTGGATTTGCTCGGGGTTGTGGTCGATTCGTTGGTAAAGCTGATGTGGTGGTGAGGATGGACCTTGCCTCTGTTGAGTTCGATATGTTATGCACTTCAGGGATTCAGAGGGTACTTTAAATCCCTATTTCCAGGAGAAAAATGTTACTCTGAATCCCTAGGTATCACTTTTTGTCCTGATGAAAGATATTTGAAGAAAATTCATTTGCCATGAACGCTAATTTCAGAAATTCACTCTCAATAACTTTATCAGGAATATAGTTCTGATATGGATGCAACAAAAGTGTGACATGTTTAGAGCAATATTGAACTGGCATAATTTTTTTTTCACCTCAGTATTAAAGTCTTCTCAAATCCCTCGACAAATTATTGACCTCTTCTTGGTCGGGCTATAAACTTCTTGTCTCGGGATTTGGAAAACCACTTTATTCCCTAGGAGTATACTGTGTGATAATTTCGGCAACACAATTTTGTGAAATGGGTCGATTTCTGAGAAATGACGGGTTGTGTGATAGCAGCGAATCAGTATCATTGCATATACCATCACCATCCTCATGACTAGCTCAGCTGAAACAAACACGTGAAGACTGATTTTCTTGGAATTATATCTTCGAGATGATATTGCTCTGGGAAAGAAACATACATTTGATTGAGATGACTCATTAATTCTTATTTCAATAAAATCTGATAGGTACAAAAAGCAATCCATCATAATAATTTCTCCACTCTCACCTTGGGATTTTTTTTCGTTAATGAGGAAAACAAGTTCTAAATCGATCAACTTAACTATATGATGATTTCTTGAAATGTTAGACTATTATTACTATAAAAAAATATAATGTTGTTGATTCGATAATTCCATTAATATTATGAAGTGATTTGCTTTTAAAGCTAATTAGATCAGATACTCATCGCTCTGTATCAAATATAACAAGGATTGTCTTGAGCTTCAGATAGTTATCAATAGATTCACCAACAAATAAATAATAGTTTCAGTTTAACCGTAGTTGTTTTGCAATATTAACTCGTAACATCACATCAGAGGTTATAACAGAAACACTGTAGAATTCGAATGTCTATATAGTAACAGAAAATCAGGTTTCCAGATGATCTATTTACCGATTGCACACATTAATGAACGGATATGATTGTCAATACCCAAAATCACTTGTGAATATTCATCCGATTGAATGTTTAAGCATTCCTCTTTTGCTGATATTCATTAAAGATACATCTTTTATGAGAAAGATATATCATCAATCTGTATTCAAAATTTCTTGATATTGTGGTTCAAATTTATACGAATGAAAATTCACAATCAGTTCATATTTCCTGGAAAGTCCATATTCTTGGAAGAGTGCAAATTCCATCATTAATAACCGGATATTTAACATACTGACTGATAATCATCTATACTCTTCAACTGAAGATGATTCCCAAGTACGTACAAAATATTGGCTGTTTAGGCAAAATTACTTCACGAATGTAATCTCTGAGAATTTCTGTAACATACACTCACCGCAAAAAAACCGGACACGAAAAAATGGAGAGATCAATCACCCTGAAACATTTTTTTTTCTAACCTAGACCTGATCGTAAATTCGAGTTTAAGAATATTAGCATAAAATCTTGCTCTCAAGAAAAGTTAATGGCTTGATCAATATACCTACTGGATTGTTCAGGAATTACTTTTTCACCCTTAATTTCGTAGCACCCTGTGGCGAAAGTAAGTATTCATACTTAGCTTCATTGTGTTTTGAATTGAAGTGTGATATATACCTTTCAATACAATCGTTTTCGATTCAACAAAATGTCTTCTGATCAAAAGAAAAAACCTACAGGTGTTTGTATCATGACTATGTACCTAATCATAACTTTTTTGTAATTGAATATTTCCCAGTTAAATTCATTCAGTGGCATAAGCAAAGGTGGCAGATTCTTTTTATGTATATCAATTGACAGCGATTATATTACCCCTATATACCCCTATTCCAAAAAATTGACTGGGTTACCATGGTGACGTTGATTCCATCAATGATATTTTTCACTGCAGATTGTCACTGCAGAGGTATTCGCAATGAAAAATCAAATAGACCGGTTGTGCATAAAATGTGTCCCAAAATTGCTGGGACACAGAGCTACCACATGTAGAGGACGTCAAAATAGGTTGATTGGACCCAATTTATTTATGTGCCAAAATGTACCGTTTGTCCGTGGGAAGGGTTCGAAGTTCACACAGAAAAACACATTTTTGTATGCTGTCCAGGAATAAGTGAAACGAATTTGATGAAATTTGGCAGTAGTATATTTCAGAAGATCACTTTCCTTTTGGTAATCGAAGAAACCTGAAAGAAAATGTAGAAGGGTTCAAACCACCCCCACTCCTAACATTTTTTTCAGAACTTGGTAGGGGACAAGAAACACCTATTCAATGTCCTTCGCGGTCTCCTGATTTGAATCCATGTGACTTCTCCTTCTGGGGAGCGTCAAAGACCCAATTGTATGAAGTTCAAATTGATACTTCCGAACAGCTGTGGAACATAATCCAAAATGCCGTTGACGCACTACGAGACAACGACGATGTGCGAATGAGGAGGGTGCATTTCAATTTTTTACGTCAAATTGATATTTGTATTAATGAAAGTGGGCGTCATATTGAGCAATTATTATTGAGAAACGTTCTGCTTTTGTTTCCACTGCAACTAACTTTTAAATCACAATTTAATTAAACTTGTACTACCTATAGGGATAAGTGGTAGCATTATTTGAAAGATTTTTTTTTTCTTCGAAACTATGCGGTATACGGAATTTTTACGTGAGTAATGAAATGAAGGTAATGGATCAGTCATCAAGTTCGAAAAATTTCAGAACCGTATTATGACCACTAAAGAAGTTCTGAAAGAAATGTCAGGGGGTGAGGGTGGTTTCAACCCTTCTACAATTTCTTTGAGGTTGATTACTGAAAGGGGAGTAATCTTCTGAATTACACTATTGCCAAATTTCGTCAAATTTGTTTCACTTATTTCTGAACAGCGTACAAAAACGTGTTTTTTCTATGTGAACTTCGAACCCTTTTCATGGACAAACGGTACATTTTGGCACATAAATGAATTTGGTCCAATCAACTCATTTTGACCTCCTCTACACGTGGTAGCTCTGTGTCCCAGTTACTTTATTGGGATACCCTGTATATTTCAGGCCTACCTTGCTTTTATGGTCTTAGACGTGTTAATAGCCCTCGATAAATAAATAACTATCACGTGATTTCTCAAGTTCTTTATCGAAAAGTTAATTTAAAAAATCCATATTTTTCTGAAACGCTTTCATCTTCTCTTGAAGAGAAGATATCGACGTAATTTTTTTTATTTTCTGGTTCCCACGAAAAATGATATCAACATCGTGAGAACCAAGGGAAATAAGGTAGGAATTGGTGTTCTTCTTGAATTTCTGGAGAGGTTATATGCCTCCGAGAACACCTCCCTTGAAGGAATCACACTTCAATCTAAACCATGATGAAGCTACATAAACTGATATTTTTCAGATGGAAAACCCTGTATTTTATTCACCTAATCGGTAGAGCTCATTCTTCTGACTTCAAATATATATACTTGATTGAGGTTATCTTTGTCAGTTTTCGAAAAGTATAGATTCTATAAAGCAACTGTAGAACGCCGGAAACCGCTGAATTGTCGTCCGGCGTTCATCACCTGCCTTAGATATATACCAAAAAATCTCAATTTTCTCAAAAACTGACAAAATATAACCCCAGTAAAGTATATATATTTGAAATCAGAAGAAAGAGATCTACCGTTTAGGGAAATTAATTACAGGTGATGTAAAACTTTTATGTTTACGATGCTTTTATGCCTAGTACTACATTCTGAATGCCAATTAAACATACTTTAGTTTTGCCCATTTGAACTCTTCTGTAAGACCAATATGAACTAATATAGCTATTGAGTAAAATATAAACAATCAGCCTGTACTTCAAAATCGAACTAGAATCAAAAAAGTTATAGAACGATAGAAATTGACAAACGAATTTTATTTCTGACAGTGACATTATAAGCTTATATCGTCATAGTTACGATATCTATTATGAGGGTCATAACTCCCTTGGGATGTTATAGATGCTATAATTCCCTCTAACTAAAATTGAATAAGAAATGCATAGCAACAACCACGCAGTAACGTAGCAATAAGAAATCTCCTATTCGCGGTAGTCAAGATCATCATCTGACGTTCTGATGACATTGAAACTATACGGAAAAACATGTCTAACTTCCAATCGGGAAGGTATCTGATGAATGAAATCAGTCAGAAATAAAATTATCTATGTATCACGGGAATTACTGAGCCTCAATAACCTCAGGCAATTGCTGTCCCTCGGGCCAGAGGCCCTCGGGACGCAAACTTTGCCATCGGTAATTAAGGCCCTCATAATTCCCTTAATACATAAATAACTATTATGACCGTCTTTTTGCCGGTGAGTGCATATCTGCTTCAATCGATAACTTATGAAGGTCTGTCCAGTAATTCGCACGTACTCTGAGGGACATTAACTAAACAAGCTTTTAACATCGCTAGACATTAACGAGTGTGAATCGAACCCCTGCCCTCCAACCGCCTCCTGCATCAACACTAACGGCAGCTACTCCTGCTTGTGTCCCGAGGGATACACTGGAGCAGGAAACGACGACTGCGTGGATGTCAATGAGTGTGGACGATCGGGCGCTTGTGGGATAAACGCTAAATGCATTAACGTACCCGGATCGTACAAGTGCCTGTGCCCTCAAGGGTTCACTGGCCAGGGACACACGTACTGTGAAAGTTAGTGGAGTATTCGTTATTCTGCTCTTCGTAAAGTTTCACTGTTTGGCCCTCAAAGGTCGACATTTACACTAATACCTTCCCCCTACTCGAGTGCTTAGAGAAACAAGTGGACCCCCACAAATGTTTGATGAGGTTCTTCAGGATGCGATAACTTTTTTGGAAATTGTGCGATTTTCTGTTCAGGATTTATTAGTTTTTCAGGTATGACAAACGAAGTGATCAAAAATAGTGTTACCTATGATCGAAAATGTTTAGGAGCTCCGGTATCCCCCAGGAATTTTTACATGCAGAAATCTTTCACAATATCTCGAAATAGTTTCGGAGTTGTCAGCCTCTCCTTATAGAGGATGTGAAAATCGATGTTTTTCGATATTCTGATTTCTTTTTCATTCCTGCGGATTTGAGAAATCGAAGGGGAACATGCAACAAACAGCACTTCAACATGATTTTCACCCTTCAGAAGCGAGCTGTTCGTTATCTTTGCAAAGTTGGTCCCAGAGTATCTTGCAGAGGGTTATTCAAGAAGCATAAGATCCTCACTCTCCCATCCTTGTACATTTTTGAAACCGTATGTTTGATACATAAAAATAAATCAACATATGATACCATTGTTGGATCCACCCGTCAAAATAGCAATTTGAGGCTTCCTATTCCTTCTTCAAATTTGATAAAAAACTCAATAATATATAATGCTGTTAAGCTTTATAACCATCTTCCGTCCAGTGTTAAGGACATAGGATCAGTTGATTTTTTCAGACATTCGGTGAAGTTGATTCTTGTAGAAGAGGCATTTTATGATATTCAGGAATATCTAAATCAAACTAGTAGATAGTAGTACTTCTCGTTCTTGATGACATATGTAATGTGTCTTGTCTATATATAGTTCGTTTTAGCTTGTTAGTTTATTCATATGTATATATTTGATTTTATGTGTAACTACTTTATATTTTATATATGTAAAAATTTTTACGACTTTGTCAATGAGATATAAATCTTCGGACAATAAAGCATATTTTGATTGATTGATTGATTGAAGTGAAGAAAGGATTGCTTTGTAAATTCGCGATTTTTTTAGATATTTATATTTTTAAACAATCGCTCTGTTTCTATCATAACCTATATTTTTGTGAGAAAATGCAGGTGAATGATTGACTGGATTGAAAATTTTATCTTTTAGGTATATCCGAGCCTTATGAAACAATGGAAATAGAAACAGAGAAGTCAATCATTTCCTTAGATTTGACAATAAGTCAATCATGTGGTGCAGAATTCAGAATCTTGATCACCCGGTATATGTCCCAATTAAATATCAGTAGATAGTTAATCAGAAGTTGAGATAATAATGAATAGTTTCGACCAATAATGAATAGTTTCGACAAAAAAATTCCTAAAGTTGAAAAATGACGATTTTTCACACCCTATATCTCTGTAATCATTTCCGCTAGACCCCAAGTGTGATACATCGATGAAATCAGCTCTTCAGAGAAAATCTGGAAATGCAATAAAATACAGGGTGTTCCATTTAAAATAACAAAGTTGATGCTACTTTTCGATAGCAGCGGCAACGCCGCAGAGCTGAAAATATTTTAGATCGATAGACCAAGAGCAACTACGTGAGTAACCAAAATTTCCGAATGATACTATATCCTGTTCTCCGTAAACGTCTAACGTACCATGGACCGTGAGTTACCCTGTATAGAGTTTGAGAATTTTATGGAAATCTTATCGTTTGTGACGTTTTCACGTTTATATAGGCATTCTTTCTCTCTCATCCTAACCTACTTATCAATCTGAACTTTCTTGAATCGGCAGAAATGCAGAAGAAATCAGAATATTGAATGCATCGTTATTCCCCATCTTGTCTAAGGAAGGTCGTGAATTCCAAGATTATTCACAGATATAGGTCGACCTGAAGATTTGAGAAAATGATTCGCAGAAGAATGAAGAAAAATCATCGGAAATACGGGAGCTCCTTAACTTTGACGATTATGTAACAATATTTCTGACTACTTGGTATGTCATAACTGGAAAACTCTGATGAGTTTTCAACAATGAAAGCATTGCCACATCTTCTGAACACTGCATTCTGAATGAAAACCGTTTAGTTTCCAAAAGAGTTATCGCATCTTGAAAGACCCCAAAAATTTTCGGGGACCACATGTTTCTTCGTGTACTTTTTATTTGATCCCTATTAGCTGTACTTTCCACATAACAACTGGTATGATATTCTCGTTTACTCTTCGTATGTATTTTCTAACTTCGTACTATGCATTTCGTTCTTATTGTAGAAAGCCTAACTGTACTGTATACATCCTCGTATGAACTTATTTCCATTTCTTTTTGTAATCTTTGTTTACTTTCAGCTATTCTTTGAATGTTTGTCTTTACCTGTTCTGTTTCTTTCAGTATTCTCTCTGTAGGTAAACTGTCTTTTTTGTCTTGTGAACAATTTTTCGAATATTTTTAACGTTTTCCCCCAGATATAAACGAATGTGATGCTAAACCATGCGGAGATAATGCCGTGTGCAAAGATTCAATAGGAAGTTACACTTGCTCTTGCAAGGAAGACTACACAGGAGATCCGTTCAAGGGTTGCGTTGATATAGACGAATGTGTGGCACTAGATAAACCTTGTGGAGCTAGAGCCAAATGCGAGAATGCCGTACCAGGATATAATTGCGTTTGTCCGCAAGGTTACCAAGCCAATCCAACTCCACAAGTAGCCTGCGAGCAAGTGAGTACCTCCACCCTCTGATGACTAAATAACAAAAGATAGATACTGTTTATAACTAAATCATTGAAAAGTGTACGCCAACAATCCTTATCGCCGAGAAATGATAAATGAATGGAATCACGAATGGTGGGGATACTCTGCGGAATCATTCCGAGAAAATGGATGCATTGGTACATTTCATGAATTTAATAGATCGGGACTCTCATGTATATGTTCATGTGCATCAATAAATCAACTCTCACGTATTGTAAAATATTTTTACGTCATGTCAAAGTGAGGTTATTCGATATTTTCAATATAATAAACACGCTTTTTATCAACGAATGTGAGCCGCCAAACAAGACCGCAGTAGCGTCTTTTTCTACGTATCTGTGAAATATCAGGTTAGGGTATTTGTAACAAGTTCCTATTTACAGCTTCGACACTGCCGAATGATGCCGAACCATATATATTCACAAAATAGTCTGCTTTAGATTTATAATACTAAAAAAACACAATCTTGAGCTAATACTTGTTCTCCCTTGTATAATAGATAACTATTCATCCGAATGCACTTTGAATCATCGATTTGGCAGCGGTTCCACAGAGTTCCTCAGAATGTGATATATTTTCCGCATCGAAATTGAGGAAAATAAATCACAATCAAACATGCTCTCATTCATCTTCCTTTACAGATCGACGTCAACATCTTGTGTGAATCAAACTTCGATTGCACCAACAATGCCGAGTGCATTGACAACCAGTGTTTCTGTCAAAAAGGCTTCACACCAAAAGGTGCAATATGCGTAGACACAGACGAATGTACCGAACACACCGAACACACTTGCGGTCCTTTTTCTGTGTGTACAAACACAGTTGGTAGCTTCCATTGCGAATGCGAGAGTGGATATGTGGGGGCACCCCCAATGGTCGATTGCAAAGCTCCATGCGATGACGTTTCTTGCGGTGATCATGCTTTTTGCAAGCCTGACGGAAACGAAGCTTACTGCATCTGCGAGGATGGGTGGACTTTCGACCCTAATGATATAGCTGCAGGTTGTATAGGTAGCACATTCCTACAATTTTTTTTCATGTGAAAGCACTGTAAACTTGCATTTTTCAGATATCAACGAGTGTGACACAGTCAATGGACCTGCAGGTCGTTGTGGAGACAATTCTATTTGCACTAATTTGCCAGGAACATTCGCTTGTCAGTGTAAATCGGGGTACTCTGGAAGTCCCAGTCTAGGATGCAATGATATTGACGAATGTTCTGAAACGAATACATGTGGCACTGGAGCTATCTGCACAAATTCGCCTGGCTCTTATTCTTGCGAATGTCCCGATGGTACCGTACCAGATCCTGACGCAAATACGAGATGCAACGAAATCGTAACCTGTAAAAATAACGAGGATTGTCCTGGAAATGCGATATGTGACAATAAAAAAAGATGTCTATGTCAAGAGCCCAATGTTGGAAATGATTGCCGACGTGAGTATCAAGCATCGACAAGAATCCAACAGCTCGAGTGATAAATATCCTTTGTTCTTTCAGATCCATGTGAAACCACTGAATGTGGGCCCAACGAACAATGCATGCTGGTGAATCAGGAAGCGACATGCATCTGCAGAACCGGATACACCGGCACCTCTACCAAATGCGTAGACATAAACGAATGCTCCGGCAACCCATGCCCCACAGGAGCCATTTGCAAAAATGAACCCGGATCATTTTCATGCCAATGTCCCGGAGGCACCACTGGTGACCCATATAGATCGGGCTGTACCAGAACCACTAAAAATAACGATTGTTCCGATACGAACCCATGTCCTTCCGGCGAACAATGCATATCAGACGACTTTCTGAACGAAAACGTCTGCATCTGCGTACAAGGATACGTCAGAGACCACGAGACCGGCAAATGCCGAGACGCAGATGAATGCACCGAGCTGAGAGAAAAGCCGGCATGTGGAATAAACGCAGTTTGCAAGAATTTACCGGGGAGCTACGATTGTCAATGCCCACCGGGCTTCAACGGAAACCCTTTTCTGGAATGTTCTGAGTGCAACAGCCCGGATTGCCGGTGCCAACCACCCTACAAACTATACGAGGGAAATTGCGTTCTAGCTAGCTGCGGTCCCGATGGAAACTGCCCTAGTGGCGCAGAATGTATCACCATAACGGGAGGTGTCAGCTACTGCGCATGTCACAAAGGCTACAAAGCCTTATCTGACGGATCTTGCGTTGACATCAACGAATGCGCAGAACAGGAAGGAGCTTGTGGTTACGGCGCAGAATGTACGAATCTGCCCGGCTCGTACGAATGTAAATGTCCTGAAGGCTACACGGGGGATCCTTATAATTTACAATGTTCCCCGGCTCAGAAAAAATGCATCAACGACAGAGAATGTTCCACTAATGAGAAATGCATTCAGCCCGGTGAGTGTGTCTGTCTTCCACCGTACTTCACCGATCCCCAAGATGGTGACAAATGTAAGAGCCCTTGTGAACGATACCCTTGTGGAATGAACACGAGATGCATTCCAACGGATCCACCGAAATGTTCTTGCGAATTGGGTTTTACTGGAAATCCCATGCAAGGATGTTCAGATATCGACGAATGTGCGGATGAACCTTGTGCCTATGGGGCTCGTTGCCTCAATCAAAAGGGAGGCTATAAATGTGTGTGTCCTAGAGGAATGACTGGGGATCCTTACAAATCCGGTTGCATACTCGAGACTCCGGGTGCTGGGAAGTCTGAATGTCAGACTAACGATGATTGCTCTAGTATTCTGACATGTCAAGAAGGAACTTGCATTAGTCCTTGTGCTACTGTACTTTGCGGTCCGCATAGTATATGCGAACCAGAAAGGCATCGAGGGCACTGCAGATGCAAAGTAGGCTATGAAATGAACTCACAAGGACAATGTGTATCGAGTAAGTTATTCCAGCAATTTAGTCATCGAAATATTTTGCTAAACTCCCTTTATTGCAGTTTGTGAAGGAGTGATTTGTGCTTCTGGAGCTCAGTGTATCGTAACCAGCTCAGGACCAATATGTAAATGTTTGGAGGGACTGATGGGAAATCCATTTCCAGGCGGACTGTGCTCCACAGATATATGCTCCAAAGCTAATCCATGTGCTAGCTCTTACGTTTGCATTAACGGTCGGTGCAAACAAAAATGCCAGGGCGTGAATTGTGGCGTAGGTGCCCATTGCGATCCAAATACCAATAAATGCGTTTGCGATCATATGTTTGTTGGAAATCCGAACCTCGTCTGTATGCCACGTAAGTCACAATCTATAATGATGAATCTCTCAAATTGATGATATTGTTTTTCAGCTATAACTGGGCCAAAATGTGATCCACCTTGTGTTCGAAACGCACATTGCGAATACGGATTATTGACGAATAAATGCGTTTGCAACGAGGGCAACATCGGGAATCCTTACGAATCATGCGAGAGTATCGCAGAGAAAACGTGTGGGCCAACTTCATGCGGAACAAATGCGGAATGCAGAATCACTGCTACCGGAACGGAATGCTCGTGTAAGCACGGCTTCGCAGGAAACGCATTCTTTGGTTGCGAGGACATCAACGAATGCAACAACAATGTATGCGGCAACAGCGCCGTTTGCATTAACACCCCGGGCAGCTACGACTGTAGATGCAAAGAAGGCTATGCCGGCAACCCGTTCGTCATGTGTACGCAAGTTCAAGGCGGGACATGCAGAGACCCGGAAAACTGCCAGTGTAGCGACAAACTTCTCTGTCCCAATGGGTATAGTTGCGAGAAAGGCCAATGCTTGAATTTGTGCAAAAACGTGAGATGTGGCCCTAAGGCTACCTGCCAAACGGGACGTTGTACTTGCTCTGCCGGCTACTCGGGAGATCCAAACGATCTGAGAAAAGGTTGCACCTTGCAAGGACAATGCAGCAGCAATTCGGAGTGTCTCGCTACTGAAATCTGCTTCCAATCAAGCAAAGAAACAAGAACGTGTTTGGACGCGTGCGGCAAGGTCCAATGTGGCCCGAACGCTTTGTGTTTGGCCGAAAACCATAGGTCAACCTGCATATGCGTGAACGGCTTTAACGGAGATCCCAGTGACTTATCAGTTGGCTGTCAATTAGAGGAAAGGGTAATACCGAGAGAGTGCGAATTCGACACTGACTGTAAATCCGGCACTATCTGTTCCGTGGACAAAGAAGGCGTACAAAAGTGCATAAGCCCGTGTGAAACGGTGGCCTGTGGACCGAACGAAGAGTGTCAACTCGACAACTCCGGACACGCGACGTGTGCTTGTGGAAAAGACCATATCTGGAACCCAGTGAAATCAATATGCGAGAAACCATCTGTGCCGGATTGCGAAACCAATGCTGACTGTAATCCTTCACAATCCTGTCACCCAGACGCTGTGGGCGTCCTGAAATGCACAAACGTATGTTCCCACTTTACATGTCCATCAAACTCTGTTTGTATCGCCGAATCGCATGTCGGCCAATGCCAGTGCCTCACCGGGTATACAGGAAACCCGAAAGACCGAACCGGATGCAAACTCGTAGCGCAAGATAAGTGCAAATCTGACGCACAATGTTCTGAGCAAGATAATTGCAGGAAACACCACGAGCAAGGTATACTCATGTGCTTACCTGCCTGCGAACAAATTAGTTGCGGGCCCAACGCCCTTTGCATCGTCAACAACCACGTCGGTCAATGCCAATGCCCACCTGGATCTTATGTAGGCGATCCGAACGATCCGAAATCGGGCTGCAAAGCAGTACCTTGTGTATACAACATTGATTGTCCTTCGACACAACTGTGCAATCGATTAACGTACACCTGCGAGGACGTTTGCGATGAAGAATCTTGTGGCAACAACGCCGTTTGCATAGCCGAAAATCACAAAGCCGTTTGCCAATGCCCGCCTGGCACCAAACCTAATCCACTACCGGAAGTAGACTGCGTTTCAATAAATTCCTGCAAGCCGAATCCGTGTCACAGCACCGCAATATGCAGACCGAGTCCTACCGGTTACACCTGCGTCTGCAAGCCTGGAACCGTGGGAGATGCTTTCACTTCAGGATGTAGACCAGAAGGAGAGTGTCCGAAAGGAGACGGAGATTGTCCCCCGCAGTCCATATGCAAATCGGGGAAATGCGTTAATCCTTGCGAGCAAGTTTCCTGCGGGCCCAATTCCTTGTGTACGGTGACCAATAGAACAGCCATCTGCATGTGCCCAGCGAAATATGTCCCAGCCAAAGATGGCCTACAGAATGGCTGCACGCGAATCTACAACTCTTGTAGTCATGACAACGATTGTGCCAATGAAGTGTGCGCTAATGGACAATGCCGATCGGTATGTCGTAACGACAAAGATTGTGGTCAAGGAGAAAGTTGCTTAGAAAAAGTATGTTCAATACCTTGCAGAGATCACAGCCAGTGTTGGGACGGGCAAGCTTGCGTGAATGGTTCTTGCACGTTGGGCTGTCGCAGCAATAAAAACTGCCCGGCTCAGCACGCTTGCGTTAACAACAAGTGCCAAGACCCGTGCCTTGATGCAGAATCGTGTGGTCCTAATGCCGTCTGCTCTTGCAAGGACCACAAAACAATCTGTCAATGCCCTGAAGGTTTCAATGGAAATCCCACTCCACAACAGGGTTGCATCAGGGTTCCCGTATCATGCCAGCAGAACCAGGAATGCACTAGCGGGCACATCTGTCGAGGGAACCAGTGCGGCTTTTCTTGTGAGAATAACAGCGTTTGCGCAGTTGGCGAGAGATGCTTCGATAATGTATGCGCCAAAGTTTGTTATAACGATAACAACTGCCTACAAGGTGATATTTGCCTCAAGGGAGTCTGCCAGCCAGGCTGTGTTAGCGATAAGGACTGTAGGCCTTCTCAGATCTGTTCCAAGGGCCAGTGCAAATGTACGGTAGGCTTCATCAGAACTCCTCAAGGTTGCACGGATATTGACGAATGTGAAAGGAAACCATGTCACCCGACAGCCATTTGCAAAAATCAACCTGGTTCGTACACATGTTTATGCGGGGAAGGAAAAATTGGCGATCCTATAGCAGAGCCAGGGTGCTCTTTGCCTGGACAATGCCGTCGTGACAGTCAATGCGACGACAAGTTTGTATGCAAACAAGGAAAATGTAGAGATCCGTGCGATGGAGCGCGATGTGGTTCTAATGCCGTTTGTTCCGTTTCTCACCACCAAATGACTTGTTCCTGTCCCAGCGGTCACCTAGGAGATCCATACGATACTAATTTGGGATGTTTCAAAGTTGAATGTCTCAAGAACGAGGAATGCCCAACCAGTCAGTTCTGCGATGAACATTCCAACAAATGCATGAGTAAGTTGAGAAGAAAAGTGAATGTTACTTGAAACTAACGTATTATTCTGTTTCAGATCCATGCAACGTGGTTAATTGTGGCAAAGGTACCTGTTCCGTAGAAAATCATTACGCCGTTTGCACTTGCCTTCCTGGATATGCCCTTATAGCTGACAAGTGCGTCGATATCGATGAATGCGCTGACTCCGATCCATGCCACGTGACTTCCACATGTGTCAACACCGATGGGGGGGTCACGTGTGTATGTCCCGACGGCCTTGTAGGTGATCCTAATGGCACTGGATGTCGCAAACCTGGAGACTGTTTCACCAACTCTGATTGTCCCACAACAGCAGCTTGTGAGGGTAACAAGTGCAAAAATCCTTGTGATGACTCAAGTTCTTGTGGAAAGAATGCCGAATGCATCCCAGTTAACCATGCAGCGACTTGCAGATGTCCTGCGCGGACAAAAGAGGATACAAACCACGATTGTATAAAAATAGAGTGTGTTAACAACGACGATTGCGCACAAACTAAGACCTGCGTCAACTCCAAATGCGAGAATCCTTGCGATTTACAAAACATCTGCGGCGAAAAAGCCACTTGCACCCCTGTAAATCACATCGGCGTTTGCGTTTGTGAACCAGGGCTAACCGGTGATCCCCATTTGGGATGCGTTCCCTTCCAGTATTGCGCAAGCGACAACCAATGCCCTCTAGGACTAGAATGCTACAACGGCTTGTGCATGTCCATCTGCAAAACTTCCAGAGAATGCTTCAGCGACCAACTTTGCATCCAAGGAGTTTGCCAACCGACGTGCAAAACTAACACTTCTTGCCCTGAACATCTTTTTTGTCAAAACAGCATTTGCACGCAAGAAGTACGGTGCAGATTAAATACGGAGTGTGATAACAAGGAAAAATGCTTGGCGAATAATCTAGGAAGGGCTGACTGCGTGGATGCTTGCGAGGGCGTCCTGTGCGGTAGAAACGCAGAGTGTTCTTCAGGGAATCACAAGGCTTTCTGTCATTGCAGACCCGGGTTCAAGGGCGATCCAAACGACGACAAATTCGGGTGTCAGCCGATCGAGTGCGAAAAAAACGACCAGTGCTCCAACGACAAACTTTGTGATCAGTACATGTGCAAAATCGCTTGCCTTGTGCACAATCCATGCGGAAAAAACGCTTTGTGCTCGGCGGAACGCCACAAGCAGACTTGCTACTGCCAACCGGGTTTCACCGGGGATCCACACATGGGTTGTCGGCTCATCGACTTCTGCGCCGACGTGCCTTGCGGACCAGGAGCTTTATGCCACAATTCCCGGGGATCCTTCAAATGTCAATGTCCGCGAGGGTCAGTAGGGGATCCTTACAACGAGGGATGCAAAACTCCTTTGGCTTGTACTAACGATAAAGATTGCCCGGTGGTAGCAAAATGTGAACTGGTTAAAGGCCAGGCCAAATGCAGGGACGTTTGCGAGAACAGAGTGTGCGGGCCTAATTCTGATTGCATAGCGGTGGATCACGTGGCTCATTGCAGCTGTAGGAATGGCTACCAGGGTGATCCTAATGAGGGGAATGTCGGGTGCAGGCCGAAATTGGTGAATTGCAAGTCTACAGCGGATTGTCCGTCGAATACTTATTGCTATGGAGATGTTTGTAGCCCCTTGTGTGAATCGAATGAAGAATGCCAAGAGAATGAACAGTGTGTGAATAGGCAATGCTCGAATCCCTGTTCGCTGAGGACGTCATGTGGCATCAATGCGGAATGCAGGATTGAGAATCATGTCAAGGCTTGCAGTTGTCCGGCTGGTTTCACTGGAAGTCATGACGTAGAATGTGTTCGATGTAAGTATTTCCTTTGTCATTATATATCTGGAATATAATTATTTAAATTTTAATTTGGGTGTTAAATGCATGAATGCCAATAACACATGAGAGAAGTTCATCATGAAGAGTATCGTAAATATATGGCATGACATGTCACGTGATAGCAAACTGCGAAAAGTTCACTACGAAGATAAATAACTTGTGAAATTGATGTATTGAAATCGATTTTTAAATCTATGGGAATTCTTGATCGATCACTCGGTATTGTTTTCACTCTCATGATTTGAATGTATGATGAACAATAATTTATGTTATAAGCTTTCGATGTTTCTGTTTGTTGATAGTTTCTATCTTGAATATTGGAATGGTTTCGAAGAAATTATCATTCATAGAATAATAGACTGGATAAACTTTGTCCTGGCGAACTGGATGATTTGTTTATTCATTTTGTTTTTGTGAAACCAATATTCAAAAAATATCTAATCTCCGAATAAGAAAGTAACTAGACTCAATCAAGCCAATGGGGGCTAAAATTCTAAGTCTCACCAGTTGGCGTTACTAAAACGTTAGGTGAATGTCAAAATGAAGAATCTCAAAATTTTGTCAGATAGCTGTGGTCCATTTCATCGGGAATATTCGTGAAAAGTTATGTAGAATATTGAAACACATAGAAAACATCAAATTATGGAAGACCTGAACAGACTTAGAGAGGAGAAGATATCGTAGAAAGAGGCCAAATCACACAAAAAGAGGAAGTATATTCATCAGATCTACCAACTCTGACCTAACGTTTCAGTAGCGTGATCTGGTGGACAATGAATAATGTTAGCTCTCATTCAAAATAGAATCTTCGTATACTATCTGTAGGTTAACGAGGATATGGTATATTAATTATTTAAGATTTTTTGTTTTTTTTTTTTCTCCTCGTTCCTATACAATGAAAATATGAGTATTATTTCAATATATGAGGGAAGAAAATCCCAAAAACTCTAGAATAATGAAATCTGCGAATTGTCTATTATCACTACAAGTAACTATTGTGTTTTTTCCAGTGCCAGTCCCTTGTTCTACAGAAACCGACTGCACCAACGGGAGTGTGTGCAAAAACAACATGTGCCACCCTCAATGCAAAACAGACAACGAATGCGCCTACAACGAAAAATGCCTGAAAGGCAACTGCCAACTCACCTGCCGCGTTGACAACGACTGCTTCCTGGGCCACATATGCGTGCAAAACCTCTGTCTGCACGGCTGCCACAACGACGACGATTGCGCAGGCTCCGAGTCTTGCAGAAGCAACAGGTGCACCAACCCGTGCAGCCACAACCCGTGCGGGCCGAACGCGCAATGTGCGGTGTCCAACCATAGAGCGACCTGCTCATGCGCAAAAGGCTTCGTGCCGAATCCCTCGGCCAAAGTTGCTTGCGTCAGAGCTCCTGCACCACCCTGTAAACAGAACAGGGAGTGTCCTAGCGGGGAGATTTGTATCGGGGAGGTTTGCAGGAGCGTTTGCTCATCGGACAAGGGTTGCTTGAGCAACGAGAGATGTGATTCTAGCTCTGGCGTGTGCAAACCTATTTGCAGGAGGGACGATGATTGCAGAAGCGATGAAATATGCGAGGGGTTGTCGTGTGTGATTGGTTGTAGAGGAAATTCCAAATGTGCGGCAGATGAATCGTGCGTGAATAATAAATGCGTGGATTTGTGTTCTACTCCGACTGCTTGTGGATCTAATGCTAATTGTTCGGTGGTTGATCATCAGAAGCATTGCAGCTGCGCTGCTTCTCTGACTGGAGATCCGTTGGAGAGCTGCAAATATCCTTCTAGGTCTTGCGATAATGACGGTGACTGTTCAAAGGATCAAACCTGTTACGGAGGTGTATGTCAAGGAAAATGTAGAACGTGAGTAATATCATATCAACTTGTTTCAAGGGCACGAATATGGCTTCATTTTTTTTTTCAGAGATCGCAATTGTTTGACAGATGAAAAATGTATAAGAGGTATCTGCAGAGGTATTTGTAATTCAGATGCATCTTGTGGCAATAATGAGATTTGTGAGAACAGGATTTGCAAAATAGGATGTAGGAGCGATTCTGTTTGTGCCCCGAATGAAGCTTGCGTTAATAACAAATGTGAAAGTGAGTGAAACCCATCTACAGGGTGTCTCAAAGCATTCAGGCCAGCAGATATTATGAAATTTATGGAAACTAAAGCTCCCCATAATGGAGGATCGGATCACCCTTGCATCAAAGAATCTACTAGAATCAACCCCTCACTTTGGTTTATCAAACTGCACTCCCATGTTTTTTTTTGTGTTCATCTTATAGAACTTCATATTCTCAATTCGAATATACATGCCGATTGATATAGCGTCATAGTCAGAATGATAAATAAGGTTTGATAAACTGTTACACCGAGTTATTTAGAGCTACACAGGAAGTCTGAATAGGCGATGTACTATAAGTATCGCAAAAGTTGACAGATATTTTTCATGAAATGATGGAAATTATTCTAAATTCTTGAGGATGATATTTTTGGTGAATGTCTAGTTCGATATATCACTGAATTGAGGATGAAATGTTCCATGCAATGAACTGAAAAAATCATGAAAGGACAGTTTGAAAAACTAAAGTTAAAGGTGGTTCCTAGTAGATTGTTCGCCATGAGAGTGATTCGATTCCATTGTGTTGGAGAGCTCACGCTTCCATATTGTCCACAATTCTTTGAAATTTTTTTCAATGTTGGATAACCTAGATATCTGTTGACCTTAATGCCCTGGGACACCTGATATCTTCTGAATATCAGTTATGAATTTTTGCATTTCAGATCCATGTGGAAAGAGTGCACATTGCGGTACTTGCGCTCAATGCATCGTCAAAAACCATGTTGCACAATGCAGCTGTCCCGTAAACTTCCTAGGAAACCCATTGATCGCATGTACTCAGGCCGCAACCAGATGTAACTCGTTCTGTGAATGCGACGAAATCGGATATTGCACAAAATCTTGCAAAATCCAATCGGACTGCGCGTGTGGCGAAACATGCGCCGCAGGAAAATGCCGCAACAAGTGCGCATCGCAGTCGTCCTGCGCCCAAGGCCAAATATGCTCCCAAGGCGCATGTCTTCCTGGTTGCAAGACAAACAGCGACTGCCCGAACGCCGAGGTTTGCAAAAACAAAAAGTGCGACAACCCTTGCAAAGTGCGAGGAGCTTGTGGCAAAAACGCCTTGTGCAGAGCTGCCGATCACCGAAAAGTGTGCTTGTGTCCTGATGGTTACCAAGGCAACCCAGCTCAATCTTGCTCCCCATTCGAGTGCACCAAAGACAACGATTGCGAGTCGAACAAAAAGTGTGGAGAAGATAGAGTGTGCAGGAACCCATGCTTAGAAAAAGGAGTTTGCGGGGTTAATGCTCAATGCCGCGTGTTGGATAGGAACCCCCTTTGCTCTTGCCCGATAGGCTACATAGGCAACGCCTTGGTGGAATGCAAACAAGTTAACGAAGGATGCTCGAAGAACCCTTGCGGTCCAAACGCGAAATGTAAAGAACTAGACGGAAGCTCTGAGTGCACCTGTAACCCTGGATGCATAGGCGATGCTCAGAGAGGCTGCGTTTGCGGTATGGAATCGGTCGATTTGTGCAAAAATAAACTTTGTGGTGCTGGAGCACTATGTAAGGTCATCGACAATAAGCCCCAGTGCTATTGCCCGGAAAATAAATCATCAGGTGATCCGACAATCGAATGTAAGTTTTGTTTTCTGCAAGAATGAATTAGAGTATTAATTGCATTGGATCCTGTAGGTTCTTCAGAAAAGAGTTTGGCCGACTGTAGAACCGAAGGGTGTGGTAAAAACTCGGAATGCATTCGAGAACAGGCGTTTTTCGTCTGCCGGTGTTTACCAGGTTATGCCGAAGAACCTGGCAAGGGTTGCATCAGGGGTGAGTATTGCACCAAAGAGTATTGGACCCACTATGATCCTCTTCCCATTGTATACAGTACATAGGCTTTCTGCTCATAAAGTTTCTGAGAATGTTACACGGATTTGTACAAATTCAATGAAAACGCATAATGGGTGACGTAGACATCACGATTCGATATCATTTGTAGAGGTACTTGATTTGTAAATATTGTACTAGTTGTTGGCGATCGTGATCACAGCTCGTCATGTGGAATGTACACTTCAGGGTTCCAATCTGCCTATCACGAAATCCTGATGAGCCCAAGCTTCCCATCACCCAGCACATTCCACACAACAGTGCAATCAGTAATACCATAGATCATGATAAAAAGGCGCCCTGTGCGGTTGAGCGCAGCGGGTATGATGGATGATAAGTCAGATTGGGAACTATGAAAGGAGCATTCTCACATCGTTCACTTTGTACATTATAGCGTTGGTCTCTGTGCCGTTGTGCTTGTAAATACTGCCGCTTGTTCGGTCACGTTGAGATGGCCTCTTTCATTTCTCTCATCCTCTGACTGTCCTTATCACACCCGCATGCGACGTTCAGTTTAGCGAGATTTGCCCTCTTCATCAATGCTTTCTCTTTCTTGTCCCCGTTCCCGCAGCCGCCGAATGTAACACTGACTTGGAATGTCCGCAAGAAAACGCATGCATCAACTTCCAATGCATAGATCCGTGCACTCTGAGAGGAGCCTGCGGACTGAACGCCCTGTGTCGAACCGTCCTGCACAGACCGAGATGTTCCTGTCCCGATTGTCACACCGGTGTGGCTAGCACAGCCTGCCATCCCGACGAGAAATGCTTGTCCGTGCAGGGCAGACCCGCTAACACGACCCTGTGTAGATCAAACACCGACTGCTCTGACGACTCGAGCTGCGATATCCCCACGGGAGAATGCTACGACCCTTGCGCTAACCCGCAGTTCAAATGCAGGGGTAATAAAAAATGCGAGGTCCACCGACACAAACCTACTTGCGTGTGCAAAAACGGTTTCGTGGTGAACGGCTACGGGGAAATAAGTTGTGCAGCCGACCACACCGAATGTTACCAGGACGATCAGTGCCCTGAGAATAAAGCGTGCTTGGAAGGGCTGTGTCAGAGTCCCTGCACGGTGCATTTCACATCCCCCTGCCCACCGGAAAAGGGCTGCGATGTGGTGAACCACAAGCCGGTATGCATCTGTCTGAAAAACTGCTCGCCCTCGCTATCGATTTGTCTGAGGGACCAAGGTTGTCCCGTCGATCAAACTTGTAGAGCGTTCCGGTGCGAGGATCCCTGTGCCACAGCCAACTGTCCGGAGAACACGCCCTGTCACGTGGAAGACCACAGGGCCGTTTGCCAGTTCTGTCCGCCAGGGTTCGAATCAGATGCGAAGTATGGATGCGTCCAAGGTAAAAATTGACTCGGGGGGTGCGAAATACTTAGTGCTTGACGACAGTCGAAATGATGAGCTCCGGTTGCTTTCGGTTAAAGTACGCAGTGCCTAATAGAACGAACTCTCTCCGCTGTATTTTAAATCCCCTTCAAACTGTCTCAGTTTTTCTCCTATCTAAACTCTTTCTTGCTATACCCGCTAGTCACCTCTGGACAAATGTTGTGTTTGGTACAGTTTCTCTTTCAGGATGATGTCGTTAACAACTGCTGTTCTTGCCTCTAACTAAATTCTCCTAGCTACTGGTGGAAAATGAACGAAAATGTTTAAGTTTTGGATCTCTAGATGATGCACGTGTGACGTCACACAAAGACCTCGCGCAACTTTGATTTGGATTTACATGTCCAGCTTTCCTCAATTCTCCATGTAAACATGGTTTCTGTATATACTGTAGCTCATGATTCTTTAGTTGGTGATGGATGGGGTTGCTTTGGTTTAGAGATCTTAGTGAGAAGCTTATCGCATACAATCTATTGGCATAGAGGAGATATATTTACGATTTTCATCCAGAAATGGGGTTTGTGATAAAAAATTGTAACAGGTCTCTTTTTATAACTCAAATTATTTCTCCCACATCAGATGTTTTATGTCGCTCGCACTCAGAATGCCAAGAACAACAGGCTTGCATAAACAAGAAATGCCAGAATCCTTGCACCATTTCGAATCCATGTACGCAATCTCAAGACTGTCAAGTACAAGATCATCAGCCAGTATGCGTAAAAGGTATGTCTTTTTGTCTCTTGAGCAAATGTTCAGTTCCATACTCAATAATCGATTTTTACAGTTTGCCAATGTCAACGCCACGAGGACTGTGGAAATAACTCGAATTACAAGTGTGACGGTTGCAAATGCTTCGTTGGTAAGTGATCGATCATTACAACTATTTCACTGAACATTTCAGTGGTTATATCCGCTTATCTGATTTTGTAGAAGAAGCTAGAGTGCCACAATGCCAGCATTGTCCTCCTGGAGTACCCTGTGATCCTGTAACAGGAGCTTGTTCCAAAGGTGAGTACTCTAAAATAGTAACATTGGTCAGTCATCTCATAGAAAGTGTTGCTGTTTTTATAACCATCTCCATCCATATATTCCTCTCCAACATTGGTGATACTGAAGCCGCTTATATCAAGAGATTCAACCGCTTCATGCCTTGGCATCAATAGGACTCAAGAAATGATTGCAGCTTGTCATATAACTGTACATTATTCTAACATATCATTGTAAATTTTGAAAATAGCAACACTATTTTTTTCATTTTTTTTCGCACCCCTCTCATTTTCCTCAAATCAGTTCATTAGATTTTTTTTCTGTAAATAATGTTATTTTGTAAATATTGAACTAAGTAGTTATTTTTAGTGGTATAGTAGTGGTGAAGGTATATTATTGCTTCTCAATGCATGTCAATATCACTTTACATATCATCATTCACGACATTATTCATCGAAATATTGTAAATATGATAGACACTAACTCGTATTATTTGTTTTTGAAATAACAGATATGGGTACAACACCTGAAACACTAACCGAAACACAAACTGTGACTCTTTCACAAATAACAAATGCTACCTCTACTACCACTCTAACATTTACTGAACCTGGAATTAGTGAGGAGACCGTTGCCCCATACACATCTGGAACTCCTGAGAAGAAAATAAGTCTGGCCACAGAAACTATCGGATTTTTCACATCAAACCCCATAACTACCCAGGAACCAATGGTTCCTTTCACTAGTGGATTGATAGCGTCAACGACTGAAGGGAAATTAAAGGTCTATCCATTGACTACTACAACTGAGAAATATATAACCGTTACTCCTCAATATTCGACAACGAACACAGCTGAAATGAATGAAATTACAGTAACAACATATGCTTCGTCACAAACTACTACAGAACCAGAAATTGTGAACGCTGAAAGTTCCCCTACGGTAACGTCAACAACTATAATCCCTTCCTATTCATCGACAGATACACCTTCAACAGAAAACATTCCATCAACCTCATTGATAGAAGAACAAACAACCCTCGTTGGAGGAAAATCGACATTACCTGATATTATAGGTCAAACCACGATTGTTTCGCCAACTGAAACTCCAAGAACTACTAATGCATCAACGGGCACTACAGCAGAATCAAGAACAGAAACAACTACGAATGTATTCGATAATTTCATCAATCAAACAACGACACCAGAATCATCCACAGTCAGAGATATAGAGACTTCTACTAAACTTATAACAATCTCGAATTCAGTCACTACTCATTCTCCAACTGAAACCATGGCACAGTCTTCAACAACAACGACTCAACTGTCTGAAGTCACAACTACTCAAAAACTGTCTGTGTCTAGCTCCACTGGAACTACAACCATAATTTCATCATCTGAGAGTCATTCGACTCCACCTCCAGGGATGGAGTCGACGACAGAAATAGAAATAGTAACAGATAACAAGTTACACACCACTACGATATATACTGAACTAGATGAATCAAAAGTAACTGAAGAAATATCTTCGCCTGGAATCGAACAAGAGCAGACCACCAAATCTTCGACTGGAGTAGCAACTGACGTAACGGAGGAGTCAAGCAGGAAAACAACTGAGGAATTACCCGAAATGCAATCCACAACACAATCAGTAGCAACAATAACATCTGGCATAGAATTCACCTCACAACATAATACACATATGGAAACTTTAACATTAAGGGATAATATTCCACAAGAAACAACTACCGAGAGATATTCTGAAAAACCAGAAGCGTCCACTACTAGTACAACTACATCTACTTCATCAACTGACACCACTGGGATACATTCAATTCCGCCTTCATTGACAGAAACTCCTTCAACATCATCGCTAGATGTAACATCTGGAGAAGTTACAATAGTATCCTCAACAACAAGCTCTGTAGAAACGGAAATTCCTGGCTCCACATTAAAAACAGAAATAGGAAAAATGACGACTAGAACGGTTACAGAAACACCAACTATGCTAGTATCAAATCAAGAAGGCACGACTACAAATACACCAAAACTACAGAGCACTACTCCAGAATCGACTACAGTTGAGATGCAGACAACAATATCTCCAGTGACAATTTCAGAACATACCACTGCTGAAATTTCTTCAGAAGAAATGTCCACATCATCAACTATAACTGAACCCACACTTAAGGAAATTACTGAAGGTGTACCACCGGAAGGAAGTCAGTACACAATGACACCACTTGATATGAAAACAGAAATAGCGCAACAAAGTACTATTTCATCAATAGTTCCTAATTCTATCCACGATACCACAACGAAAATTCCTGAAGTCATTACTGTATCAACACAAAAATCGGATGAGCACGCATCCAAAAAAACTGTTCCCACTGAGATGAGTTCAGTTATAACAAGCTCATCTTTTCTTCAAACATCAACTTCACCAAATCGAGTTGAGGCTAGGACCGAAATGATACAAGAAACGACAGCATCCCAAACAGAAACAATACTTTTGCAGACAGTTACTGGAAGTGAGACTCATTCCATGGAACAACCTCGTTCTACAACAGAATCTGAACTCACAACTGAGAGTACGGTAACTGCTTTCCCATCTGAAAAGACAAACACTCTGTTCAAGGAAACAACAGTGGACATAGTATTGAAAACTACGCAGAAACCTACAACAACTTCATTCAGTGGAGTCAATGTTAGCGAAACTGTTATTGAAGGAACCACAACAGATGCAGTAATCAGTGAATTCACAACTCTTGGCACTCGAGGAACAGAAAAATCAACTTTAGGAAGTACTAGTGCTTCAAGTACTACAGATACCAGAACTGAATCATTATATACAGATAACAGTACCGAACTCACTACTGAAAATGTTGGAGAATCATCTACGATGATTGGAAAGAACAGAGAAACTACACCAGTTGAAATGAAAACAACAACTGTTAGTAACGAAGTAACTCTGATTACTACGAAGCCAACAGAACCCACCACTTTGTTGAATACAACTTTGAGTGAAGAGGCAATAACAGTGAAATCGGAAACTACACCTTATAGCACATATCATACTTCCCAAATTCCTGTTGAAATTACTACTGGTACCCCGATTCATGAGGGAACTGTGATGTCAGAATCACCATCGGCCTCTGTAACAGAGCTAGTAACAACTACTGAAGCAGAAAAAAATATATATACAACGCCAAGAGCTAGTGTGACTGATAGTACAACTCCACAAAAAGCAACAGCTTTCACTGCCAAAACTGATATGGAAACCTCTGTTGAATCGAAGATGACTCCACATTCATTGATAACTACAGAAACTGGAATTGAAGAGGCGTCAACAGAAACTGCAGACGTCGAAAAATCAACTTCTTCACCAACGAGTAAGGCCACGAGTTCAGGAGAATGGATTACACAGAGCTCTTTTAAAACAACTATCAATCAGCTCACTACTCTTATTCCAGAAACAACAGCAATTGTCACTGACACGTTCACTCAAAGCTCCGTTGGGAGTACTCTCAAAGAGACAATTTCTACTCCAGGTACTGCCAGTACGTTATTTCAATCAGAATCGCCTTCGAGATTAACTACAGTACCTACTCTGATTACGGAACAATCAACCACTATCACTCCAGAAACATCATCTCCGTTGTCACAATCGGTAATACCTGGGAGATCAACGACACAATCAACTCTTACCACACATGTAGTTGAAGAGGTTACAACAACAACAACCAGTTATTCTGAAACCCCTAATTATTCACCTACAGAAGCTACAACATTTGCAAACGAAGAGTTGACACACAGCTCTACTGCGAGCACTCTTAAAGAGACCTTTGCTACTACAGGAACTTCTACTACATCATCTCAATCAGAAACTTCTACAAGATTAACTACAGTATCTTATCCGAGTTCAAATGAAATGGATTTCGATAAAACTACTTTTATGCCTACCGAAATGACAACAACCATTTCCAATGAGATAATCACACAAAGATCTGGAGGAACTACTGTTAGTGAGTCAACCACTATTACTCCAGAAACATCATCTCTGTTGGCACACTCGGAAAAACCTGGAACATTATCTACGTTTCCAACTCTACCAACACATGGAGCTGAAGAGATTTCAACAACAACCACTCAATCTGAAAAACCTTCTCATATACCAACAGAGACGACAACATTCGCGAGTGAGAGGTCCACACAAAGTTCTAGTGGAAGCACTCTCGAAGATACTATTGCCAGTCAGTCAGGAACGTCTACAAAATCACATGAAATGTCAACGCCTACTACAAATGAAATAAGAGAGGTTTCAACAGTGAGTACCATTCATCCTGAACGAAGTTCGTTTGTGCCTACAGAAACGGAAACCGAAAATGACATGATTACGCAGAGCTATGGTATAACCACTATTGGTGAGACAATCAGCTCCATGTCAGAAACATCTACTCGGTTACCTGGTTCGGAGACTTCAACAAAAGTTACTACCAAATCCATTGATGAGATATTCACACAAACCTTTGGTGGAACTACTATCACTGAACCAAATACTATCACCCCAGAAACATCTTCTTCGTTACCAGAATCGGAAACATCTGAGAGATCGACAATTATTCTTGAGAGAACTACGTTTATATCAACAGAAATGGCCCCAATTGCGAATGAAACTTCTACACAAAGCTATGTTGTAACCATTTCTGGTGAGCCAATCACCTTTCCTACTTCATCATCTCAAACCGAAAATTCTTCAAATCCAACAACCACAAATCCAACAAGTTCTAGAGTAACTACTCTTGGAGAACCTAGTACATCAGCAATTGCCCAGCCTGAAACATCCACAATATCAACTATATCATCTGTTCCAACTACAGAAGTAATTGGAGAAGTATCAACAAACTCTGGAGGAACAACTATTGAAGAACAAACCACCGTTACTTCTACTTCAACTTTAGTGTCTCAATCGGAGATTTCTTCAAAATCATCTACAATACCAACACAAAGTTATGTTGAAACCACTCCTAGTGAAGGGATTTCGACAACTTTGGTTTCTTCAGATGAAGTGACAGTGGAATACACTACACAACGTAGTTCAGAAAGCAGTGAGATTACGTCTGAAAGTATTTTATCAACTGAATCTATGGTCTCATATCCCAACACGATGAGCACTGGTGAATCTGGATCGAGCCCAGTAACTAAACCAGGTATGGAAATCACCAAAGGTGAAGGAACTTCTATAGTATATACTTCCTTCACCACTGAAGAATCACTTAGTACGAAATCATCAGAAGTTACTGAATTATTCGAAGGAAGACACAGAGTTACTACCGACATACCTCAAGTACCAACTGAACCTGTAACTCAGTCACATGAGTTTAGCACTATTATGAGTTCAGAGCATCCTCTAATAACAGTGACTAATTTCACCGTATCTAGATCTAGCCCAGTTACTGAACCAAGTCTGGAAATCACCGAAGCTGAAGGAACTACTGTAGCATATAATTCCATAACCACTGAAAAATCACTTAGTACGAAATCATCAGAAGTTACTGAATTATTCGAAGGGAGACACAGAATTACTACCGACCTACCTCAAGTACCAACTGAACCTGTAACTCAGTCACATGAGTTCAGCACTATTATGAGTTCAGAGCATCCTCTAATAACAGTGACTAATTTCACCGTATCTAGATCTAGCCCAGTTACTGAACCAAGTATTCGAATCACCGAAGCTGAAGGAACTACTGTAGCATATAATTCCATAACCACTGAAAAATCACTCAGCACGAAATCATCAGAGGTTAGTGAATTATACGAAGGAAGACACAGAGTTACTACCGAAATAACTGAAGAATCAACTGAACCGGTAACTCATTCACATGAGTTGAGCACTGTCATGAGTTCCGAGCATCCTCTAATAATAGTGAAAAATGTCACCAATGAAGTTGGATCACAGTGTAACTCTAACAGGGATTGTTCTGGTATAGAGGTGTGTATAGCGAAACTTTGCATCGAGGTTTGTGCAATAGGAGGTACGTGTGCTCCAAATGCTCTTTGTAGCGCTAAGAATCATACGGCAACTTGTTCCTGTTTTCCACACTTCTATGGAGATCCACATAGGATATGCATCCAAGGTATAACACTTTCAATCACTCCAACGTTTTGTATAGTACTGTAAATATTATTTTTATTGTTTTGAATTAATTTACAATACCTAATGAAACTAATTTTGCACTAGTAAAACAATCAGTAACAATTGCTTTAATTTTGGTTAGAGGTAATTATTCGATAATCTCAATTGGAGAACTATATAATTCAATAATTCATTAACTCATCAATGTATTAATCTCATTTTCAATAGAACCACCTAGTCAAAGGGCACCTAAACCTTGCAAGTCTGATATGGACTGTCTCGAGAGCGAGGCATGTTACATGTCGCTGTGCCAAGACCCTTGCGAATTTACGAACGCCTGTGCAAAATCTGCTAGATGTCAAGCGAAGATGCACAGGCCAATTTGTACTTGTCCAACTGGATACGAAGGAAACCCTGCAACTAACTGCTTCAAATCTCCCACAAGTAAGATAACCCAGTGATAATCAACCATATTAATATCAATAAATTCACTAAAAAGTAAACCAATAATCAAATTTGTAATTTTTGTAAATTCTCCAAACGAATCTTCCGAAAGATCTTGTAAATATTATAAATAGATTAGATTAGCGTCTTCTTCTCTCTATTTCTTTGCACCCTTTCCATATAGCGAGTTGCACGAGGAACGAAGACTGCTCCATCACAGAAGCTTGCATTGACAGTGCCTGTCAGGAACCTTGCGGCAAGAGAAATCCATGTGCACAACATGCCATCTGTATAAATACGAATCACGGATCCGATTGTCTCTGTGAAGAAGGTTTCCAAGGCAACGGCTATGTAGGATGTGTGCCAGGTAAGAAAGATCTCAGTGAATGCACTAATAGACTATAATCAACCAATTTACCTTCCAGTGATAGACTATAAACCGATATGTCAATACAACGAAGATTGTCCACCGAACAAACTATGCGATAGACTCAACAGGATTTGTATCAATCCTTGCTTCGAAGATTCTTGCGGAGAGAATGCTGAATGCTTACCGAAAGATCACGGTATAGAATGCCGTTGTTTGAACGGTTTCCACGGAAATCCATATACCGAATGTTTGGGTATACAGGGTTGTAGATCGGACGAAGAATGTGACTCGAACGAGGCTTGTATAAACGGCCAATGCGCTTCACCTTGCAGATGTGGCATGAACGCTATCTGTGACGTTATTTACCACGTCGCCAATTGCAAATGCCCTCCTGGTTATATTGGAAACGCACTCGTAGGGTGTCAGCCACCTTCAAACCCTTGCGACCCGAACCCATGTGGACTCAACGCTCTCTGCGAACTCGATAACGGCAATCCGATCTGCTTCTGTCCTAAGGGCCTCACAGGAAATCCATTCAAAAATTGCAGTAAGTTCATAATGAAAATGACCATTCACGCACAATCACTCATACATTTATTTTCAGTTCCAGAAGGTGATGAGTGTTCTCCGAATCCTTGTGGTCCAAACTCGGGCTGTCGAGTAGTAGGCGGTGACGCTGTTTGTTTCTGTCTACCAGAGTTCGAAGGAACACCACCCCAAACACCCTGTGCCTTACCATCGAACCCATGTGATCCATCCCCTTGTGGTCCCAACACCCAATGCACGATCCTTTCCAACGGTTTCGCCAAATGCACCTGCTTACCCGGTTTCCTAGAAAGTCCCAACACCATCCGTGGTTGTGTAGAGACGAAAAACCCTTGCGAACCGAACCCTTGCGGTCACGGTGCTCGCTGTGATCCTCTAAGCGAACCAGTATGCTTCTGTCCTACAGGAACTATCGGAAATCCTTTCAAGACTTGCAACGAGCCTCAAGTAACGGCTTTATGTACTCCTGGACCTTGCGGGGTGAACTCAGACTGCTATGTATCCAACAATCAAGAGCAGTGTTATTGCAAGCCGGGATTCATCGGCAATCCGTATTCGGGCTGTCGATTGGAACCGACATCGCCGTGTCTTCCCAATCCTTGTGGACCTGGTGCTCACTGCATTGTGACACCTGAAGGACATTCCATGTGTCGCTGTCCAGAAGGTATGGGTGGAGATCCTACCGGACCTGCTGGTTGCCACGGTTACGAATGTGTGGTGGATGGCAACTGTCAGCTGCACGAAGCTTGCATAGGATACAGGTGCAAAGACCCTTGTCCAGGATCTTGCGGGGTAAACGCGAACTGCAGAGTTGAACAACATCATCCGGTATGCACGTGCGATGCTGGATGCACAGGGAATCCCGATATCCGTTGTTACCCGGTGCCAGAACCTCTACCGGTAGATAATTCTTGTATGCCAAGCCCTTGCGGGTTCAACACGCTTTGCCAAGTTGTTTCTGGCAGAGCTGTTTGTTCCTGCTTGCCAGATTTCCAAGGCGACCCTCAGTTTGGTTGTCGTCCGGAATGTGTACTCAACTCGGACTGTCCAATAAGTAAGGCTTGTCTGAACAGGCATTGCGTTGACCCTTGTGGCATTGCGAACTTGTGTGGCGTTCACGCTACCTGTCAGGTCAGGGATCATACTGCTACCTGTCTATGCCCTCCAGGTTATATAGGCGATCCTTTCTCCCAATGTATCTTCACTCCACCGGTTACTATTCCAACTTATCCCAACACCACCGTTCAGCCATGTCTTCCTTCACCGTGTGGATCGATGGAATGTAATATTTATGGTACTCAAGTAGCTATTTGTGATCCGTGCTTGGGACCAGAAGCTGCCTACAATCCTAAGTGCAGACCAGAATGTTTGACCAATGCCGATTGTCCATTCAATAGAGCTTGTTTGGGCTTGTCTTGCGTCGATCCTTGTCCTGGATCATGCGGGGTAAACGCCATTTGTACTGTAGTACAACACACACCTGTTTGTAGCTGTCCCCAAGGGCTTTTTGGTGATCCTTTCCAACACTGCTCAGTACCTTTAAGTAAGTCAAGATTCTTCATTTGTTGGATATTCTTCTATAATGTTTCATTTCAGAACCAGAACCACATATCGAAACCTGCGAGAGTATCAGCTGCGGAGCCAATGCTGACTGTAAACAACTGACGAATGCTCTAGCTTGTGTGTGCAAGCCAGGTTTCTTCGGGAACCCGTGGATTTCTTGTCGTCCAGAATGTGTAGTGAATCCAGATTGTCCGCTAAAGCAAGCGTGTATAAACAACAAGTGCATAGATCCTTGTGGGGGTGTTTGTGGTAATGGTGCCCATTGCGATGTGACTAATCACATTCCGATTTGCTATTGCCCACCAGACTCTACAGGCAACCCGTTCGTTTCCTGTTACGGTTACAAACCAACAGTGGAAGTTACACCAAGCTTGCACCCATGCGATCCCTCGCCTTGTGGTCCGTTCAGTAGGTGTATGATTTCGCAACAAGGTTTCGCTACTTGTTCTTGTCTTCCGAATTATCAAGGCGCTCCACCCGCTTGCAAACCTGAATGCATCGTCAGCTCGGAATGCTCGCAAATGAAGGCGTGTGTCAACCAAAAATGTGTGGATCCGTGTGTCGGGTCTTGTGGAGCCAATGCCATCTGCACCGTCATCAATCACAATCCGATTTGTAGCTGTACGCCGGGACAACAAGGTGATCCCTTCGTCAATTGTTACACTCCACCTGTAACGGAGAAACCGAAAGATGCTGAAAACCCTTGTGTACCAAGCCCGTGTGGACCAAACTCGATATGCCAGGTCAAAGAAAACAGACCGGTTTGTTCCTGTCAAGTCAACTACATCGGCAGTCCACCATATTGCAGACCGGAGTGTACGATAAACCCTGAGTGCCCGAGAGATAAGGCTTGCATCAAAGAAAAATGTGTCGATCCTTGTTTCGAGTTATGCGGCCGAAATGCCAAGTGCAACATCGTCAATCACAATCCGTTCTGCAGCTGCTTGCCTGGTTATGAAGGCGATGCCTTTATAGGCTGTTCGAGGATACCCATCGTGGTTGAACCTCGGGATCCGTGCAATCCATCACCTTGCGCGGAAAATTCGCAGTGTTCGGTGAATGCAGGGGTAGCTAGATGTACCTGCATCCCGCCTTACATCGGAAATCCTTACGTCAGCGGTTGCAGGCCTGAATGTACGATGAATTCTGACTGTGCCAGTCATTTGGCTTGTTTGTCACAATACTGCAGAGATCCTTGTCAGGGTTTGTGCGGGATCAATGCCGAATGTACGGTTGTCAACCACGTACCAGTTTGTACTTGCGGTAGGGGATTGACAGGAGATCCATTCACCGCTTGCAGAGAACGATTGCCTCAACGTAAGTTACATGTCTACCTAATTCATTTCACTCATCATTCAGCAATAATTTTATTACAGCACCAACGAATCCATGTGAACCCAGTCCTTGCGGACCTAACAGCGTCTGTCGAATGAGGAACGATCAAGCGATCTGTTCCTGCCAAGTAGGGTACTTTGGCACTCCGCCATCTTGTAGGCCAGAATGTTTAGTTTCTTCGGAATGCAGCTCGGATAAGGCGTGTATCAATCAAAAGTGTCAGGATCCTTGTCCTGGAACTTGCGGTATCGCTGCCAGATGTCAAGTCAACAATCACAATCCCATATGCAGTTGCCCGGCTAACTTCGTAGGAGATCCTTTCATTCAGTGTACGAAAATGGGTGAGTACTCTTTTGGAATCTTGAAATAGTTTTTATCGAACTAGTACCATATAATAGCTATCGAACTATTCCGATTCTACCTAAAATGCCAGGTATCGATGCCAAAAATCCATTATCCTTCCCTTGGACTTATTGCTCAATTTAACAAAATAACTCATCATACCAGCAATGAAAATATCGCTATCATTTTGATTCTGTGATCTAAATAGGAACTGTTGCAATCTGAATATAGAAAAAAGTTCGCATTTCTACCTTGGGCTCAATGGTCAGGTTAACGAACGTCCAACATATGAAAATGTTGATTCCTCTTCTATTTTGTTACTTGATCAGGCAGTGCTTTTACTCAAAAAATTCATTGGCGACATCATAATTGAGCTATCTGTGCTCTGAAAGTAATTTGAATTTTGCCGTTGGACCTAGGTACTACTCAATCCAATCTCCAAAAATATCTTTACAATCTATCAATATATCAGTTTTTCTTCGATCCCGAGACCTTGATATATGTTCTTCTCCTGTTCTGGAAATCAATTCTCGATTTCTTGTAACGTAGAGAATAACCTAAAACGTTTATTGGTAGGTTATAGGGACATTTTGATTCGTTAGTGTCAGAAAGTGTGTTGTACCAGACTTCTCAGTTTGAACTAACAACGTATTTATTTTACTTGACAGTATTGACACCAAACATCACTCAGTCTTTCAATATCTGTATCTGTTTCCATATAGTATGGAGCAATTGTATATTCAGTAGTATCACTATTAGTACCTCAAAATATTCGGGTTTTACATCGATAACTTATTGCATAATTATACAGTCTGTTAAACTGTTAAATTGACCCGATATGTATATGTGCGAGAAGTCTGAGATGTATAACCTTGAATATTCTGAAGTTCAATTGAACGTTCTGATTGGTTTGGTTTGAAATCATACGAAGAAAATGAACAAATTAACGAATCAGATTATTGTAGATAATATCTATCAACTGTAGATAAATCAATAGTAAAAAAACTTTTCTGAAAATCATTCCATCTGATACTTTTTGAAGGATTGAACGTTTTTTGAATTCAATCAAAGCAAAAAGTTGAGTACATCAAACAATTTATATGATATGACAAATTTTCACAAAATGTATTTTGTGGATCACATATTTTCTTGAGATCATAGTTATCGATATCGTCCACCATCTTGAAGCAGACATTATGAATATCTGACAAATTTCAAGTTTATCGGATGACTAGAATTGGGTCAAAATTCAATTTCAAAATTTGTTCAAAAACATATACATTCAAACATTGCGTTGGAAAGGAGCTCGTAAAGCATGAATTTTTTTATCACAGTGAAACCGGAAAGACCAACAACCCCGTGTATACCATCCCCATGCGGAGCGAATGCGGAGTGCCGCACGGTAGACAACAGAGCCGTATGCTCGTGCCTACCAGATATGTTCGGGGCACCTCCGAACTGTCGACCCGAGTGCCTCATCGACCAGGATTGCCCCTTGAATCTAGCTTGCAGCGGCAACAAGTGCAAGGATCCCTGTAAAGGGGTGTGCGGGTTCAACACCCAATGTCGAGCTGTCAACCACAGATCGATTTGCAACTGTCTTTCTGGTTTCGAAGGTGATCCGTTTTCAGGATGCAGTCCGATACCAGGTAGGTGGCATGATCTTTTCACCTTGAACGTGTTTTGTTCTTGTTTTTCTTCCTATGCATGTTTGTGTTTGAGTATGTTGTACTTTTTTCATCACTTTATATATGTAGATTTTTCCATGCCAGATGGTTTCCTTTCAGAGAAACTTCCAGTGTCACTCATTAATAAAATCAATGAGCTTTCATATTCAGTGAGCAACAAAATACATGAAAACTGATTTTTCCTCACGGTGGTCGAGAAGTCATAATGAATTTGAAAACCGAACTTCCACTTTACAGAAGTAAAACAAAAGTATTTTGAAACTCATTCATCTATTCTTTGAGCCTCTTAAATTCTCTTCAATCCTCTCAACCTTTCATTGTCTGAAACTCTTTTTCCAGTTGAAACTGAATTTTTTTCTGGACATGGAGTCATCTGGCCTTTTTACTTCATTTCTTCTAGCTTCATTCTGTTTCCTTCTAGTAGTCGTAGAAGAACCGCGAAACCCTTGTAACCCATCTCCTTGTGGGTCCAACGCGCGATGCACCGAAAGAAATGGCGCTGGTGCTTGTACATGTTTGACCGGATATTTTGGCGATCCATATTCGGGTTGTAGACCAGAATGTTTGACGAACACCGATTGTTCGCACGACAAAGCTTGCACGAACATGAAGTGCAGTGATCCGTGTCCAGGCAGTTGCGGATTGAACGCTGAATGTTCGGTCGCCAACCACAATCCCATATGCTATTGCCCGGAAGGTTTCACAGGAAACGCTCTGTCACTTTGCAGGAAATTCGAACCTAGTAAGACCAACAACACCTCGAGAGTCATTCGTGATAAAAACTGATTTTTCCCTAGTTATATACGAAGAACAAAAGAGAAACCCATGCAGTCCATCACCTTGTGGTCCTTATAGTGTATGCCGTGTACAAGACGAAAGACCGGTATGTTCTTGCTCTCCAGGTTGCATAAATGCACCTCCAAACTGCAGACCAGAATGCGTTGTCAACTCTGAATGCCCACTCGATAAAGCCTGTCAGAATCAGAAATGCATTGATCCGTGCCCTGGAACCTGTGGCTTCAACGCATTGTGCAAAGTTATAGTACATAGCCCCATTTGTAGCTGTCCACAATCATTCGTGGGTGATCCGTTCACCACTTGCTTCAAGGAAGAAAGTAAGCTTGTAATGCCAATGTCTCCATAGGGTTCTCCAAGTGCTGATTTTTATTTTAGAACGCCCAGATATCGAACTGCCTAAAAATCCTTGTTTACCATCACCTTGTGGATTGTATGCGGAATGCCGAGTTCTAGAGAACAGACCAGTTTGCTCTTGCCTAGAAAACTATTATGGCCAACCACCGAATTGCAGACCAGAATGCACAGTTAATTCTCAGTGTCCTTCATCTCTGGCTTGTATAAATCAGAAATGCCAGGATCCTTGCCGTGGATCCTGCGGATCGAATTCTGAGTGTAGCACCATCAATCATTCCCCAGTTTGTTTCTGTGCTCCTGGCTATACGGGAGATCCATTCTCTGGTTGCTACGAATGTAAGAATACGATAATTTTACTAACGTTCTCGCAGAACACTAACGACAGTATCGGATTTCTCGCCATAACCAACTTTTTCAGATCAACCTGCAATCGAAGAACCTGCTCATCCATGTAATCCTTCTCCTTGTGGAGCAAATGCGATTTGTAGAGAACTCAACGGTGCTGGATCATGTACATGTTTACCAGAGTATTTTGGAGATCCTTACTCAGGTTGCAGACCAGAATGTGTTGTCAATTCTGACTGTCCTCGCGAAAAAGCTTGCGTGAATAACAAATGTGGAGATCCTTGTATTGGTACTTGCGGACTGAACGCCAACTGTCACGTGAATAATCACATACCGACTTGTACCTGTATACCAAGCTATACAGGAGATCCTCTAAGGTCCTGCTATTACATATCGGAAAAACCTCGTAAGGTTCTTTACCTCACTCCAAATTCTTTTAACTTCAATTATATTTTCTCTAGCTGTGATAGAAGAACCCAGTGATCCTTGTATACCGTCACCTTGTGGTCAGTTCAGTCAGTGCAGGACAGTGAATGATCATGCGGTGTGCTCTTGTTTACCAAACTATATAGGGTCACCTCCCATGTGTAGACCCGAATGCTTAGTTAGCACTGATTGTGCTCAAGATAGAGCATGTATAAACCAAAAATGTAAAGACCCATGTCCAGGAACATGTGGACTGAATGCCAGATGTCATATAACTAATCACAATCCAATATGTAGTTGTCCACCTGGACAAACAGGAGATCCTTTTATACGATGTATTCAAGAACAAAGTGAGCAACAAAAACTAACTTGCAGGGTGTATAGTCTATAAATGATTTATTTTAGGGCGCCCCATAGTTGAACCAAGCGGTAATCCATGCATACCTTCACCTTGTGGTTCCAATTCTCAATGCAGAGCTATTGGCACACAAGCAGCATGTTCTTGTCTACCGAATTTCATCGGAAGGGCTCCAAACTGTCGCCCAGAATGTACCATAAACGCAGAGTGCTCGGGAAATTTGGCTTGCATCAATGAGAGATGTAAAGATCCCTGTCCAGGATCATGCGGTTCAAGTACTACTTGCATCGTCATCAAACACTCACCCAACTGTCAATGTCAAAGTGGATTCACTGGAGATCCTTTCTCCGGTTGTTCTCCTATTCCAATTCTACCGATAGAAGAGCCTATGCCATGCAATCCTTCTCCCTGTGGGGCGAACGCCGTTTGTAAAGAACTAAACGGGGCTGGCTCTTGTACTTGCATATCGGACTATTTTGGCGACCCCTATACGGGATGCAGACCAGAATGCGTGATCAACACAGACTGCCCGAGAGACAGATCTTGTTTAAACAATAAATGTAGGGATCCTTGTCCTGGAACTTGCGGGATCAACGCCGAATGCAGAGTTTCCAACCACGCACCCTCTTGCTTCTGTTTCGAAGGATATACCGGCAATCCAGCCACTTCGTGCCATTTACCACCACCCAGTACGTATAAATTGAAGTAAATTCATCGAACCATATCTGACAATATATTTTTGCTATAGTTGAGGAAAGACCTAGGTCAGAACCTTGCCGACCTTCACCTTGCGGGCCCTACAGTCAATGTAGAGTTGTAAATGGCCACGCTGTTTGTTCTTGCCAAGCGAATTATGTCGGGTCCCCGCCAATGTGCAAACCAGAATGCATGATCAGTGCCGATTGCTCCTTAGACCAAGCGTGCATCAACACCAAATGCCAGGACCCTTGCCCAGGAACTTGTGGCCTAAATGCAAGGTGTCAGGTGCTCAATCACAACCCGATATGCAGTTGTCCACTGAACTTTGTAGGGGATCCGTTCGTGAGGTGTTTGAAGGAAGAAAGTAAGGAAATGTTGACGAACCATCTATTTTCACTAAATGTCATTGTTCCTTCAGAAACTCCGGTGGTAGCTCCTCCGGAAGACCCTTGTAGGCCTAACCCTTGTGGGTCAAATTCTCAGTGCAGAGTCATCGGTAACACTCCGGCATGTTCTTGTCTACCCAACTATGTGGGTAGAGCACCCAATTGCAGACCAGAATGTTTGATAAATGCTGAATGCCCGAGTAATTTAGCTTGCCAAAGAGAAAAATGCACGGATCCTTGTCCAGGATCATGCGGGGCTAATACAGAGTGTATAGTTATCACACATAGGCCGGTGTGTTCTTGTAGAACAGGATTCACTGGGGATCCGTTCGGAGGTTGTAGTGTGATACCAAGTAAGATCAGTACTAAACATTGTTCAATATTTCCGGATAATAAATTCATAAGATGTGACACACGACCATTATTTCAGTTATCCAACCGACTGAAGCGCCTCCAACTCCATGTGACCCCTCACCCTGTGGAGCCAACTCTATATGCAAAGAAAGGAACGGAGTAGGTTCATGTACATGTTTGCCTTCTTATCTCGGAGATCCTTACACTGGTTGTAGACCAGAATGTGTCACTAATTCAGATTGTCCGAGAGAACTGTCTTGCGTCAACAACAAATGCAAAGATCCCTGCACTGGCACTTGTGGACTGAACGCCGAATGTCACGTGATCAATCATGCACCATCCTGCTCTTGCTTGCCAGGATACACGGGAAATCCCATTACATCTTGCCGACTACCTCCTCCACCTAGTAAGCCTCATCCTGATTTCTGCTGTCGCTTCCTTGCTGATTGTGATTCTTTCTTTAGTTGAGGAGCCTGCCAATCCATGTGTACCTTCTCCTTGCGGGCCTTATAGTAATTGTAGAGAGATAAACGGACATGCTGTGTGTTCTTGCCAATCGAATTATATCGGCACACCACCTACATGCAAGCCAGAGTGCATGGTAAGCTCTGAGTGTCAACAGAATAGAGCATGTATCAATAATAAATGTCAGGATCCTTGTCCTGGAACGTGTGGAATAAATGCGAGATGCCAAGTTGTCAACCACAATCCGATTTGTAGTTGTTCCGCGAATTACGTCGGAGATCCTTTCGTTAGATGCATATTAGAAGAGAGTAAGGCTTTAGTTTCTTTATCTTTGTCTTTTCTGCATGTTACTATTATTTTTCTAGAAAAAGCTGTTACTGAACCTAGTGGTAACCCTTGTATTCCTTCACCTTGTGGACCGAATTCTCAATGTAGAGTGATAGGTGTTCAAGCTGCATGTACTTGTATACCGAATTATTTAGGTAGAGCACCAAATTGTAGACCAGAATGCATGATAAACGAAGACTGTTCTGGAAATCTAGCATGCCAAAATGAACGATGCATAGATCCTTGTCCTGGATCTTGTGGCTCATTCACCACTTGTACAGTAATCAAGCATGCTCCTGTATGTCAATGCACCAGTGACTATACTGGTGATCCATTCACCGGATGCTCTTTCATACCACCTAGTAAGACCTATTATCCTATCTCTATTACTTATTTTATGCTCTATTATCTTTGTTCTGTTTCTGTTTTCTATACCTTCATTTTCAGCTCCTGTTACTGAAAGTCCTCGGAACCCTTGCAATCCATCACCTTGCGGTTCCAACGCCGTTTGTAAGGAAAGAAACGGTGCTGGGTCTTGCGCATGTTTGCCGGAATATTTCGGAGACCCATACACCGGTTGTAGACCGGAATGTGTAACGAATACAGACTGCGATCGCAGCAGAGCATGCACTAATAACAAATGTGTCGATCCATGTCCAGGCACTTGCGGTCTGAATGCCGAATGTAGAGTTATCAATCATGTTCCTTCGTGTACTTGCATCATAGGATACTCTGGTGATCCTACTAGAGCATGCAATTTAATTGAACCTGGTGAGCGCCAACTAAAACCTCTAATCACTAAACTCTATATTATGAAATATCTGACAATTTTTTTCTCTTGAAAGTTGTAGAAGAACCACAGAATCCTTGTCAACCTTCACCATGTGGACCATACAGTCAATGTCGTGAAATCAATAATCATGCTGTTTGCTCGTGTAATGTCGGTTACATAGGTTCACCTCCTATGTGTAGACCTGAATGTATAGTGAGCTCGGAATGCTCTCAAGATAAAGCATGTGTATCACAAAAATGTACTGATCCATGTCCTGGTACATGCGGTATAAATGCGCAATGCAGAGTAGTCAATCACAATCCTATTTGCAGCTGCTCACCAGGATATACAGGAGAACCTTTCACTCGCTGCTCTAAAATCGAACGTACGTCTTCTATTACTTCTTTTTTTCAACTATGTTCTATGACCTATAATCTATTTCTTCTTTTCTAGTACCTTCACCTTCTAAAGATATTGGGAACCCATGCGTACCATCGCCGTGTGGGGCTAACTCCCAATGTAGAGTTATTGGTACCCAACCTGCATGTTCTTGCTTGCCCAATTTCATAGGTCGTCCACCCAACTGTAGACCAGAATGTATTAATGACTCGGAATGTCCTAATAACCTGGCATGTAAAAATGAGAAATGTAGAGATCCGTGTCAAGGATCGTGTGGTAACAATGCTCAATGCACTGTGGTTAATCACCATCCAACTTGCTCGTGTCTTCCTGGATATAACGGAGATCCGTTCAGTTCTTGTTCTTTAACGCCACTGAGTAAGAGCACGAAACATGCTGACACGGTATGTCGGTAGCGATTTGAATTCCTCTTGTAAAATGACGTCATACGGATCAAATTTCAATTCATCATCGCAGGGTATAACATGAAGTTCTAGTCATGTTGTAGCCATCTAGTGGCGAAGCTCTGAGGTAGGATCAAGAGATCGCGACACACACTGTATGGCGCTGCCATCTATAGTCACACGTACAGACCCTTACGTCTATACGCTACAGAGTGGTACTACAAGTAAACCACTCTGCTGGCAGATGGCACTACCTGACATGAACTTGAGTGGATTTTTCCACCGACCTATTCAACTACGAGATCTCATAACTAAGAGATCTGTTCATCCTGAATCTCTTAGTTATGAGATCTAGCAGTCATCATCGCAGATTTGGTTCGAATGTAACAGTTTTGATTGCAATCTGTTTCATCTTATTATTGAGTTTCCTATAAGAAAAATGTCTCTGAAAAAAGGACATCCACTAGCCTGTTCATCATACTGTTTCCGTTTGTCAGGTTATTGAAATCGCTGTGGAAATTTGAGGAATAAGAAAAAAATGAATCTTTAATTTTTTCAACACTCAAGCAATTGAATCAGGGCCAGTCATAACAGAAAATTGACATCATGTGGAAGAAACTTTGAATAATTATTCATTTTGAAATTTGATTCATGAGTTGAGTTTTGCTTCAAAGAAGATGAGAAATGGCTTTGAATTTCAATAAAGTTCATGGGGAAAAGTTGTTTTTATTCTAATTTCACACATGTTTCTCAAATTGCAGTCAGTGTTCTCTCGTAACCCATAGTTCTTGATTTGTTTTTAATTTCTCCTTATTGTAACTTTGTCAAAACTTTGGTTGCATACGTGAAGTAGTGTGATGATATTTTGATAGATGACTTTGGCATCATTTTAGTACAGAAAAATTCCAATTAATTGAATTTAGCTCCTGCAGCATGCTAGACGATTCCTCAACTTTGCATCAAACATATGACAGAAATTTGGAGCGGGTTCTATAATTTCCAAGAAAAAATCATATTTGTTTCGATAATATGTGATCGAAAGTAATCAACTTGATGAAGCTGAATGACATATTTTCGTATCATTCGTATCATATTCCGTAGACATTGAAAAATATTGAAAACAAAAAGTGTGGAAGAACGTTCAAATTCAATGCACAATATGTAAATTTGGATTGGTAACAACTTTTCTAGGTGAACATTTTTGAAATTCAGCGATCAATTTGAGAATATGTTACTCTTGACATTTAATGTCAACAACGAAAGATACATGATTTATTCGAACGATGATTGGATATTTCAATCACTTCTGTACATAACATCGTATGCCTTATTTGATGAATGTGAACTAGGAACTGAGTACAGTCGTATTCAATAAAAACAAGTACAAGTGTTAGAAAGAGAGGATTTCGGGATCCTAGTTCTAGTTGTGTAAAACTGGCTCAGCCAATGCTTTGTGCTTTCGAGAACCTATTACAACTTTACTGTCAACATTTGGTGAACAATCATTCCCGATAGCCCGTTTTATGCAGAATAGGATGACGTTCATTTCTCTCTGTAATGTTTCAATCAAATCCCATGAAAATTCTTGATCCTCGTGACGTCACGACGACAATGACCAATGAACATAAGGAACAATCTCCGCATCGACATACCGGGTCTGTGAGTTCGACATTCTGGTCCTAGATTGAAACTCAACACTTTATTTCCATTCCAGTCACAGAACGTACACCTCCATCGACGCCATGTTTTCCATCACCTTGTGGTCCCAACGCAGAATGCCGCGAGAAAAACGGAGCCGGAGCCTGCATCTGTCCATCCGGGTACCAAGGTGACCCCTATGACAGCAACCGTGGTTGCCATCGAGAATGTGAAATCAACGATGACTGCTCCTTCAACTTGGCTTGCGTTTCCTATAAATGCATCGATCCCTGCCCTGGCACCTGCGGAGCCTTGGCAGAGTGTCACGTGACTAAACACGCGCCGACTTGCTCGTGCCCAGCTGGCTTGACCGGCGATCCGTTCTTCCAGTGCAAGGAAATTCCGATAGAGCGACCGAGAATCCCTGAAAATCCTTGTCAACCTTCTCCATGTGGACCGAACAGTCAATGCAAACAAGTGAACAATCAAGCGGTGTGCTCTTGTCTGCCTAGTTATATGGGCAGCCCGCCTAATTGTAGGCCGGAGTGTGTTGTTAGCTCAGAATGCAGCGCTGACAGGGCCTGCATCAATCAGAGATGCAGCGATCCTTGTCCAAATACTTGCGGACTAGGAGCCCAATGCACGACCAAGAATCATAACCCGATATGTGCCTGTCCACCAGGCTACACAGGCGATCCATTCTTGAGATGTTCTCCACAACGTGAGTCTCTACTAAATCTGCCTACTCGAATATTTGATAATTACATAATTTTTTTTATAGCTATCATTGAAGAACCGACACCAACGGAACGACCACCGTCTTGCCAACCTTCACCATGTGGTCCGAATTCGCAATGCAAGATCATCGGGAACACACCGTCTTGCTCTTGTTCACCAAACTTCATAGGATCTCCGCCAAACTGCAGGCCAGAGTGTGTCCTCAACACAGACTGCAACAATCAACTCGCTTGCATCAACCAGAAATGCACTGATCCTTGTCCAGGCTCATGCGGAATAAACGCCTTGTGTCACATCATCAACCATCTACCGATATGCACATGCTTAGGTGGATACACCGGTGATCCATTCACCCAATGCAACCTGGTTCTGGCAATAGTCACCCAACGTCCTATAGACCCTTGCAACCCTTCACCGTGCGGGCCAAACGCACAGTGCGATAATGGAGTTTGTTCGTGTCTTCCCGAGTACCTTGGCAACCCTTACGAATCCTGCAGACCAGAATGCGTCCTCAGCACGGAATGTTCCAGAGACAAAGCTTGCATCAGGAATAAATGCAAGGATCCTTGTCCAGGAACTTGCGGACAAAATGCTCGCTGTGACGTCATCAACCACATACCAACCTGTTCCTGTCCGGACGGCTTCACCGGAGATCCTTTCACTAGCTGTAGGGTAGCAGAACAACCTCCTAGGACACCACAAGATCCTTGCAACCCTAGCCCCTGTGGCCCGAACAGCCAGTGTAGAAACGTCAATAACCAGGCAGTGTGCTCTTGTATAGTGGGCTATCAAGGCAGCCCGCCATCGTGTAGACCAGAGTGTCTTTCCGGGTCGGAATGCGCCCAGAACCGCGCATGCGTCAACCAAAAGTGCATCGACCCTTGCCCTGGTTCTTGCGGCATCAATGCCCGTTGCGAGGTGAGGAACCACAGCCCGATTTGCAGCTGCCAGGAGGGCCAAACCGGAGATCCGTTCCAGAGTTGCCGTGAAGTGCCGAAAGAAGCGCCACCACCGATCCCGAAAAACCCTTGCCAGCCTTCACCGTGTGGTCCGAACTCCGTGTGTCGCATAGCAGGAGAGTCTCCTTCGTGTAGCTGTCAGGAAAATTACATCGGAAGTCCGCCGAACTGTAGACCAGAGTGCGTTATCAGCCCGGATTGTTCCAGCACCGAGGCTTGCATCAACAACAAATGCAGGGATCCTTGTCCGGGCAGTTGTGGTGTGAATGCCGAGTGTAGGGTGATCACCCACACGGTTTCTTGCTACTGTTCCACCGGTTTCTCAGGAAATCCTTTTGTACAGTGCGTCCCGCAGAGAGAAGAGCCTGTGAATCCTTGCGAACCTTCGCCTTGCGGCGCTAATGCCGAATGTAAACAGAGAAATGGAGCTGGTTCATGTGTTTGTGTTCAGGACTACCAAGGAAATCCGTACGAGGGTTGCAGGCCGGAATGTGTGTTGAGCTCGGATTGTCCGGCGAATAAGGCATGCCAGAGGAATAAATGCGTTGATCCTTGTCCAGGGGTTTGCGGACAGAACTCGGAATGTTCTGTCATCAATCACGTTCCGGCTTGTACTTGTATCAACGGCTACACGGGAGATCCATTCGTTGTTTGCTCGCTAGCACCTCCACGTAAGTTCAAATCTTATCCAAATATACTTTATTGTCCGAAGAAGAGAATCTCATTGATAAAGTCGAAGAGTTATTTTTTAACAAATGACGAATGTATACTGTACACTACACTGATGACATGAACCCAAATGAATGATGAATAGTTCCTCAGGAGCTATATGTCATGATAAATGAAATCTCATTCAATCAAACTCGAATCATATGTTGTTTCACAGATGTCCTTAGATGAATTGGAGAGGCAATATTTCTGACATTGACTGGAAGTTGGTTGTATAATTTGATAGCATTATAAATTATTGACTTCTTTGTTCAAATCGTTAATGGAATCGGAAGTCTAAAATTGTTGTTTTGGCGAGTAGTATTTACAGCCGCATCGTATGACGTTTCATTGTTGTGAACTAATCACACGGTTTCAAGAATGAAAATACACGAAAGTGTTAGGATTTTGTGCTCTGAGAATTGAGGTTTACATGATAATCTAGGTCCAATTCTGTAGAGGTTATCAAATAGCACGCTTCTGGACCATGAAGATCGATTTGAATTTCTTATACGTGACTCAAACAGAGAATAATATAGGTGCCACTTTCGGAGTGCTCATGCTCAGTTCTCTAGATACTAGTTTCACCCGAGCCTCAAAGTTGAGTTTTTACCCCGATAAATTGCAAGAAATTCAACTTCTGTTCAAAGAACACATTGTTACCTACCTTCAAACTCGTTAAGTTCAACATTAGCACCTAGAGATAAAACGCAACAAATAATCCGGGCGAGCCAATTCTACAGAAAATTTCCATTCAACATCATTGAGGTAGCAAATCACTATTGGCCTCAAAAGTAAATGCCTGCACAGTTTTTCAATTAATCACAAAATATGCTGCGTATGGGATTCGAACCTTTGACATAGGCATGTACGTTGCCCCATTGACCATTATGTTTCTCGCAGAATTATATACAAAACAGATTCATACATATCCATCTACACGTATTAGATGTTGAGTTATGTCTCTAGGTGCTTTTAATTCAACTGGTTATTTCCCAGACAGCAGTATTTTTGAGTGATTTCTTTTATAGTTCCTACGGAGCCTACAGTAGTGGATCCTTGCAGCCCCAGTCCTTGCGGTCGGTACAGCCAGTGCAGAAACGTTAATGACCAACCAGTTTGTTCCTGTTTACCCGAGTACATCGGTTCTCCTCCCAATTGCAAACCAGAATGCATTGTTAGTTCGGAGTGTCCGCAAAATCGTGCTTGCCACAAGTTCAAGTGTGCCAACCCTTGTGCTGGCACATGCGGGGTAGCAGCTAGATGCGAAGTGATAAATCACAACCCGATATGCAGTTGCACATCTGGGCTGACAGGAGATCCTTTCGTGAGATGCTACGAATTACCGCCAATTCCACCACCGACTTCAAGACCATCGCAGAATCCTTGTATTCCATCCCCTTGCGGACCAAATTCGGAATGTAGGGTTACAGGAGACCAGCCTTCTTGCTCTTGTCGAACAAACTACATGGGTTCACCGCCGAATTGTAGACCTGAGTGCGTTGTCAACACCGATTGCCCGTCGAATTTAGCTTGCATCACGGAAAAGTGCAGGGATCCTTGTCCTGGCTCGTGTGGCTTCAACGCCGACTGCAGGATACAGAACCACATCCCGATTTGCACTTGCTCCCCTGGCTATTCCGGGGATGCTTTCACCGAATGTACCAGGATACCGCCGCCTAAGGAAAACTTGCCCGTCGATCCTTGTAACCCGTCACCTTGCGGGTCCAACGCCCAGTGCAACAACGGAGCTTGCTCTTGTTTGCCATTGTATCTGGGAGATCCTTATGTTGGTTGTAGACCTGAGTGTACTATGAACACGGATTGTTCTCCTAGGAAGTCGTGTAATAATTTGAAGTGTGTTGATCCGTGTCCGGGTACTTGCGGTCAAGGGGCTGTTTGCGATGTGGCCAATCACATTCCTTCGTGCAGCTGTCCAGCTGGACAGGAAGGAGATCCGTTCACGATTTGCAGACCGATTAGAAGGAATGGTGAGTCATTTGACCGTGTTAGTTCACTGCCACAATAGATATCCACGTGAAATTGCGTGTTCCCTTACTAAACTGATGGAAAAAATCTAAGGATATTTTAAAACGCAAACGACTAAATTCCTTTCTTGAATAATTTTGAAACTTATCTACTCACTGCATAGAAAGTTAGCGTTGGCTCCCTCATTTGAGGACACAAACCTGTCAATTTACTCCCACAGGAGGAAAAAAATATTACCTCCCGTGGGAGGTAGAATGAATTGGCTTCATCATGCTTCCTTGGTAGAGATATACACATAAGATTTGTGCTACCCAAGTACCTAATCAGTGTGTCCATCACTACTATAAAACAAATAACAATTTCATTTTCCAATGAGCTCATACACTTCCTCATATAACACTCAATCGAAAATTCAAATAAAATGCAATAATTTCAATACAATAAACTAATTCAATGTGACAATGTTTTGTAACCTCAGATCATGTAACACATTGATTTGGATCAGGATTCGAGAGATAGACCGCATGAAGCACAATAATTTTAAGAACGACGCTCTCAAATATATATGTTCGTGGATAAAATCATATATATATATATATATATATCTTGGGAGCAAACGTTCATTTCCTCCCATGTGTGTTTAATGTGTTTAAAAATCATTCACTCCCCCAGTAGCAAATTTAGTCCAGTTAAAGTCCTCACCCTGTACGTAGTGGTATCCTCATTTGGATTCATAGCAAAAACACAGTATCCTCAACTTCTTTCAATCAGTTTAGTTACGTACAATATTTTCCATAATTCTGAGGAAACATGTCGTTCGATTGAAATATTTTCAGTTCAATAGCTATCATTGAATTTTTCAATCGGTCATCAGATACCTAAAAGAAAAAAAAAACATCCTAATTCAGAAAGTCATCACTGGTTAACGTTTGAAGAGGATTCATTCCTCCATGATTACATCGATTCAAAATACTCTCACTGGCAAAAAAACTGGCCACAAAAAAGATTACTCTGTAATTTATTCAATTCTTGTCCGATTTTGGTGGGATTTTGACCATATCGTAGATTCATTCTTTGAAATTTCAGACTCAATATTAGTTCCCTACCTGATGGCTTGATCTCCATACATGGAGAACAAAAGTTACAATGTTATAAGTTACAAGGTACAAAACAATGGTTATTGATTTACTCTAATATCTCTCTCTCAAGAGAAGGTATAAGTGTTTCGAGACAGTATTGATTTTTTCAAATTCCATCGATAATAATTCAGAATCTTCATATCAATATCACTCATTCCCACCTCGTTTTCTCAGCACTCACCAGCAAAAAAACGTTAATTACAAAAAACATCAGAATCAGACCTCCTAAATGTAGTCAATAACTAATATTGTCCTCCTCGAGCTTGAATGACAGCATTCAACCGCCGTGGCGTTGCTTTTGTAGTTCATTTCATTACAGAAATATTTTTGGAATTGTAATGAGAAACTCCCATACTTTCCTGAAACACTTGCATCTTCTTTTTGAAAGATGATATTGCCGTGGATCAGAATTGGTTGCGTTGAGAAGGAATCACCCTTCAATCCAAACCATAAAGAAGCTGAAGATAACCATTTATTTTCACCACCGGGTGTAAAAAGTTGAGAGTGAAAGAGTAACTTTCGTGTTTCCTGTATACCTATCGAGCTGGCCAACAGCTTTTCCATAGAACTAAAATTCACGCTTACATTTGGCAACATATTTCTGTGGCCGGTTTTTTTGCGTGTTCGATAATTGACTGATTCAAACTGGTAAAACTAATGGAAATGTTCCTCATCCTCACTTGCTTTTCCACAGACACCCCTCAAAATCCATGTCAACCATCCCCTTGCGGAGCAAACAGCCTTTGCAGAGTGAACAATGGCGTCGCGGTTTGCTCCTGCCAGCCAACTATGATCGGCACTCCGCCATCTTGCCGACCAGAATGTCTGGTCAGCGCAGAGTGTCCTCTCACGCATGCATGTTTGAATAAGAAGTGCGTGGATCCGTGTCCAGGAACCTGCGGTTTGAATACCAGGTGCCAGGTCATCAACCACAACCCGATTTGCAGCTGCACGCCAGGAAATACCGGGGATCCTTTCGTTAGGTGTTATCCACTACCAAAAGGTAACTAGTTGCGACTTACCCATCTGTCTCTATTTTATGTTTATTTCTCCATATTTGGTGGGGGTAGAGTTCATGAGGAACATATATTTTTATCGCAGCAGAATATAGCTATCTACCTACCCATCAAACATAAAATCTCTGGCCGCCTTCTGGCATAGTACAGGGTGATTCGCCATAAATGTCTCCCCCTCTAGCTCACTTATTTTTGAACCGATTTAAAAATCAGAAAAATAATCTGAAATGATTTTTCAGAATTTTTTTCCCGTTGCATCAGAAAATACAGGGTGCTCGGAATAAACGATCTACAGAGTAATACTTGACTTTTTCAAACGGAACACCCTGTATTTTATTGTATTTTAAGATTCTTCCTGAAGAGCTGATTTCATCAATACATCACACTTGGGGTATAGCGGAAATGATTACAAGATATAGGGTGTTCAAAATCGAGATTTTTCAACTTTAGGATTTTTTTGTGTCGAAACTATTCATCATTCGATTTACTATCTACTGACATTAAATTGGATCATTTACAGGGTGGTTCAAGGTTCAGAATTCTGTTCCAATTATTAAATGTCAGTAGATAGTAAATCAAAAGTTAAGGTACGGACATGGAAGCCGTTTCGACCAATAATGAATAGTTTCGTTATAAAAAAAATCCTAAAGTTCAGAAATCTCGATTTTGAACACCCTATATCTCTGTAATTATTTCCGCTAGACCCCAAGTGTCGATCAAATCAGCTCTTCAGGGAGAATCTAAAAATACAATTAAAAATAGGGTGTTCCATTTAAAAAAACAAATAGTACCCTGTAGATCGTTTGATCTGAGCACTCGGTATCTTCTGATGTAGCAGAAAAAAACTTTATCGAAAATCATTTGAGATGATATTTCAAATTTTCGGTTGAGTGAGAGTTACCGACAAAAATTATGACTGAGTCCTATGTATGATTGCCTTCGGACATTTCGGTATACAAGGATAGACAATGCAAGAATGCCAGAGGACGAACGGGGAAATATGGAGACTGTATATTATATCTAGATATAATATAAATAGGAATTCAAATAACTGAATCTTGATGAATACATTGCTGACTATTGTTCACTTACCAAGAACTTGAAAATATTAGATATTACCGAGGGTATTATAGCGTATTTTCATAATAATTTTAGGTACACAAATATCCATTGGGATCATTGTTTCGTATCATTTAGTTGCTATAAATAACTGGTTCAGTTATCGGTTAATTCGATATATTTCATGTCATGTCTAATACTTATCAAAATATCTCGATATATCAAATTTAAACGTGTTTTGACCATTAGCGTTTCTCCTCCCTGGAAAATATAATAACTCATGTGGCAACCATGCTTTATCTTCAACATAACCTATAACCAGACGTGACTCATCAGTCGAAGCACAAACACGAAAGTCACACCAACACTGTTGCCGAGCCTCTTCCAACTATTTCCAATATTCACTGTACACTAATCAAATTGAATAGTAACTGATAATGTTCTGGATATTTCAGAATCAATTAAATATAACTTATATTATTGTTCTTAAATTGTTGCTATCAATACATATTATATTATCTTTTGATGATCAATCTCCTAATCATCCCTAATCAATTGAAAGTACAGTTTATATACCTGACCCAAAATACCTCTTACGAGCTCATTAGATAGGTAAATACCTACCTAGTTTTCTCTTTGTGAGATAGGTACTGAAATATCCTGCACCATCTAGATGTTAAATTATTTCTTCCTCGTTTTGTCCTAGGAGTTCGTACATTTTATGTAATATGGCAACATCGGAAAACTTTTTATTGATTTTTCAGCAAGCGAGACAACATCATACAACATGAACATGTAACCAATCGAAATCGTTCGCGCGCTGACGTCAAACGGTTCCCTCCCTTTAATACTCGTTTGAATTCGTTGGATCAATTTGCCGTTTTCAATAATTTTTTTATCTAAGATCCGGCCAAAATAAAAATCCCAAAAAATTTGTACAAGGTTCTTGAGAGTCATTTATAACCAAATATGATTTTTCTGGAGATTACTGGGAATGCCCATGGGCGGTGGAGTTTTTTCATTTTCCATTGTCACTCGAAATTAGGGCTTTCCATCTTCATCATTCATCAAACACGTTGTATTGGTCGGTTAAACTACTGTGTTAGCAAAACATGTCGTGTGTTTGAGAATTTTGTGTAGATCTTATCGTTTGTGAAGTTCCTACATTCGCCATGGATTTCCATCGAGTAACGACCGAGTCAATTCAAAAAAGAATTATTATTTTCAGAAGAACCAGTCTCGATCGACCCCTGTCAACCGTCACCATGCGGACCTAACTCTCAGTGCTTGGTGCGCGGCGAGTCTCCCGCCTGTTCGTGCCTCGCCGGTCACGTCGGCTCGCCGCCGGGTTGCCGACCCGAGTGCACGATAAATCCCGAGTGTCCGAGCGACCGCGCGTGCGTGAATCAACGGTGCCGTGACCCGTGCGCCGGCGCATGTGGACCGTTCGCGGTGTGTCACGTGACCAATCACGACGCGGTGTGTTCGTGCCAGCCAGGCCATACGGGCGATCCGTTCCTGGGATGCGTGGCGGTGCCTGGTGAGTTTTGTTTTGGGTTTTCTTTGGTCAGCGGGAGCCAGTGTTGCCAACAGCCAATTTTGAAAATGGCTAGATGATTGTCAGGAGGGCTGAATTATGGCTGACGAAAATTTTTTAGTCAAGAAATCTGACCATAGACTACGATTCTGACATCAAGAGTTCAAGGCTATATTCCGAATTCAACTGACAATACTCAATCTGCTGATTTTTTATTCTGAAATAAAAAATTCAATGATTAGGCCTGTGCGTTTGTATTGCTAAACTTGCTAAAGTCGATTTTTTGCCTATAGTTGTCTCTGTTCATGGCATGATGTAAACAGAGAAAGTCTTAGAGAAAAATCAATTTCAGCAAGTAGAGCAAGCACAAACGAACAGGCCTAATGTGACAGATAATTGTCAGCAGACATTCTATTCATTTCAAATAATTCGACTCAACTTCCTGCTGAAATTGCTATCAAAAGGTAGTGTGGCTTCAGTGAACTGTCACTATTTCAGAGGGGGATGAAATGTCACATTTATCACATTATTTTCGTTGTTTTTCAAATATTGAGTCTTGTCTTATCAATAATAATTTGATGATATCATTTCTAATATCAGAAAATGCCTGTAATTCAAATAATGGACGCTGAGAATAATATCCAAATTTCACCAGCTGATCAACTGCTGCTGATTACTGATGAAAACAATGAGAACGTGTTTCGAATTACAGCAGTGTATTTTTGGTTCTGTATTTAGGAACCAGAATTTTCAGCAGAGTCAGCGAATCAACTGACAGCACTGACTAGTTGAATTTGGAATATAGTCTCCATTTAGCCTCCTATGTCTAGATCTTAAATCTAGAGCTAGAATAAAATGGTAATATTTTTATAGAAATTCAGAATGAAAAATTTGCTAGAAAAAATGGCAAAATGGCTAGATGGAATTTTTAGAAGCTAGATGAGTTCAAAAATAGCTAGAACTAGCCATAAAATGTCTGAGTTGGCAGCACTGGCGGAAACGACAAGCATCTAGCCACCAATTCCATCGATGGCTCAAGAAAATTACCCTCGCAATCATTGAACCCGAGCCGCACACTTGAGTCATTTTTCCTCGAACCTAGCCAGACAAACCAGCTTAACTTTATGATGACGTCACGGTGACTTTATCATGACGTCACGATATACTCGTGAAGCTTGACAGATGTCAGTTTACCAGCAGTATTTGTTCATTGTTTGATTTTAGAAGAATACTGATATATTGGATAAGAAATCCATCATCTGTAACAGAAATATATATCATGGATAGGAACTAAGGTACTTCGAATTCAGGAAAATTGGAATAATAAGTCGCTACATATTCACAATGAATGAAATATTCATTTTCATCAATAATAAGACGAGATTTCTCATTGAAAATTACTTCGTATGAATCCATAATTATCTCTTTGAGAAGTAAGTATGCATATTTTTTCGTATCAATTATAACCTCAGATTATAACAACAACAAAAGCCCAATCCAGTACCCAATCAAAAGCCTTAACTACTCCGTGAACTATCTCATAAGAACCGAGGAAGAATTGATATTTTCCACATAGAGAATCTGAATTCTTAATGTATTCCTTCATAAATCTATTAAATTTTTATGTCCATAATTATATCTGAGAATATTCCTTTTCAATACCTCAGTGAGCTGGTTGGCGTGGTTGGTTAACTATAACGTCATAGTTTGGAATATACTTCGAAGAAAATTGACTGGTTAACTGAATGTTGACCCTGTTTGTGTGGTTAACTTCGAGGAGAAATGGCTTTGGTTGCTGGTTGTGAGAATTCAGAGAGCAACCGATAGAATGGTTTAGCTAGACACTTGTAGCAGAAACAGTACCAGTGATTGTTAGTGATGATAGGGTTTCATGCCCGGTGACGGGACATAATAATTATAGACAAGTAGGAAAAACATTCCTTTCGAGTTATTCAGATATCTGAAGATTCAACAGTTTCATCATTATTTTCTTCAAAAATCCTCCATAGGTCATGAATTCAACGCCGACAAAAGTTGAAACAATTCCACATAGTATATTGTGATGGAAGAATTCTATGAGTCGGAAAAATTCGAAATAATATGAAAAAAATCAAGTTTCTTGAAAAATTCTTCACAGTTCACTCGTTTTCTCTAGAATATTTGGAGCAAAGATTCCAATTTGTTCATTAATTTCTGAGAATATTCACGTTTCCAGATTTTTTGAATTATTTTCTCTTTGTTTCTGTTTATGAAGATAATATGAGTTTTATTTCAATTAAGGTATAGTAAGGACAGATTCAGAAATGATCAGCCCCAATTTTTTTCGCGGTTTTTTGATGACTGGAGAATAACATACTCGAAAATTGCTCGGTTTAGATAGGTAACTACTACTCATCATTGGTATCTGTTTCTGATGAATTGCATGATCTCAAATTATAAAGGATTTCCAAAGGTATGATCATTCTGGGATGATAAGATTAAAGACATTATAATGATAGGAATATTGGTGTAATAAAAGAATACTGAAAAATACAAAAAAATTGCTGGACATTCTCTTTCAACTATCGTTGATTCGATCAAGTTCCTCATTGTATCTAGTGAACTAGTAAATCTCTTCCTTCTGAAAACTAATTGTGCTGATGATTATTTGAAGAAACATATTCATAAAATCCCAGAATATGCCATACCATTGGAGGTATATAATAAATTACTGCATGATATGGCTGTACATACTAATAGCTTATTTTCGCTAAGGGGACGAAAGGTAAGGATTGTCCCCCAACTATAACAACGAGCTTCAATCTCAGTCCCAACCGCTAATGACCCAGCAGCCTCAAAAAATGCGCTAAAATCCGGTACCAGATAACAACAAGCTTCGATAAACAATGGTTCACGAGCGTACACACAATCCCCGATATCAACCCCTGCGCTTATAATTTGAAATAATCTCAATAATAGCTTTGCCCATACCCCCCCGCAGCAGCTAATAAATGCGTCAGATATAAACTACATGGTGGTAAATTGATTCACAATACGCTTAGAGCACCGATAATTCTAAAAACGCAGCTAATACAACGCTTCCCTAGACAAAAGCTGCGAAATTATCGATGTTTTCCTTGTAGCCGTATATCAAGGACCAGAAAACACCAACCCTTGCCAACCATCCCCCTGCGGAACGAATGCCCTTTGCAAAGAAAGAAACGGCGCTGGTTCGTGCGTTTGTCTCCCGGATTACACTGGGAACCCTTACGAAAGCTGTCGCCCAGAGTGTGTCCAAAACGCGGACTGTCCATCCATCAAAGCGTGCATGAGAAGCAAATGCGTAGATCCTTGTCCTGGCACTTGTGGCACTAACGCCATCTGCCGAGTCATAAACCATTCTCCTTCCTGCAGTTGTCTGCCTGGATACACCGGTGATCCTTTCAGATACTGCGACATAGTTATCCAAGAAAGTAAGGAACAAATGAACAACAACACCTTGGCCATGAATAATGAAGTGTTCATTCCCTATTTAGCCCAGCGGAATGTAAGTAACGCACAACCTTGTGAGCCATCTCCATGTGGACCAAACAGCCAATGCAGAGAAACAAATGGCCATGCTGTTTGTTCCTGCTTACCCACTTATATTGGTAGTCCTCCAGGTTGTAAGCCAGAATGCATTGTGAGTTCAGAATGTGCTGCAAATAGAGCGTGTATTAATCAAAAATGTGTCGACCCTTGTCCCGGCACGTGTGGCCTCAACACCAAGTGCCAAGTGATAAATCACAGCCCAATTTGTAGTTGCCACAATCAATACACTGGAGACCCATTCACAAGATGTTATCCTATGCCTCGTAAGTGAAAGTAACATTATAGTCATGATGCTAGTTCCAATTCGATGATTTTCAGCTCCATCATTTATACCCGAAGTAGAACCAATCAGACAACCTTGTAATCCATCACCTTGCGGCCAGAACGCTGAATGTAGGGATATAGGTGGATCACCCTCGTGTTCTTGTCTACCTGAGTATATCGGAAGTCCTCCGAACTGTAGACCAGAGTGCACTATCAATCAGGACTGCCCGAGCAACTTGGCTTGTATCCGAAAAAAATGTGTGGATCCATGTCCTGGTTCTTGTGGTCTTAGCGCCATTTGTAACGTATTCAACCATAACTCTGTTTGCGTATGCCCCGTAGATTTTACAGGTGATCCCTTCACGCACTGTCATCCAAAACCCCAAGAAGTTGAACCGGTTGTAATTGGAGATAAATGCAACCCGTCTCCATGCGGACCAAATGCTCTTTGTAGGGACGGTATATGCTCGTGTCTTCCTCTGTATCGAGGAGATCCTTACAGGGGTTGTAGGCCCGAATGCGTTCTGAATAACGATTGTCCGAGAGATAAAGCTTGCATCAGGAATAAATGCGCCGACCCGTGTCCTGGAACGTGTGCAAACACTGCAATTTGTGAAGTTATCAACCATATACCCATGTGCAGCTGTCAAGCAGGTTTGACCGGAAATGCATTCGTTGCATGCAGACTCATAGAAAGTACGTATGATCTCATCAAAGTCGAAGACTGTCTCTCAATGATAATGATTTCAGATCCTCCTAATCGAAACCCCTGTAATCCAACACCATGTGGGCCAAATAGTCAATGCAGAGAAATTAACGGTCAAGCTGTTTGTTCTTGTGTACTTGGTTACATAGGAAGTCCTCCGACGTGTAGACCAGAGTGTATAACGAGCTCTGAGTGTTCGTTAGTACACGCCTGCGTTAACCAAAAATGCGTGGACCCTTGCCCTGGTTCGTGTGGCCTGCAGGCCAGATGCCAGGTTGTAAATCACAGTCCCATTTGTACTTGCCCAGATAACCTCATCGGGGATCCTTTCACCAGATGCCTAGCAAAACGTAAGACCAATATCGGCACGTGAAAACCATTTTCTCAATCTTTGACGTTATAATTTCAGCTATCGTTGAGCCAGTTACGGAATTCGTAGATCCATGTCGACCGAGTCCTTGCGGGCCTAATTCGGAATGCAGAGTAACCGGTGAATCTCCTTCTTGTTCTTGTCTCCCGGAATTTACCGGTTCGCCTCCGAATTGTCGTCCAGAATGCGTTGTCAACAGTGAATGTTCCTTCGATTTGGCTTGCATGAATAAAAAGTGCCAGAATCCTTGTGCTGGAGCCTGTGGAGCGAACGCCGAATGCAGGGTAGTCAGCCATACTCCCAATTGCGTTTGCCAGAGCGGTTACCAAGGTGATCCTTTCACTCAGTGCAACCTGATACAACACCAAGAAGTCCAAGTTTATGTTAATCCGTGTGTTCCTTCCCCTTGTGGAGCGAATGCAGTGTGCAAAGAAAGAAACGGTGCTGGCTCTTGTATCTGTTTACCGGAGTATATCGGCAATCCTTACGAGGGTTGTCGCCCGGAGTGTGTTCTGAATTCAGATTGCCCTTCGAACAGAGCTTGCATCAGGAATAAATGTAACGACCCTTGTCCCGGTACATGTGGCCTGAACACCAACTGCCAGGTTATAAACCATTTGCCAGCTTGTACTTGCTTGGCAGGATATAACGGAGATCCGTTCCAGTACTGCAGGTTGATAGAAAATGAACGTAAGTTTGTGATGTGCCACCATGTTCACGATAACTGAATCGAAATATTTCAGCTATAAAAATTGCCTCTACGAATCCATGTCAACCATCACCTTGTGGGGCGAACAGCCAATGCCGTGAGATCAATAGCCAAGCTGTTTGCTCTTGTTTGCCTGAATACACTGGAAGTCCTCCGAATTGTAGGCCTGAGTGCACGTTCAGCTCGGAATGTATCAGAACAAAAGCTTGTATCAATCAAAAGTGTGAAGATCCTTGTCCAGGAACATGCGGGTTGAATACGCATTGCCAGGTTATCAATCACAGCCCTATCTGCAGTTGTAAAATCGGTTTCACAGGTGATCCGTTCACCAGATGTTTCCCAACTCCTGGTAAGCTGAAAATTACCAGATAAAGATCGTTCTGTTGAATGTTTTGTTTTTCTAGTGCCAGTTTATGAACAAGTTGAAGAGATAACTGATCCATGTGTTCCATCGCCTTGTGGACCTAACAGTATTTGTAGAAATACTGGTGGTTTCCCATCCTGTTCTTGCTCGCCTGAATACATCGGGAGTCCACCTAATTGTAGACCCGAATGCTCTATAAATTCCGAATGTCTCAGTAGTTTGGCTTGCATCCGACAGAAATGCATAGACCCTTGTCCTGGATCATGTGGCTCAGGTGCCATATGCAACGTCATCTCCCATACTCCTATTTGCACATGCCCAGAAGGCTTCACCGGAGATCCTTTCAGCTATTGCACAATGAAGCCTCAGGAAATCGAGCCAGTCAAGTCTAGTCCTTGCAATCCCAATCCTTGTGGAGCTAATGCTGATTGCGATGAAGGAATTTGCAGGTGTTTGCCTGAATATTTCGGTGATCCCTACAGAGAATGCAGGCCTGAATGTGTTCTGAATGGGGATTGTTCCAAAGATAAGGCTTGTATTCGGAATAAGTGTGTGGACCCATGTATAGGAACGTGTGGAACGAATGCCCTGTGTTCTACTATAAATCATATTCCGATGTGCACATGCATTGAGGGTTATATAGGGAATGCTTTCGTTATGTGCAATCCCATACCAGGTAATTTCAAACTCACTTTCATATATATAATATTATGTATTGTGTTGATTATCTTAGGCAGAATTTTCACGAGAGCGTCAATAAAAAACCGGATATCTCTTCGAGAACATGAAAAATTTGAATATTCTCCCGAGTCGAAGACGAGGAAGAATTTTCTATATATTCGTTTCACAAATTCATTTCACTCAAATTGGTATGAATGTGTTTTCTCACAAGAAACTCGAAGTACTATTTAGTATCATTGTAATTTTCTCACGTAATATTGTCACGAGTAGAACATACAGTATATCAGTAATTTCGAACCATGAAGGCTTTATAAACATGTGCCTATTCGAATATTACCCCTTATGAATCGATAAGGATGGACTAACCACCTATTATATCGTTACATGGTGGAAACCTCTACTATATCGTGACAATATTATTAGGTTAATTGAAATATGATCAAACGGCATTAGTTAAATGAAATTTTCACAATAACTATCCATATTTCAGTTGAATATCCGAAGAACCCTTGTGTTCCATCACCTTGTGGTCCGAACAGTCAGTGTAGGGTAACGAATGGTCAAGCAGTCTGCTCCTGCGCACTGAATTTCATCGGTAGTCCACCAACTTGCAGGCCAGAATGCGTAACTAGCTCCGAATGTCCTCTAAGTAAAGCATGTGTAAATCAAAAATGCATTGACCCTTGCCCCGGAACCTGCGGACTGAATGCCAAATGTCAAGTGGTCAACCACAACCCGATTTGTAGTTGTCCCTCAGCCTACACTGGGGACCCATTCACCAGATGTATAGTCAAATGTGAGATATTACCCAGCATTCATCAGATTGCTTGATCAATGAGTTTCGTTTTCAGTTGAAGAACCGATTAGTGTACAAACAAGCAATCCTTGTCAGTCTAACCCTTGTGGACCAAATGCCGAATGTAGGGTTATAAGAGACTCGCCATCTTGTTCTTGTTTGCCAGAACATAAAGGAGCCCCACCCAATTGTAGGCCAGAGTGTGTCAGTAACACCGAATGCTCTACTCACTTAGCGTGCATAAATAGAAAATGCAGAGATCCTTGCCCAGGAATTTGTGGATTGAACGCTGAATGCAGAGTAGTCAGCCACACTCCAAATTGCGTTTGCTTACAAGGATATTTTGGCGATCCGTTCTCACAATGTAGAGTCCAGGAGCAACCTCTTGCAGAATATATCAATCCTTGTCAGCCCTCACCATGCGGGGTGAATGCCATATGTAAAGAGAGAAACGGAGCTGGGTCTTGTATCTGCTTACCAGAGTATATCGGAAATCCTTATGAAGGCTGCAGACCGGAATGCTCACGCAATACTGATTGCCCCTCCAATAGAGCTTGCATCAGGAATAAATGTCAAGACCCTTGTCCAGGTACTTGCCCAGCGAACGCTGAATGTCAAGTTATGGACCATCTTCCTACTTGTTCGTGCAATCCTGGTTACACAGGGGATCCTTTCAGATATTGTAGCCCACACATCGAGAAGCGTAAGAATACCATCTGGACTAACGCTTCAATAATGAAGTAATGTAATTATATTTCAGCTATCGAATACGAGAAACTTAGGAACCCATGTCAGCCGTCACCTTGTGGACCAAACAGTCAATGTAGAGTGATAAACGAGCAAGCAGTTTGTTCGTGTTTGCCAAGTTACGTTAGTAGTCCGCCAAATTGTAGACCAGAATGCGTAGTCAGTTCAGAATGTGCTAATGATAGAGCTTGTGTAGATCAAAAATGCGTGGACCCATGTCCTGGAACCTGTGGAGTGAAATCCGATTGCCAAGTCATCAAACATAGCCCCATATGTACCTGTAGATCTGGCTACACTGGAGATCCTTTCACTCTATGCTTCCCTACTCCTCGTAAGATAATTTTCTCCATCACGAATCTTATAACTTGATAAACAATTTTCAGTTCCGTTGCCAGAAGCAGACGAAGCAGTTGAGACCAATCCTTGTGTACCATCTCCATGTGGTCCAAATTCGGAATGTAGGATTGTAGGTACACAGCCAGCATGTACTTGTTTGCATAATTTCATGGGCAGTCCACCGAACTGCAAACCTGAGTGTACTATCAATTCGGAATGCCAGAGTAGTTTGTCTTGCTTCAACCAGAAATGTATAGATCCTTGTCCAGGTTCTTGTGGGCAAAGTGCTGTGTGCGTTGTCTTCAACCATAATCCAACATGTTCTTGCCCGGAAGGTTATACAGGGGATCCTTTCACCTACTGTAATCCTAAACCGCCGAAAGGTATAATGATAATGGTGTCAAGAGCTAGCTCAAATTACACTCTTTATTTTTTAGTAGAGGAACCCCAAATAATAGATCCTTGCAATCCATCACCTTGTGGTCCAAATACTAATTGCCGAGACGGTACATGTACTTGTTTGTCGGAATATAGAGGTGATCCATACACCGGCTGTCAACCTGAATGCATACAGAATCATGATTGCCCAAGAGATAAAACTTGCATCAGAAACAAGTGCAAGGACCCTTGTCCTGGTACCTGTGGACAGAATGCCGAGTGCAGAGTCATAAATCATATTCCGATGTGTTCTTGTCTTGCGGGTTATACCGGCAATGCTTTCCTCATTTGTTCTCCAGTGACAGGTAATATACAACTCTTGTTTCTTAGAGGTTTTTTTCATGAGTTTTATGTTCATCCAGTTGAAGTCAAGAGAAATCCTTGCAACCCATCGCCTTGTGGTCAGAACAGTCAATGTAGGGAAATCAACAGCCAAGCAGTGTGTTCTTGTGTGCCTGGATTTATCGGTAGTCCTCCCACTTGTAGACCAGAATGTACAACGAGTCAGGAATGCTTATTGAGTCAGGCTTGCGTCAATCAAAAATGTATAGATCCGTGCCCGGGAACTTGTGGCATCAACGCGAAGTGTCAAGTGGTCAATCACAACCCTATCTGTTCTTGTCTACCAAGATTTTCTGGAGATCCTTTCATTAGATGTTTGGAAATACGTAAGTAGTTGATAATCGTCTTTCGAGGAAACACATGGTAACTTATTGAATTTACAGAAGAAGAACCAATCGTTCAATTGAATCCTTGCCAACCTTCACCTTGTGGCCCTAATTCACAATGCAAAGCCATAGGAGACTCTCCTTCGTGTTCCTGTCTCCCGGAATTCAGAGGCTCTCCGCCTAACTGTATGCCTGAATGTACCAGTAATAGCGATTGTTCGAATCATTTGACCTGCATGAACCAAAAATGCAAAGACCCTTGTCCAGGGATCTGTGGAGAAAATGCTGAATGCAGAGTGATCAGTCACACTCCCAATTGCATCTGCTTGTTCGACTACATAGGTGATCCGTTCAGCAGATGTACTCAGAAGCCAAGTAAGATCAGAATCATGATTGTTTGTTTATTGTTGCATTATGTCATGAAATTTCAGAAGAAACCGTCCAAGAAGTATTGTCGCCATGCTCTCCATCCCCATGTGGATCCAATGCAAGATGTAATGAGCAAAATGGCGCTGGTTCTTGCGTCTGTTTCCCAGATTACGTAGGAAATCCGTATGAGGGATGTAGGCCAGAATGCGTACTCAGTTCTGATTGTCCGTACAATAAAGCCTGCATAAGAAATAAATGTCAGGATCCTTGTCCAGGCACTTGCGGAGGAAACGCAGATTGCCAAGTCGTCAACCATCTACCGCTTTGCTCTTGTAGGCCTGGATATACCGGCGATCCATTCAGATACTGCAATCTGCTTCCTCAAGAACGTGAGATCCTTCAAACCCACTCAGAGTTTTATTTATCTAATCTTCTCTTGTAGCTGTCAAGTTTGAATCTCCAACGAATCCGTGTCAACCTAACCCGTGTGGTCCTAACAGCCAATGTCGTGAAATAAATAGTCAAGCGGTATGCTCTTGCTTGCCTGAATATGTTGGGACTCCACCTAGCTGTAGACCAGAATGCACAGTTAGTGCGGAATGTGCCCAAAACAAAGCTTGCGTCAACCAAAAATGTACCGATCCTTGTCCTGGAACTTGTGGTCTCAATACGAAATGCCAAGTTATAAACCACAGTCCGATTTGTAGCTGCAATCCTGGTCACACAGGCGATCCCTTCACTAGATGTTACCCAGTACCTCGTAAGTTCAAGAAAATAGTGACCAGAATTTCGGTTTCCTAATAATTTTCATTTGTAGCTCCCCAGTTTGAAGAAATTCCGACTGTTATAAGCAATCCTTGTTTCCCTACACCATGTGGACCTAACAGTCAGTGTAGGGACATTGGAGGTTCACCCTCATGCTCGTGCTTACCAGATTACACAGGAAACCCACCGAACTGTAGGCCTGAATGTTCCATCAATTCAGAATGTCCAAGCAACTTGGCTTGTATCAGGGGGAGATGTAAAGATCCTTGTCCTGGTTCTTGCGGAGCGAATGCCATTTGTAACGTAATAAACCATCTACCGACTTGTACTTGTCCGGAACTGCATACTGGCAATCCGTTCGAGTATTGTACACCGAAACCACAAGAAGTCGAACCTATCAAAACAGATCCTTGCAATCCATCTCCTTGTGGAGCAAACACTCAGTGCGATAACGGATTATGCATATGTTTATCGGAATTCAATGGAGATCCTTACAGTGGCTGTAGGCCAGAATGTGTTTTGAACAATGACTGTCCGAGGGACAAAGCTTGCTTGAGAAACAAATGCAAAAACCCTTGTCCAGGAACGTGTGGCCAAAACGCCGAATGCAACGTAGTCAATCATATTCCGATGTGCTCCTGTTTGGCAGGTTACAGTGGCAATGCCTTCGTTATGTGTAATAGAATCGAGCGTGAGTCTCTTGTCATTTTTTTCATAACACGAATGCTCTAAATTTCTACCTATTCAGGTCCTCAACCTACGAACCCATGTTCTCCTTCGCCTTGTGGACCAAACAGTCAGTGCAGAGAAATAAACGGACAAGCTGTATGCTCTTGCGTACCAGGATTCATTGGTAGTCCACCGACTTGTAGACCGGAATGTGTCACCAGCTCAGAATGTTCTCTCAGCGAAGCCTGTATCAATCAGAAATGCGTGAATCCTTGCATCGGAAGTTGTGGAATAAGTGCCCATTGTCAAGTAGTCAACCACAACCCTATATGCTCTTGCCAGATCAGGTTTACCGGAGATCCTTTCACTCGGTGTTTCCCAATGAGTAAGTCATCACTTGGTGCCCTACGTAACGAGTTAACACTTTGGAATTTTAGGGGAAGAAGAGCCAGTTGTTACACCATCAAACCCATGTAGACCTTCTCCTTGTGGACCGAATTCTGAATGCCGAGAAACCAATGGTTCTCCATCATGTTCCTGCCTTCCAGAGTTCACTGGCCATCCACCGAACTGCAAACCTGAATGTGTTAGCAACAGCGAATGCCCGAATCAATTGGCATGCATCAACCAGAAATGCAAAGATCCTTGTCCCGGAGTGTGTGGTCACAACGCACAATGTCACGTAGTCAGTCACACCCCGAATTGCGTTTGTTTGTCTGGATTTGTTGGTGATCCGTTTAGTCACTGCAGTTTGCCACTGCCTATAAGAGATGAGATAACATCCCCTTGTTCACCATCCCCATGCGGGGCTAACGCCTTGTGTAGAGAACAAAATGGTGCCGGTGCTTGTGTCTGTTTACCAGACTATTTAGGAAATCCTTACGAAGGCTGCAGACCAGAATGTACTTTGAATACCGACTGTCCATCGAACAAAGCTTGTTTGAGTAACAAGTGCGGTGATCCTTGTCCTGGAGTATGCGGACCTAACGCTCACTGTCAAGTGATCAATCATGTGCCAGCTTGTACTTGTAATGGGGGATACACTGGTGATCCATTTAGATACTGCAACACCATTCCTGAACGTAAGACCATTGTTTTCATTAAAATGGACCCTTTGATAAATTCTGAAAATATTTCAGCCATTTCAGAAGAACCAACTAATCCATGCCAACCATCTCCGTGTGGGCCGAATAGCCAGTGTCGTGAGGTGAACGATCAAGCCGTTTGTTCTTGTTTACCGAATTATACGGGTAGTCCACCTGGATGTAGACCGGAATGCGTTGTCAGTGCTGAATGTCCGGCGAATAAAGCTTGTACGAACCAGAAGTGTGTCGACCCATGTAAAGATAGTTGCGGTATCAACGCCAACTGTCGAGTTATCAATCACAATCCGATATGCTCTTGTCGATCTGGTTACACGGGAAATCCATTCACGATTTGCAATCTCATACCACGTAAAATCTCCTTGAATCCTTGAAGTACTCGTTTATTATTTCGCCTTTTTCAGCAGCACCAGTTGTTTATGACGAACCGGTAGTTGTGAATCCCTGTGAACCTTCTCCTTGTGGACCTAATAGCCAATGTCGAGATATCAACGGATCACCTTCATGTGCTTGCTTGACGAATTTCATTGGAAACCCACCTAACTGCAGACCTGAATGCACTATCAACTCGGAGTGTAAAAGTAACATGGCTTGCATAAGAGAAAAATGTCAAAATCCATGTGTCGGAGCTTGTTCTCCTAGTAGCCATTGTAGCGTTATCAATCATACACCGATTTGTACTTGTCCAGATGGCTATACCGGAGATCCTTTTAGTAATTGTTATCCGAAACCAGCACCACGTATGTATTGCGGCAAAGAAATAACAGTGCATCCCTTTTTATCAATTACTATCAATTCCCTTTCAGCACCTCCAGTTAGAGATGATCCATGCAATCCATCTCCGTGTGGTTCGAACGCACAGTGTCAGAATGGAATATGTTCTTGTTTGCCTCTCTATCAGGGTGATCCTTATATAGGGTGTAGACCTGAGTGCGTTCTGAATGATGATTGTCCCAGAACTAAAGCATGCAGTAGGAATAAATGCGTAGATCCTTGCTCAGATACTTGTGGTCGCAATGCTCAATGCATAGTGTTCAATCACATTCCCATGTGTTCATGTCCACCTGGGTATACTGGTAATGCATTCGTTCAGTGCTCAGAAGTAGAAGGTAATACATTATAATTTCGAATTTGGCAACTCAGTCCTAAGATGAACGTGTTTTAGTGGCCATTATTCGAAATCCATGTAGTCCGTCACCTTGTGGACCCAACAGTCAATGTAAAGAAGTTAATAGCCAGGCAGTTTGCTCGTGCCTTATTGGTTACATAGGAAGTCCACCTACTTGCAGACCAGAATGTATTTCTAGTTCGGAATGTCCTCTGAACGAGGCTTGCACCAACCAAAAGTGCATAGATCCATGTCCAGGAACATGTGGACTGAGAGCCAAATGCCAAACCATCAACCATAATCCCATTTGTTCTTGTCCAGCTAGGTATACTGGTGATCCCTTCTTGCGTTGCACCCTTATTGGTAAGCTTTTGAAAAACTTAACAGGATGGAATTATTCAATAAGTTATTCTAGTTCAAGCAGTTGTAGAAGAGCCGATCAATCCATGTCAACCATCTCCATGTGGACCGAATTCTCAATGCAAAGAAATCAACAATTCACCTTCTTGTTCATGTCTACCCGAATTCATCGGGTCTCCACCGAATTGCAGACCAGAATGTATCAGTAATAGTGAATGCGCCTCACATTTGGCTTGCATCAATAAGAAATGCATTGATCCTTGCCCTGGAACTTGTGGATTGAATGCCGAATGTAGAGTGATCAGCCATACGCCAATATGCCATTGTGCAGGAGGCTATACCGGTGATCCATTCCTCATATGTAATTTGATACAAGCCACACCCATCGAGAATATATCTCCTTGTACACCTTCACCGTGTGGTGCTAATGCACAATGTAGAATTCAACAGAAAGCCGGAGCGTGTGTATGTTTACCGGAATACATCGGAAACCCTTACGAAGGTTGCAGGCCAGAATGTACCTTGAACTCAGACTGTACATCGAATAGAGCTTGCGTTAGAAACAGATGTATCGATCCTTGTCCAGGCACTTGCGCTCCCAATGCAAATTGTCACGTGATCAACCACCTTCCATCTTGTAACTGTTTACCTGGCTATACTGGCGATCCGTTCCGCTACTGTAACGTATGGACTCAAGAACGTAAGAACCTCGTATGTATTTTTGAATAAGATAAATCAACAACTCTTGTTTTAGCACTAAAAGATGAGACTCCTAGAGATCCATGTACACCTACACCCTGTGGTCCCAACAGTCAATGTCGCGAAATAAACGGACAAGCAGTTTGCTCATGCTTACCTGAATATAGTGGCAGTCCTCCGAATTGTAGGCCAGAATGTACGGTTAGCTCGGAATGTACTCAGAACAAGGCTTGCTCAAATCAGAAATGTATAGATCCTTGTATCGGTACCTGCGGTCTGAATACCAACTGTCAGGTCATCAATCATAGCCCGATTTGCAGCTGTCAATCCAGATACAGCGGGGATCCTTTCAGCAGATGCTCACCTATACCACGTAATATTAGTTGTTCGTCTCTTAAAGGACCTAGGTTACTAAAATCTCGAATTTTTCTAGCGCCAAGACCAGTTCAACCCATAGAGACTATAAGAGATCCTTGCGTACCGACTCCATGTGGTCCCAATTCTCATTGCACCAACCTCGGCGGTTCTCATGTTTGTTCTTGCTTGGTGAATTATATCGGAAGCCCGCCAAATTGTAGACCAGAATGCACTATCAACTCTGAGTGTCCCAGCAACTTGGCTTGTATTAGAGAGCGGTGTCGAGATCCGTGTCCAGGTTCTTGTGGATCTCTAGCCGTTTGCAACGTCATCACTCATATTCCTGTATGTAATTGTCCCGAAGGATATACTGGAGATCCTTTTAGCTACTGTCAACTCAAGCCACCATCATGTATGTGTATCCAAATTGAGATGTCTCTCGAGCTGATCTAATATAAATTGAATTTTCAGTGCCCGAGCCAGCGGAATCTGATCCTTGCAATCCTTCACCTTGTGGATCCAACGCTTTATGCGAGCAAGGCGTATGTTCCTGTTTGCCAGAGTACCATGGAGATCCTTACAGGGGTTGTAGACCCGAGTGCGTTTTGAACAACGATTGCCCGAGACAAGAAGCCTGTATTAGGAATAAATGCGTCAACCCATGCCCAGGAACCTGCGGCCAATATGCCGAGTGCTCGGTCTTCAATCATATCCCGATGTGTGTTTGTCTACCTGGTTATATCGGCAACGCTTTCATATCCTGCAATCGCATTCCACCGTCCTCTCCACCAAATCCGTGTTCTCCATCACCCTGTGGACCGAACAGTCATTGCAGAGAGACGAATGGGCAAGCCGTTTGTGCTTGCATCACGGGATTCATAGGAAGTCCGCCTACGTGTAGGCCAGAATGCGTCACCAACTCAGAGTGCTCTTTGAACCAGGCATGTGTAAATCAAAAGTGCATAGACCCTTGTTTGGGCACCTGCGGCTTAGGCACCAACTGTCAAGTCGTGAATCATAATCCCATATGCAGCTGTCCCACAAGATTCACTGGAGATCCGTTCACGAGATGTTATCCAATTCGTAAGGGGTATTTGACACATTTTGAGATGTTTTATAAATTTTTCTTCGCGTTTTAGCTTTGGAAGAACCAGTTATTGTGGATCCGTGTAACCCGTCCCCATGTGGACCAAACGCAGAGTGCAGAGAAATCAACGGTTCCCCATCCTGTTCTTGTTTAGCCAATTTCATCGGTTCTCCTCCAATGTGCAGGCCAGAATGCATCAGTAACAGTGAATGTTCAAATCATTTGGCGTGCATAAACCAAAAATGTAAAGATCCTTGTCCAGGCATTTGTGGGCAAAACGCCGAGTGCAGTGTGGTTAGCCACACACCAAACTGTATTTGCACTTCGAATTACGTAGGAAATCCATTCATCGAGTGCCATCCACCACCAAGTACGATCTATATTTGTTTTTGTTAGAACGTGTTTCATAGTTGTTGTTTTTTTACTTTCAGCACCTCCAGTTCAAGATATCATTACTCCTTGTTCTCCGTCTCCATGTGGATCTAACGCTCAATGCAAAGAACAAAATAACGCGGGATCTTGTACTTGTTTGCCTGATTTCATTGGAAACCCGTACGAAAGCTGCCGACCTGAGTGCACTTTGAACTCAGATTGTCCATCGAATAAGGCTTGCATCAGGAACAAATGCATGGATCCTTGTCCTGGCACTTGCGGTCAAAATTCTGATTGTCGCGTGATTAACCATCTACCGGCATGTACTTGTATTCCAGGATACACAGGCGATCCGTTCAGATACTGTTACTTACAACCCCAAGAACGTAAGGGATCTGACACTTTTCGAAGAAGTAGAAATTCTCATATTTATTTCTTTCTAGCCATCAGAGATGAAATCCCAAAGAATCCTTGTCATCCATCACCTTGCGGACCGAACAGCCAGTGTAGGGAAGTCAACAACCAAGCTGTATGTTCTTGTTTACCGAATTACAGTGGTAATCCACCTGGTTGTAGACCAGATTGTACGGTCAGCGCGGAATGTGCTCAAAATCTAGCTTGCGTGAGTCAAAAATGTATCGATCCTTGCCCAGGAACTTGTGGAATCAATACCGTTTGTCGAGTAATCAATCACAGTCCAATTTGTATCTGTAAATCCGAATTTACTGGTGATCCATTTTCAAGATGTTACCCAGTACCACGTATGTTACGTTACAGTAGTTGATTAACATGAGACTAAATGATATTCTTTTCAGCACTACCACAAATCACTTCTGAAGAACCATACAGAAACCCTTGTATTCCCTCGCCATGTGGGCCTAACAGTGAATGTAGGGAAATAGGAAAAAATCCATCGTGTTCGTGTTTATCAAGTTACGTGGGCAGTCCTCCTAATTGTAGACCAGAATGTACAATCAATTCGGAATGTCCCAGTAACTTTGCTTGTATCAGAGAAAAATGCCGGGATCCCTGTCCCGGCTCTTGTGGAATTTCTGCAATTTGTAATGTTATCAATCACACACCGATTTGTTCTTGTCTCGAGGGATATACCGGTGATCCGTTTACCTCCTGCCATCCAAAACCACCCCCAAGTGAGTAGCTTCATCACGAAATAGAATAAAATGTTCTTCATTACAATTATTTCAGTATTAGAACCAATCGAAACTGACCCATGTAATCCATCTCCTTGCGGACCAAATACACAATGCCATAACGGTATTTGCACATGTTTACCGGAATACCAAGGTGATGCTTATAGAGGATGTAGACCAGAGTGTGTTCTCAATAACGATTGTCCAAGAAACAAAGCTTGTGCTAGGAATAAGTGCATAGATCCATGTCCAGGTACCTGTGGACAAAATGCTGAATGTTCCGTCATAAATCATGTAGCGATATGTAACTGTATACCAGGATACCAAGGAAACGCTTTTGTCATTTGTTCAAAGTTACCAGGTGAGACAATACTCGCATCGGTCTCAACTGGAGAATTATCGACCTAATTGACTTTTTTTCTAGTTTCTGTGATAACAAACCCGTGTTTTCCCTCACCTTGCGGTCCCAACAGCCAATGCAGACAAATTAACAGCCAAGCCGTGTGCTCTTGCGTACCAGGCTACATGGGCAGTCCGCCATCTTGTAGACCTGAGTGCATCACCAGTTCGGAATGTTCTTTGAACAGAGCATGCGTGAATCAGAAATGTATCGATCCTTGTCCCGGAACCTGCGGTTTCGAAGCTCTCTGCCAAGTCGTCAACCACAACCCTATTTGTAGCTGCCCACCTAGGTTAACTGGTGATCCATTCGTCAGATGTTTGCAAATACGTGAGACCTCGAATTCTGGAAATATACCTTTCATGACCACCTTTATTTCAGTAAACGAACCGGTGATTGTTACTGATCCGTGCAAACCGTCTCCATGCGGTCCTTATACGGAATGTAAAGTATCGGGAGATCAACCATCTTGCTCCTGCTTGATTGATTACATCGGTCAACCGCCAAATTGTAGACCGGAATGTGTTAGTAACAGCGAATGCGCTAACCACCTTGCGTGCATTAACCAAAAATGCAAAGACCCTTGTCCTGGTACTTGCGGTCAAAACGCGGAATGTCGAACCATTAGTCATACCCCTAACTGTGTCTGTCTACCAGGATACGTAGGTGATCCATTTTCGCGATGTTCAATACCACCATGTGAGTTATATCTGACATTTATCTGCTGCCTTCCAACACTAATCAGCGGAAGCTTTCAAATACTAAAACCAATCACGCTCATAAATTTACTTAATATTTCAGCCCCGATCCCAGAAATCATTTCACCTTGTACCCCGTCTCCATGTGGACCTAATGCTGTATGTAAAGAACAAAATAATGCGGGATCTTGCACATGTCTACCCGAATATATCGGTAATCCTTATGAAGGATGTAGACCAGAATGTGTGCTCAATTCAGATTGTCCCTCCAACAAGGCGTGTGTTAGGAACAAATGTCAGGATCCTTGTCCAGGAACTTGTGGACAAAATGCCAATTGCCTAGTGGTGAATCATGTGCCGTCTTGTACCTGTATATCTGGATACACTGGGGATCCTTACACCTATTGTAACCTCCGACCGGAAAGTAAGATACCCTTTCAATACTCGATTTGAATTTGTTCCTAATAATTTTTCTTGGTAGTATATCAAGATGAAACCCCCAAAAATCCATGCCAACCCTCGCCTTGCGGGCCGAACAGTCAATGCAAAGAGGTGAACACCCAAGCGGTATGTTCTTGTTCGCCAAATCACATAGGCAGTCCACCAAATTGTAGACCTGAGTGTGTCGTGAGCTCAGAATGTGCGATGAGTAAGGCTTGCATAAATCAGAGATGTAGCGACCCTTGTCCAGGCTCCTGTGGGGTAAATTCAAAATGCGAAGTGATAAACCACAGTCCGATTTGTACTTGTGCGATAGGCCAAACTGGCGATCCGTTCACTAGGTGCTATCCAATTCCACGTAAGTAATAATGACTTCAAATTTGTGTTCCATCGGGCAATCTTCCATATTTGTTATAGCACCTCCAATTGAACCCATCGTTGATAGAGACCCATGCGTACCATCTCCTTGCGGTCCGAATTCTCAATGCAGGAATATAGGCGGTACACCATCATGCTCTTGTTTACCCGAATACATTGGACAACCACCTAATTGTCGACCTGAATGTACCATCAACTCGGAATGCTCCAGCAGTACGGCTTGTATACGGCAAAAATGCGTGGATCCTTGTCCAGGATCTTGCGGAATCGGAGCTGTTTGTAGTGTAATAAACCATACTCCGATATGTTCTTGTCCCGAACAGTACACAGGAGATCCTTTCTCCTACTGCAATTTGAAACCGCAAGAAGCAGAACCGGTTGAAACAGACCCATGCAACCCCACTCCTTGTGGTTCAAACGCCCAGTGCGACAATGGAGTTTGCAGCTGCTTCCCAGAATATCAAGGAGATCCTTACCGTGGTTGCCGGCCTGAATGTGTCCTCAGCACTGATTGTCCCAGGGACAAAGCGTGTACCGGCAACAAATGCCGAGATCCTTGTCCAGGAACTTGTGGTCGAAACGCAGAGTGCACAGTTATCAACCACATACCTATGTGTAACTGTATCAGAGGATACGTAGGAAATGCTTTTGTTATGTGTAAGCCTGAAGCGATAGATGTTCCAAAGAATCCGTGCAACCCATCGCCATGTGGTCCAAACAGTCAGTGCAGAGAAATCAATAGGCAAACGGTGTGTTCTTGTGCTATCGGTTACATAGGCAGTCCACCAACTTGTAGACCAGAATGTGTGAGTTCTGCGGAATGCGCACTGAATCAAGCGTGTGTCAACCAGAAATGTATAGACCCCTGTCCGGGAACGTGTGGAATAAACGCTTTGTGCCAGGTGGTCAATCATAATCCTATTTGCAGCTGCCAACCGAGACATAGTGGTGATCCATTTATCAGGTGTACGCCAATAAGTGAGACAAACATCGAAAAGTGACTTGAACATCATTTAATATGAAAATGTTTCAGGAGAAGACCCAGTTATCGTTTCTAATCCATGTCAGCCATCACCATGTGGTCCAAACTCTATTTGTAGAGAGATCGGAGAGTCTCCTTCTTGTTCTTGTTTGCCAGAATTCACTGGATCTCCGCCAAATTGTAGACCAGAATGTGTGAGCAATAGTGAATGTCCTAACGATAAAGCTTGCGTCAACCAAAAATGTAAAGATCCTTGTCCAGGAGCGTGTGGTGCGAATGCTGAATGCAGAGTTGTCAGTCATACTCCAAACTGCGTTTGCTTACCTGGTTATTATGGGGACCCATTCACCTCTTGCTACATAGAAAGTATGCATGTTCGCATATCCAACTCAATCGATTCTTAATCCTCTTATATTTTTAGCCCCACTTCCTCCAGCAGAAAGACCGACTCCTTGCCTTCCATCACCTTGTGGTGCGAATGCACAGTGTAGAGAAAGAAACGGGGCTGGTTCTTGTATTTGTCTTCCAGACTATATCGGAAACCCCTATGAAGGTTGTAGACCAGAATGTGTATTGAACTCCGATTGTACTTCCAACAAGGCATGTGTCAATAATAAATGCATGGATCCTTGTCCAGGAACTTGTGCACAGAACGCGAACTGTCAAGTCGTTAACCATCTACCATCGTGTACTTGTGTACCTGGATTCACTGGTGATCCTTTCAGATACTGCAACTTAGTGCAAGAACGTAAGACACAATTTTTGTCATACTTTTCATTCTTATTTGACTGGATTTCGTATTTTTAGCGGTTGAGGAACCACCTCAGAATGTTTGCCAACCTTCACCTTGTGGACCTAACAGTCAGTGTCGCGAGGTGAATGGACAAGCAGTTTGTTCGTGCCTACCTGAATATATAGGAAGTCCACCGGGTTGTAGACCCGAATGTACAGTGAGCACAGAATGCCAAGCAACTAAGGCTTGCGTGAATCAAAAGTGCACTGATCCTTGTCCAGGAACTTGCGGATTGAACGCCAACTGTCAAGTAATAAATCACAGTCCCATTTGCAGCTGTCAAGGCGGTTATACTGGCGATCCGTTCACTAGATGCTACACTTTACCACCTCCAGTACCGGTACCGCAGGAGCAACCAGTTAACCCCTGCGTACCGTCACCTTGCGGAGCAAATAGCCAGTGCAGAGATCTAGGTGGCACTCCATCCTGCTCCTGTTTACCGGAATACATCGGACAACCACCGAACTGTAGACCAGAATGCACTATCAATTCCGAATGTGCGAGTAACTTGGCGTGCATGAACCAGAAATGCAGAGATCCTTGTCCTGGTTCTTGTGGAACGAGTGCCGTTTGCAGAGTCATCAACCATACGCCAACTTGTAGTTGCATCGAAGGTTATCGCGGGGATCCTTTTACTTACTGCCAACCCAAACCACAAGAGGAATCTTCGGTGACAGACCCCTGCAATCCTTCTCCGTGTGGTCCCAATGCTCAGTGTGATAATGGAGTTTGTACCTGCTTAGCAGAATACCATGGCGATCCTTATAGGGAATGCAGACCGGAGTGTATATTGAGCAACGACTGTTCGCGAGATAAAGCATGTTTCAGAAATAAATGTAAAGATCCATGTCCAGGAACGTGTGGTCAAAACGCAGAATGTACTGTTATAAACCATATACCATCTTGTGTTTGTACTAGAGGATACCAGGGCAACGCATTCGTTATGTGTACACCGATTCCAGGTAAATTCTATAACCCTTGTCAATATTCGAATTTCACATTCCAAACACCATTTTTCAGCTGAGATTCCAAAGAATCCTTGTAATCCATCCCCATGTGGCCCCAACAGTCAATGCAGGGAAATCAATGGACAAGCAGTTTGTTCTTGTGTACCAGGCTTCATAGGCAGTCCACCGACATGCAGACCTGAATGTATTTCCAGTTCAGAGTGCGCGCTGAATAAGGCATGTGTGAACCAGAAATGCATCGATCCTTGTCCAGGAACATGCGGTTTGAACGCAAATTGCCAAGTCGTCAATCATAATCCGATTTGCAGTTGTCCACCTGGACAAAGTGGCGATCCTTTCACTAGATGCCTACCAATAAGTAATGTCAGAGAGAATATTTTTATTTCCAGTAACTCATTCTGGATGTTTGTAGGAGAAGAACCGGTAGTAGTCCCATCGAATCCTTGTCATCCATCCCCTTGTGGTTTCAACTCGGAATGCAGAGAGGTCGGTGGATCCCCGAGCTGCTCATGTTTACCAGAATTCGAAGGAACTCCGCCAAATTGCAGACCACAGTGTGTTAGTAACTCTGAATGTGCTAATCACCTGGCTTGCATTAATAACAAATGCGAAGATCCTTGTCGGGGAGTATGCGGTAGCAATACCGAATGTAGAGTAGTTAGTCATACTCCTAACTGTGTCTGTCTGTCTGGCTTCGAAGGAAATCCTTTCATTCAGTGCAATCCGCACTTAGAACAGCCGGTGATTGAGAAACCTACACCTTGTATACCTTCTCCTTGCGGAGTCAATGCCGAGTGTAGGGAAAGAAATAACGCTGGCTCCTGTATTTGCCTTCCAGATTACATTGGAAATCCTTATGAAGGTTGTAGACCAGAATGTAGTCTCAACTCTGATTGTCCCTCGGACAAATCGTGTATCAGAAATAAGTGTATGAATCCATGTCCAGGAACATGTGGAATGAATGCTGAATGTCGTGTAGTTAATCATTTGCCTTCTTGTACATGCATTTTCAGCTACACAGGAGATCCCTATAGATACTGTAGCATGCCCATTCAACGTGAGTTTTAAATCAATTCTACGAAGTGAAGAATAATAATGATTGTATATTTCAGCTATTGAAGAACCAACTAATCCTTGTAATCCTAATCCTTGTGGGCCAAACAGTCAGTGTCGTGAAATAAATGGCCAAGCAGTGTGCTCTTGTTTGCCAGAATATGTTGGTTCTCCTCCGGGCTGTAGACCAGAGTGTGTGGTCAGTTCGGAATGTTCCCAAAACAAGGCTTGCCTGAACCAAAAGTGCGTTGACCCTTGTCAAGGCACTTGCGGTTTGAATACCAATTGCCAAGTAATCAATCACAGTCCGATATGCAGTTGCAAACTTGATTTCACTGGAGATCCGTTCACAAGATGCTATGGCATCCCTCGTAAGTTCGCATATTATTCACAACTCTCCATCTCTCAACTGATATTTTCAGCTCCGATACCACAACCTGAGCAACCTATCCAGAACCCGTGCGTACCTTCACCGTGCGGTCCGAACAGTCAATGTCGGGACATAGGAGGCGCGCCATCTTGTTCCTGCTTGAGCAATTACATTGGAAGTCCGCCAAACTGTAGGCCGGAATGTACTATACATTCAGAATGCCCTAGTAATTTGGCTTGCATCAGGGAGAAATGCAAAGATCCTTGCCCTGGCTCTTGTGGAGTCGGCGCACAATGTAACGTCATCAATCATGTGTCGATTTGTTTGTGTCCGGAAGGATATACAGGTGATCCGTTCGTTTTTTGTCGGGTAAAACCAGTGGAAGAAGAGCCAATCAAAACGGATCCTTGCAATCCTTCACCTTGCGGCCCGAATGCTCAATGTAACGATGGCGTATGCACGTGTTTGCCAGAATACCGTGGCAATGCTTACGAAGAATGTAGACCCGAATGTGTTCTGAACAGCGACTGTCCTAGGAACTTGGCATGTATCAATAGCAAATGTAAGGACCCTTGTCCTGGTACATGTGGCATCAATGCTCAGTGTACTGTCTCCAACCATGTTCCTATTTGCACTTGCAGCGAAGGTTTCATAGGAAATGCTTTCATTTCTTGCTCTCCAGTTCCAGGTAAATAAAATTGAACGAACATCACTCTCATCCGATTTTATGAATTGTTTTTTTTTTTTTTTTCAGTTGATATACCCAAAAACCCATGTACTCCATCTCCTTGTGGACCAAACAGTCAGTGTAGAGAAATAAATGGTCAAGCGGTGTGTTCTTGTGTACCGGGCTTCATAGGCAGTCCTCCGACTTGTAGGCCAGAGTGTATTACTAGTCCAGAATGTCCACTGAATGAAGCTTGCGTCAATCAAAAATGTATAGATCCTTGTCCGGGAACTTGCGGTTTGAACGCCAAATGTCAAGTCGTGAATCACAACCCTATTTGCACTTGTCCAATCAAATATAGCGGGGATCCGTTCATTAGATGCCTGCCGATAAGTAAGATTCCTCATGATTTGAATTGAGAGATTTGATAAAACATATTTTATTGTAGGAGAAGAGCCTGTTGTAGAACCAAACAATCCCTGCCAGCCATCACCTTGTGGACCAAACTCTCAATGTAGAGACTCTAACGGTTCTCCATCTTGCAGTTGTCTGACAGAATTCATAGGAACACCACCAAATTGCAAACCTGAATGTATCAATAACGTCGAATGCCCCAATAATTTGGCTTGCATCAACCTGAAATGTAAAGACCCTTGCCCGGGAATTTGTGGGCAAAACGCCCAATGTCGCGTAGTGAGCCACACACCGAATTGTCTATGTAATGAGGGTTACGTAGGTGACCCGTTCGGAGCTTGTTATGTACAAACAGTACCCAAGCCAGTCGAAGTAGTTAATCCATGTTTGCCTTCACCTTGTGGCGCTAATGCCCTTTGCAGAGAACAAAACGGTGCAGGATCTTGCACGTGCATTCCAGATTACTTGGGAAATCCTTACGAAGGCTGCAGACCGGAATGTACGATCAACTCAGATTGCACGTCCAATAAAGCCTGCATACGAAACAAATGCGTTGATCCATGTCCTGGCACTTGCGGCCAAAATGCAGAATGCATGGTGATAAATCACTTACCTTCTTGTACGTGTATACCAGGTTATACCGGAGATCCATTCAGATTCTGCAATTTGGTTCATGAACGTGAGTAATTCTTTAAACTTCCAATTCCTGTTTGTCTTCAACGCATAATATTTCAGGAGAACCCTTACCTACCAATCCTTGTCAACCAAGTCCATGTGGACCTAACAGTCAGTGCCGCGAGATAAATAACCAAGCTGTCTGCTCCTGTTTGCCCAGCTATTTTGGAAGCCCACCAGGTTGTAGACCAGAATGTACCGTCAGTTCAGAGTGCGATAGCTCCAAGGCTTGTGTGAACCAAAAATGTGTGGACCCTTGTCCTGGCACGTGTGGCTTGAACACCAAGTGCAACGTCATCAACCACAGCCCGATATGCTCCTGCAAATTCGACTACACAGGAGACCCATTCACGAGGTGTTATCCATTACCACGTGAGCCCTAACTGTTTTTTTTCTATCTGAAACTGTCTAACAAACTTCCGTTTCAGCTCCTTCACCTGAACCAACTGTTTTCACCAACCCTTGTGAGCCATCACCGTGTGGACAGCATTCGGTATGCCAAGACATCAACGGAAATCCGTCTTGTTCTTGCAGACCAAATTACATAGGAAGCCCGCCCAACTGTAGGCCAGAGTGTGTCATCAACTCGGAATGTCCTAGTAATATGGCTTGCATACGGGAGAAATGTAGGGATCCTTGCCCAGGCTCTTGCGGAACGTTTGCCCAATGTAGCGTGTTGAATCATATCCCATCGTGTATATGTCTCGAAGGTTACACAGGAGATCCGTTCAGCAATTGCTATCCCAAGCCACTGCCACCACAAGAAGTCGAAAAAGATATGTGTAATCCATCTCCTTGCGGGCCTAATACTAGGTGCGATAACGGCGTGTGCACTTGTTTGCCAGAATATCAAGGAAATCCATACGAAGGCTGCAGACCAGAGTGTATTTTGAACACGGATTGTCCAAGAGATAGAGCTTGTATCAGAAACAAATGTTTGGATCCTTGTCCGGGAACTTGTGGACAGAATGCCGAATGCGCGGTCATAAACCACATTCCGATGTGTTCTTGCCTAGCAGGATATTCTGGGAACGCTTTCGTGCTGTGCTCTACAATACCAACTCTTTTGCCACATAATCCTTGCAACCCCTCACCGTGTGGGCCCAACAGTCAATGCAGAGAAATCAATCAACAAGCAGTTTGTAGTTGTGTGCAAGGCTACATCGGTAGTCCTCCGACTTGCAGACCGGAATGCGTCAGCAGTACTGAGTGTTCTTTGGATATGGCTTGCGTCAACCAGAAATGTATAGATCCTTGTCTGGGTACTTGCGGCCTGAACACGCGTTGCCAAGTCGTGAATCACAACCCTATATGCAGCTGTTCTCCCAGATTCAGCGGAGATCCCTTCACTAGGTGCTTGCCTATACGAGAAGAACCTGTGGTTGTTCCATCCAATCCTTGCCAACCGACACCTTGCGGTCCGAACTCGCAGTGCAAGGAAATCAACGGAAATCCTTCTTGTTCTTGTTCACCGCAGTTCTTCGGATCGCCACCCAACTGCAAACCGGAATGTATCAGTAATAGCGAGTGTGCCAATCACCTGGCTTGTATAAATCTAAGGTGCAAAGATCCTTGTCCTGGAATATGCGGCATCAACGCAGAGTGCAGAGTCGTTTCTCATACGCCCAACTGCGTTTGTCTTTCCGGCCACTCTGGTGATCCGTTCCAACAATGCGTCATATCTGCCGTTTCGATACCCAAGCCCGCTGATCAAATCAATCCTTGCTTCCCATCACCCTGTGGAGCAAATGCCGTATGTAAAGAGAGGAATAACGCTGGATCGTGTATTTGTTTGCCACAGTATATCGGTAATCCGTACGAAGGTTGTCGTCCGGAATGTGTATTGAATTCCGACTGTCCATCCAACAGAGCTTGCATCAATAATAAATGCAAAGATCCTTGCCCTGGAACTTGTGGACTCAATGCTCAATGTCAAGTCATCAACCACTTGCCGTCTTGTACTTGTACTAACGGGTATACTGGAGATCCTTTCAGATATTGCGGTGTCATACAGATCGAAGAAGAACGTAAGGAGACATATTTCCTGACAATAAATTATTCTTAATTGAGATATTTTCAGCATTACCATTGAAACCATGTCAACCATCCCCATGCGGACCCAACAGTCAATGCCGAGAACACAATAATCAGGCAATTTGTTCATGTTTACCGAATTACATAGGCAATCCACCTGGTTGCAGACCAGAATGTACTGTAAGCTCTGAATGTCCGCAGAATAGGGCGTGTCTTAATCAAAAATGCGTCGATCCATGCCCAGGAACATGCGGAATCAAAGCTCAATGCCAAGTAATCAATCATAATCCGATTTGTAGTTGTATTTCAGGTAACACAGGAGATCCTTTCACCGTATGTTATCCAATACCAGGTATGACTTTCAACTGAATTTTCCCCGCAAGTGAGCTACATTCGATTTTTTTCAGCACCTGCACCTGTGATAACGGAAGTTGTGAATCCTTGTGTACCTTCCCCTTGCGGTCCTAACAGTCAGTGCCGCGATATAAGAGGCACCCCGTCTTGTTCCTGTTTATCGACCTATATAGGAAATCCGCCAAATTGTAGACCGGAATGCGTAGTCAACTCAGAATGTACTAGTAACTTGGCGTGCATCAACGAAAAATGCAGAGATCCTTGCCCAGGATCGTGCGGTATCGCTGCAATATGCGAAGTGAGAAACCACAACGCTATTTGCGTTTGTCCACCTGGGTTCAGCGGGGATGCATTTGTTTCTTGTAATCTCCAACCGAAGCCAATAGCTCGTAAGTGGTTGAAAATTCGATACGAGAACAATTTTTCACGAAAAAAAACATTTTTCAGCTACCATCACCGATCCTTGTTATCCTAACCCATGCGGAGCAAATGCTCGTTGTGATAATGGCATTTGTTCTTGCTACCCAGAATACCACGGCGATCCTTACATAGAATGTAGGCCGGAATGTTTGGTGAATCCGGATTGCCCTAGAGACCAGGCATGTATCGCGCAGAAATGTAAAAACCCATGTCCAGGTACTTGCGCCCAAAACGCCGAATGCTCTGTGTTCAATCATTTCCCATCGTGTACCTGCCTCCAAGGTTACTCTGGCGATCCATTCATAATGTGTAACAAAATACAAAGTGAGTATCTTTATGGTGACGAACACGGTAACGCAACTTCCTATTATTCAGAACCGCCGCCACGAAACCCTTGCCAACCAACTCCGTGTGGACCAAACAGCCAATGTAGAGTCGTTAACGAGCAAGCTGTTTGCTCTTGTCTGCAAGGTTACATCGGAAGTCCTCCCACTTGTAGACCCGAATGCGTTAGTAGCTCTGATTGTCCCTTAGATAGAGCCTGCGTCAACACGAAATGTATAGACCCTTGTCCTGGAACTTGCGGAATAAACGCTTATTGCCAGGTAGTAAGCCATAACGCGATTTGCTCTTGTCCACTGAGGTATAGCGGAGATCCTTTCGTAAGATGCCAAGTTGTTTACGGTACGTTATCGATAGTCCCATCACGTGACCCATTTGAAGTGTTTGTTTCCATTGTAGTAACTGAAAAACCAGCGCCAACTGTTATAGAACCACAGAACCCTTGCATTCCCTCGCCATGCGGTCTCAATGCTCAATGTGAACCAACCCCAGTCGGTACCGCGAAATGCACTTGCTACTCCAACTATCTCGGTGATCCACCGAATTGCAGGCCGGAATGTGTGGCCAATAGCGATTGTCCCGCACCCTTGGCGTGCATAAATCAAAAATGCAAAGACCCTTGTCCCGGATCCTGCGGATTGAATGCTCGCTGCTTGGTTGTGAACCACATACCCAACTGTGTCTGTCTAGATAGTTTCGTTGGAGATCCTTTCACTCTCTGTCGACAACCACGTAAGATTTTCCACTTTCTCTAACTTTTTATGTTGCTGTGCTAACCACTTATTGCTTGTGCATGCCCAAAATGTGATTCCTGATCTTAATATCTCCGTTTTTTTCTACAGTGTTACCTCCACAGCCACCGAAGAAGGAGGATCCTTGTTATCCTTCTCCTTGTGGCTCTAATGCCCAATGCAGGGTAGAGAACAACTATGCGGTTTGCGAATGCCTACCAGAATACCATGGAAATCCTTACGAGAGTTGCAGACCTGAGTGTTTGTCGAATGCAGACTGTTCGATGGATAGAGCTTGTATCAGGAACAAATGTGTAGATCCTTGTCCAGGGACTTGTGGAACGAATGCACTATGCTTCACTACCAATCATATTCCTGTGTGTTCTTGTCCAGACAGATATACTGGAGATGCTTTCCGATTGTGCACACCAGTGATAGGTGAGTAATCAATGATAATCACAAAAAAAAATCGAATGAAAAGTTGTTGAATTTTGATTTATCGAATTTCGTTAAAGTTGAAATGAGTTTCTACGTATAGAGTATTCTCAAAGTTGAGGGATTCATTTTATTAGTATGTAGAACACGTAATAATGAGTTGATTGACAAACATTTTGAAGATTATGGAACATCTGTTACTCACCAGCCTGAATGTTAACATCACTGAATCTTGGTATTTTTACAGAAATTATGCACAACCATGCTCGACGTAACAAACATTTGATGACTCGCGACAAAAATACTTGTTTGTCCACGAATAGTTTTATCTAGTTTTTCCACGTTATTCACTTCTTCATCAAAAAGTTGTTCGAATGGTGATACACTTATCACATCACGGTGATCATCTCTCTGTTTCATAAGGAAATGATCAGGTCTCCAATTTAATTGAAACAAACACAGGGTGGTGCAGAATTCAGAATCTTGATCACCCGGTATATGTCCCAATTAAATATCAGTAGATAGTTAATCAAAAGTTGCAATAGGGACATGTGAACCGTTTTGACCAATTATGAATAGTCTCGACACAAAAAATTCTTGAACTTGGAAAATCTCGATTTTTCACACCCTATATTTCAGTAATTATAACTGCTAGACCCCAAGTATGATGGGTCGTTGAAATCAGCTCATCAGGGAGAATCTCAAAATGGAATAATATATAGGGTGTTCGATAGAAAAAAGTTTAACTTCAGTGTTTTATGGTTTTGGGGACACCCTGTATGTTTCGAAATAATTTTAAATGGTAGCCTCTGTTGACATGCAACTTCCTAGAGAGGAAGAATTCCAAGAAGATAAGTGGTTAGCCTTCTAGAGACCGAGGCGTTACTGGTGGCCCACCCTTTATATATATATATATATATATAGTAGAAGGGTAGTCGTTGCTGACTAGTTAGGTATCGACTAGTAAATAGTGAGGTTTTGCAGCAAGTAAAAGAGAACTCTTTGAAGATTATCCAAGCTTTCGGAATTTAATTGATTCCATCATCAGGGCATACTACAATAATTATTGTCAGTGATAATATAAAAGTCAAAATTAAATTGTACTTACATCTACGTGAGGATGATTACTATGATGTTAACAATAATTTTCAAAAATGAATTGTGATACATCATCCAGGAACGAAGTTGTTTGTAAAGTTATAAAACAATTAACAATTAAAATAAAACAGTAGTAAAGTTACAATCACACATGTTAAAAACTTGAACTTGAACTTGAACTTGAGCTAGCTAGTCATGGACACCATGTGGCCGGATATGAAAAAATTAATGAATGAATGACAATTGAAATTAGGTTAGAATGTTGACAGTATTGACAAGACAAGTACTATCAATAGTACCAACTATTGTACCAACCGTAAAAATTGTGGCAATTTTGAAAATGATGAAATGGAAGTTATAATTCAGAATTATCAATGGAATTAACCCTGAAGGGGTTGATGTCTAATGTCAATAAATAGGCATAAATTTCACTTAGATAGTTGATGTCTGTTTTTTTATTCATATTGTTGGCCTCTTGATAGATGCAAGCCATTTCTAAAAAGGACCTTTTGGTCAAATTGTTCTCAGAAGCTAAGATTTTAACATTGTCATAATCCATATGATGGTCAAATTGGTTAACATGATCTGCTAGAGCACATCTTTCTGGGTGTAATCTACTATCACTTTTGTGTGAGGTAATTCTTGCCTTAAGGGCTCTTGATGTCTGACCAACATACGTTTTATCACAATTTTTGCACGGAATACTATATACCACATTCATTCGAGATGTCAATGGAATTTTATCTTTTACTTTTGTGTATATGGACCTAATAGTGAGAACTGTTTTATTAGCTATTTTGATGTTGATTTGATTTTGTTTAGAATTTTTGTCAATATACCCAACATCAAAATAGCTAATAAAACAGTTCTCACTATTAGGTCAATATACACAAAAGTAAAAGATAAAATTCCATTGACATCTCGAATGAATGTGGTATATAGTATTCCGTGCAAAAATTGTGATAAAACGTATGTTGGTCAGACATCAAGAGCCCTTAAGGCAAGAATTACCTCACACAAAAGTGATAGTAGATTACACCCAGAAAGATGTGCTCTAGCAGATCATGTTAACCAATTTGACCATCATATGGATTATGACAATGTTAAAATCTTAGCTTCTGAGAACAATTTGACCAAAAGGTCCTTTTTAGAAATGGCTTGCATCTATCAAGAGGCCAACAATATGAATAAAAAAACAGACATCAACTATCTAAGTGAAATTTATGCCTATTTATTGACATTAGACATCAACCCCTTCAGGGTTAATTCCATTGATAATTCTGAATTATAACTTCCATTTCATCATTTTCAAAATTGCCACAATTTTTACGGTTGGTACAATAGTTGGTACTATTGATAGTACTTGTCTTGTCAATACTGTCAACATTCTAACCTAATTTCAATTGTCATTCATTCATTAATTTTTTCATATCCGGCCACATGGTGTCCATGACTAGCTAGCTCAAGTTCAAGTTCAAGTTCAAGTTTTTAACATGTGTGATTGTAACTTTACTACTGTTTTATTTTAATTGTTAATTGTTTTATAACTTTACAAACAACTTCGTTCCTGGATGATGTATCACAATTCATTTTTGAAAATTATTGTTAACATCATAGTAATCATCCTCACGTAGATGTAAGTACAATTTAATTTTGACTTTTATATTATCACTGACAATAATTATTGTAGTATGCCCTGATGATGGAATCAATTAAATTCCGAAAGCTTGGATAATCTTCAAAGAGTTCTCTTTTACTTGCTGCAAAACCTCACTATTTACTAGTCGATATATATATATATATATATACATTTTGTTGCGTTCATGATTCAATTCGGATTCCCCTTTGAAATCATTCGAATTGATATTCTCTGAGTGAATACTGGAATGTGAGATAAAGAGTCTTCTAATAGTAATAACAAACTGATTACCTTTGTATCACTTTACAGTGGAACCTCCAAGAGACCCATGCAACCCATCGCCTTGCGGCCTGAACACCATCTGCCGCACCTCCGGCAAAAACGCCATCTGCGAATGCCTACCCACCTTCTTTGGAACCCCCACAGCAGGTGGTTGCCGTCCCGAATGCACCATAAGCGCAGACTGCGAACGAACCAAAGCCTGCGTGAACAACAAGTGCATAGACCCTTGTCCAGGAGTCTGCGGCTTCGGTGCCATTTGCAACGTCATCAACCACAGTCCAGTCTGCAGTTGCCCCCCACCCTTAATGGGCGATCCTTTCACTCTTTGCCGCGAGCAGCCCAAGGAAGAACCTAAAAACCCTTGCAATCCATCACCTTGCAACTTGAACGGGCAATGCAGAGTTGTCAACGGTCTAGCCAGCTGTGTTTACCCAGAATGTGTTATCAACCAAGATTGTCCGCGAGATAAGGCTTGTTACGGACAAAAATGCAGGAACCCTTGCTCGGAAGCTTGTGGTCTTAACGCCTTATGTCAAGTTGTCAACCATCAAGCAGTATGCTCTTGCCCTCCGGGATACATCGGTTCCCCGGAAGTACAATGTCAATACCAAATTGAAGAAAATCCGAGAGTGGAATGCGTCCAAGACTCAGATTGCACAAATGACAAGGCATGCATCGACAATCAGTGCAAGAATCCTTGTATCACAAGTCTCGGTGTCTGCGGGCAAAATGCTGATTGCCGAGCACAGCTCCACAGAGCAGTCTGCACTTGCCGAGATGGCTTCACAGGCAATGCTCAGCACTCTTGCTACGAAATCGGTTGCCGATCCGATTCAGAGTGTCCTCCAACACAAGCTTGCATCAACAAAGAATGCGTTAATCCTTGTTCTTATACTTCTTGCGGACTGAACGCCCTCTGTCGAGCTGATGTGAATCACAAAGCGAGGTGCTACTGCCCAGATAGCTTTAGAGGAGACCCATTAGTGAGATGCGAGCGACCTGAATGCACTCATGACGAAGATTGTCCGTACAACTTGGCTTGCAGCAATGAGAGATGTTTCGATCCGTGCAATTGTGGCCTGGAAGCCATTTGCTCGGTGACCAATCATAGGCCGCAATGTTCTTGTCCACCTGGTTATAAAGGAAATCCATTATCCTCGTGCAAAATCGAACCGGTAGAAGTGGAACCGCAATGCACCACGGACGCAAATTGTCCGAATAAACTTGCTTGTTTCGAGGGTGTTTGCAAGAATCCATGCTACGAAACGAAACCTTGTGGAAAGAATACCGAGTGCATAGTGGTAGACAGCTTACCGTTGAGGACTATGTCTTGTATGTGTCTACCAGGTTATGTTGGTGATGCTGACACTGAATGCAAACTAGGTAATTATTTCACTCTCAATATGTCAGTGATACAAGTTACTAGTTTTTGTATTAATATGACTACTAATCTCTCAATAAATTTGAGTTTCAGGAACTCCGTCAACCTTCCTAACCTATCTCACCAAACAGCAACACTTAATCCAATATATCATATCTCATAATCTTCTTAATAGGACAGCCGGCTGAGAATTTTGACAATAATCTGATAATAAGTTGACGTAAGTTCCAAAGGAAAGTAAAAACATTGTAACGGCACCTGTGCAAATCACTTTCCTGAGCAGAATGATTAAAAATGGCTCTATCTTGTAAGGTTTTCTTCACTAGATTTCGCGATTTGATGACGAGACAAGGGTAATACCAATCGATATCAATTGAATGGTATGTCTCCAAACTCTACCTGTGCCTGTTGTTTCCTCTATCCCGGACATACTGCCGTCCGTGATAATTAGTTGAACGAAAATGCAAATGAAAGGGGATGATGTCCCCTTCGCGATATCCAAAGGTGCTACGATTTAACCTGATCTAAAATTCAGTGGCAAAGAATGAATATTTCCGAGAATATCTCACCCTCATTGAAAGGTAATATCTGATGGACCATCGATAATTTGGTTAATCGGATATTACCTTCAGACAGAGGAAAAATATTCTCGCAGATGTCAACGCTTTGCCACTAACTCATAGGTAGATGAGTTTCGATAGCAACACGTTTGGATATTACTTGCATTCTGTTCCAACTCAACATGTGACGAAAGTATATCCGTAATAACGGTAGAAAAAAATCATTGTTCCGAGGATTTGAATCAACTTGAGAGATGACGAAGGTAGGGTTTTGAATTGGTATCGAATGGCTTAATTCTTATCTCGTCATCGTCCGTCCGTGATAATTAGTTGAACGGAAATGCAAATAAAAGGGGATGATGTCCCCTTCGCGAATATTCAAAGGTGCCACGATTTAACCTGAATTCACTGGCAGAGAATCAATATTTCCGAGAATATTTTACCCTTATTGAAAGGTAATATCTGATGGACCATCGATAATTTGGTTGATCGGATATTATCTTCAGACAGGGGAGAAATATTCTCGTAGATGTTAACGCTCTGCCACTAACTTATAAATGACGTGAATTGCAACACGTTTGAATATTACTTGCATTCTGTTTCAACTCAACATGTGAAAAAAGTATATCGGGAATAACAGTAGAGAAAAATCGTTGTTCCGAGGATTTGAATCAACTTGAGAGGTGGCTTGAGTAGGGTTTTGAGATCTAACATTCAATTGGTATCGGATGGTATAATTCTTATCTCGTTATCGAATCGCGAAAATTAGCGCAATTCACCGCACAGGAAAGTGCAATTTTTCAATCATTGTGCTCAGGAAAGTGACTGGCACTGGTGCCATTCGATAAAATATGTTTTTACGCCTTTGGAACTTATACGTCATTTCATTATCAGATGACGGTCAAAATGTTCAGCCGACTCTTGGACTTTCTCTTGTTACACGAAACTAAACTGACTTGTTCATTTTACAGCACCGCAAGACCAACCTGGTTGCAAGAGTAACGAGGAATGCTCTTCCTCAGAAGCCTGCTTGAACAGGCAGTGCGTCAATCCATGCGTCATCGGAAATCCCTGTTCCATCACTGCCGAATGCAGACCGACAGACCACAAAGCTGTTTGTAGATGTCCATCTGGGCTGATGGGAGATCCATTCATCAAGTGCTACCAGCCACCACAGGTCAAACCGGAATGCACGACCGATTCCGAGTGTCCCAACGACAGATCTTGTATTAATCAACGTTGCCAGGACCCTTGCTATTTGGCAAATCCGTGTGGATCAAGTGCCGAATGTCGGACCAACTTCCACAGGCCAACTTGCTTGTGTCCAGACGGTTGGCTGGGAAACCCACAAATCATGTGCTACAAACGTGAGTTATCTTCAGACTCCCGAAACTTCATTTTTCTCATGTTCGATTTCCATTGTGCAACACTGTATTCAGTTGAAATTAGATTCGGGCTACATTTGTGGGCTCTTATCACTGGAATTGTGACATAGATTTCATACAGTCTGTTTTGAAATTTCACTTAACAATTCCAAATTCTTAGATTTTACTATATACCAGTCTCTATCTTGGTCATCCAATATTCAAATGCTTAGAAAAAGAAATGTCCCATTGTTGGGATATTATACAAAATGAGGCAATTATACTTGAAATTTGATTTGTTTCAATTTGATTTACTGTAAATTGCTGTATCCAGCATCTCTGATAACGATCTGGGGTATTGCAGCAAAATCTGTTTCAAAACCTATGAAGTGAAGCTATAAAATGTATTTATGCACTAGCGGGCCGTAAAGTGCACTTTACCGCCCGGTTTTGCGGGCGTTAAGTCGCATTTTACCGCCCGCGGGCTCATTATGGCCCACGGGCCGTAAAGTACACTTTACCGCCCGCTGTTCTCAGTCACCTTATATCCACATATCAATTTATGAAAAACCTATGATCATATTCCTAGATTCTGATATATCCAGCGGTATATCATAAACTTCTTCTTCATCCGATTCCATAGTCTCGCTATTATTATTATCACTAATTTTACTTTTCAATCAAAGAAGGACAACTGAGCTCGTTTATTGGATGTATTACTATAGACAACAACCATCAGATTGATTGACAACGTCAAAATAACTTAGTTTTATATACTGGGTATGCATATTGTAAAATTCTGAAGAATGAATCTCTTCGTTTATACGTCCATGGCCGAAAGAGTTTTACTATTACGATAATTGCAATATTCGTACGATAATTTTCATATGTAAATCATCCATGAACATTACGCTTCTCTTGATTACTGAATTTATATGTAACGAATTAAATTCTGGGGAATATTAGTTCATCGAAATCTATAGTCATTACTTATGAGTCAGAAAATAAACCACTAGTGCATAAAATTTTGTATGTATCTCGTGCGTGAAATGCGTTTATGGCCTTCAGCGTGTAATGGCCCTCGGCTAGCGCCATCGGGCCATTATTCACGCCACAGGCCATAAACGCCTACTTTACGCCCTTGATACATAAATAACTATTATCAGTTTCCTCTTTTGAAATCAACATCTCGAATATACAAACCAAGAGATTTACTAGATATTGAATATCTCTTCATAAAGTATGCATTTTCATCCATCTCACTAAATAAAACGAGACCCAAGCACTTTCGATGAAATCCTGATACCCATGACTCTCACACCAGAAAAAGTCGTAATATAAAAACTGTCAAAATGAAAACCCAAGTTGGAAAAATAAGAATATTCTTTGCGGTGTAAATATCAATAAGAGTCTACCCAACAGAAATAAATCTATCAATCTCGTTACAAAATTCAAGAGTGAACTGAAGAAATATATTTCATCAACTCTCCTCTTTATATTAATTGATTCTGATACAATCACTCATCTTCCATTTCATTGGATATTCGATTCGTTCAATCATTCTTGATCATGTTCCAATATGATATGATCAATGGATGTTGTTATTATTATCATTATTATTACAGCCGAGTGCAAGACAGACCAGGATTGTCCGTACGACAGGGCCTGCATCAGTGACAACTGCATCAACCCTTGCACAACTCAAAGCTGCGGCCGAGGGGCAGAATGCCTAGTCCAAAACCACCACGCTCAATGCCAATGCCCGCTCGGAACGCAAGGCGATCCGCTTCTTTCCTGCATCACCGGCATTTGCCACTACAACGAAGATTGTGCCGACCACGAGGCGTGTGACCGCCTCAACAGAGTTTGCAGACCGGTCTGCGACGACGACACATGCGCAGAAACAGCATTGTGCACCGGAAGACAGCACCAACCGAAATGTCGGTGCCCTCCGGGAACCACCGGAAATCCTTTCATCCAGTGCTCGGATTCGATAGTACCATCTGTGGTGGAGTGTCACACTGATGCCGAGTGTCCTTCCAAGTTAGCGTGCATTAATACCCGTTGCGAGAATCCGTGTGTGCTGGAATCCATCTGTATGCCTGACCAGGAATGTCGCGTTTTGGATACTTTGCCTTTGCGTACGATAATGTGTCAATGTCCACCGGATACAATTGTCGACGCTTCAGGTCGCTGTGTTCTCGTTAAGCACTTGAAACCGCAATGCCAAGTCGATTCGGACTGCCCTAATTCTGATAAATGCATCGGTGGAACTTGCATACAAGCTTGCAAAGTAGACAGATGTGGAGTGAACGCTTTGTGCAATTCTTTAGAACACCAAGCGGTGTGTACTTGTGCACCAGGATATACAGGCAACGCTCGGTATGAATGCACTAATATACCGAAGAAACCGTTCGAAGTTTTGCCTCCGGAATGCTACACAGACAACGACTGTTCGTACGACAAAAAATGCAGGGAAGATTATTGTGTTAATCCGTGCAGGGAAGAGAATCCATGTTCTCCCAGCGCTTTCTGCTCAATTGACAATCACAGAGCTGTTTGCAAATGTCCAGCTGGATACGAAGGAAATCCATACGTCGAATGTATAGCACGTAAGTTGAATCGTACAACAACAGTATTCCATATCTTGTCCTGACAATCTACAACAATGGAGAAAACTTGGAATCGTCTTCACAACTTTCAATCATCAAGAAATGAACAGTTTCATGAAGCGTCATCAGCTATCAATCATTAAGTACATGAAAAATGAACAAAAAAACTAGGCATGGACGTAGTCAAAACCTCAGTATGTTTTTATTCTTTCAATCAATAAGGGTATTTTCAAATCATATATGTATAATTTCTTGTTGATATTTTTAAAGAGAAACATATTTTAATATGTGATGTTATTGAAGCCAGTAAAATCTTCGTCCTCAACGATCATCAGTCAAAAAATCTATCCTTCTTCACAGAACATTGAGCACTGAGGTTCTTGTTCGAGGTTTCATCAATTTCAATAATTCAATTTCACAGACGATCATCCAAGATATAATTTTTCCTCTTCGTATAACTCAATACTTTAAATGGAAGAGGCTTAAAATGAACTATAGACGATACGAATTCTCTCCATCGTTACACAATATTTCACTTCAAGACAATAGACTTCAACCAGATTAAATATCAACATTCTTTTTCAGCGATAAGTCCTGCTGTAGGCTGTTCTTCTAATTCGGAATGCCCCATGAGTCAGTCCTGCGTGAACCGCTTGTGCATCAGTCCATGCAACTGCGGACCCAACGCAGAATGCCGAGTAGCTGATCACTACCCAATATGCTACTGCCAACCCGGATACTCCGGAAATCCTCAAACAGGATGCACCAAACTGGGCTGTCAATCCGACACCGAATGTCCTGACGATAAGCAGTGCTACAACGACCAATGCGTAAATCCTTGCATCCTCTCTGATCCTTGTGCCAGAAACGCCGAATGCTACGGACAACAACACCGTTCCTCCTGCAGATGTCAGCCAGGTTTCGAGGGCAACGCTGTGGACAGATGCGATCGCGTCGAATGTCACGCCGACCTGGATTGCCCAAACAACCGAGCTTGCATCCAACAACGTTGCGTGGACCCTTGTTCCACCATAGCCAACCCACCGTGTGCTCACAACGCGTTATGTTACGCACAGAATCATGTTGCCGGCTGCATCTGTCCCCCACACTTACCTCAAGGAAATCCCCTGTCTTTCTGTACGGCACCACCAAGACCTCAAGGAAAACCAGAATGCGAGCTAGACCCGGACTGCCCGAGTAAATTAGCTTGCATCCGCAACAAGTGCGTGAACCCTTGCTCGGAACTGTCGCCATGTCACCTGTCTGCCCAATGCAGCGTTCTGGACACGGTGCCGGTGCGAACGATGATCTGCACTTGCCCGGAAGGATGGGTACCAAATGAAAACGGCGAGTGTCACGCGGTGATAGTACCGATACCACCCGGTTGCACTACTGACGATAACTGCCTGGATAATCAGGCTTGCATCAACCGTTTGTGCCGAAACCCTTGCGACTGTGGAACAAACGCCCAATGCTCTGTAAAAAATCACAGAGCCGTTTGTTCATGTAGACAAGGCTTCGACGGTAACCCGAACATCGCTTGTCAAGCTGTGGGATGTAGGATCGATTCCGAGTGCGGATCTGGAAGAGCTTGTCTCAACGGCCACTGTATCAACCCTTGTTTAGTAAGAGATCAATGCGGGACGAACGCGGAATGTTTCGTTTACCGCAACAGAGCTGAGTGTCGATGCGCTACCGGCTACAGAGGCAATCCTTTGGAAAGATGCTCAGTGATCGGATGCACCTCTAACAGCGACTGTCCCAGTGACAAACAATGCATCAACGCCCAGTGCATCAATCCTTGCGTTTACGACAACCCTTGCTCATCAAGGGCTGAATGCAGCGTCCGCAACCACTTATCCTTGTGCAGATGCCCGAGTGGCCTTATCGGAAATCCCTACGTCGACTGTCGTCCGGAACCACAACCGGAATGCAGGGAAGATAGCGAGTGTCCTTCGAGATTGGCATGCCTGAACAACAGATGCCAGGATCCTTGTGTGGTTCTGGAACCGTGCCAAAGACCGTCCGAATGCCAAGTAGTGGGTTCCGTGCCAGTCAGAACTATGATTTGTATCTGCCCGCCGGGTTACATCAGCAGCGGTAGCGGTACCTGCAATCCCGTCACGGCCGTGACTAAAGTAGGAGCTTGTGTATCGGACGAGGAGTGTCCAACAGAAAAAGCTTGCTTCAATGGTATTTGCAGAAACCCGTGCAACTGCGGACCGGAAGCTGAATGTCGCATCAGAGACCACAAGCCCGTATGCAGCTGTAAGCCAGGTTTCGACGGTAATCCAGAGCTAGAGTGTACCAGAGTGGGCTGTAGATCGGAAGATGAATGTTCTGGGCAACACAGCTGCGTGAACAGACAGTGTGTACCTGTTTGTGCTGCAGACGGGTCCACTTGCGGACAAAAAGCGACTTGCTATGGGGTGAACCACAGAGCGATATGCGAGTGTCCACCAGGATTGATGGGAGACCCGAGAATAACTTGTGTCCTAGTAGGGTGTAGATCCGACGCCGATTGTCCGAGTAGCAGAGCTTGCATCAACAACAAATGCGAATTGCCTTGCGTCACGACCAATCCCTGTGAAGCACCGGCAGAGTGCAAGGCTTTCGACCATATAGTCGAATGTGTTTGTCCACCTGGTACAATTAGCAACGGTGGATTGGGGTGTGTTGAAGTAGAAGAAAAATGCCGCAGGGACTCTGAATGCCCGTCTCAGTACGCGTGCATTGGAGGCGAGTGCGTGAATCCATGCAAGGAATCGAATCCTTGCGGTGTCAATGCTGAGTGCACGGTACTGAACACCGAGCCGGTTAGGACGATGATTTGCCAATGCCTACCGGGATACGAAGGCAACGCGGCAGTTCTATGCAATAGAAGTAAGTTGACCATTTCAAAGTTTGTTATAAGGGCAATAGAATAATTCTCGAACGATAATTGGAAAGCGCTTCAGGAGGAGGATAATATCTTTTTTCTGTGACGGGAGGAAAGTTTGGCATTTCATCTCTGTTGGCAGGTTATAAAATGTTACTTTTCATAAATTACTTTTTTCCCTTGTATAATAAATAACTACTATTGAACCTTCTCATTTTCTTCATTGTTTCTACAACGTTTCATACGTTTTCAATATAGGCATATTTGTCTCTATCAGTTCTGTAGTGATGAATGAATTAATTTTTCAGCAACACAATGCAAAATCGACAAAGGATATATCCGCACCCCAGACGGAAGATGCGTTTGTCCTCCAAACAGCGCTCTAAACGAAAACGACGAATGCATCCATTGCCCTATCGACAAAGGACTGAAAATCGACGAAAGAGGTCGCTGCGTGTGCGCATTAGAACGTGGTCTGATCATCGACGAACGTGGAAACTGCGTGTGTCCGATCGAATTCGGCTACCGATTAGATTTCCGGGGCAATTGCGTACCCAAATCAGGCCCGGAATGTGAGACCGACGACCAGTGTCCAGACCACAGGTATTGCAACCCGAAAACGAAAACTTGCGACGATCCATGTCCAGAGAAGCATTGTGGAGTCAACGCGTTGTGTAATGCTACTAATCACCGAGCTGTTTGTCAGTGCATAACAGGCTATACCGGCAATCCAGATATTTATTGCAGTGAGTTTTTTCATAATTTCAACAACTTTGACACAAAAAAATGAGGATCATTCATTTGTAGTCTTCTTCAAGGAACATATCATCATAACAGGCTATACCGGTAACCCAGATATTTATTGCAGTGAGTTTCCTCATAATTCAACCGACACAAATTGAATAGGAAAGCATTTATTTGTGGTGTTCCTCGAGGAAGATAACATAATGACATTCAAACAGCCGATCTCACTGTGCCCAACATAAGCTTGTCAGGAGAAATCATACCTTTGAAGAAATCCATTCGATGCTTGGTATTACTATCAGCAATAACCTCTCCTGGAAAAATCACGTGAGATCCATTGCTGAAAGTGCATCCGAAAAACTTGGTTTTCTGTTTCGGGCCAGGGGCTATTTCACTTCCAGTCAGCAACTTATGATCTATAAGGCACAGATCCAACCTGTCCTGGAATACCGTTCCCATATTTTTGGTGCAGCACCCAAACATACCCTGAAACTGTTGGATTCTGTCCAAAAAAGGGCCATTCATCTCGTGGGTAATGCCTCGCTCACAAACTCACTCACTTCTCTAGAACACCGTAGAAAAGTTGGCGATTTGGCTATATTTCATAGATATTTTCATGGACGATGCTCTTGTGAAATATCAACAATTGTTCCTCCCTTTGCAGTTCCCGCGAGATCAACCTGTCGAGTTGTGGCTTCGCACCCCTTCGTGGACGTGTTCCCCGAGGGATATTACCTCCAGAAATTTAAGAAAAACATCAATTCCAACCTCATTTTCCTTGGTTCTTACGATGTTCTCTGAACATTACAGGATATCCCTATTCGTGGGAACCAGAACATGAAAAAAATACCGATATTTATTGCAGTGAGTTCTTCCATAATTTCAACAACTACGACACACATTGAATAAGAAAGTTTTCATCTGTGGTGTTCCTCGAGGAACATAACATTATTACAGGGTATACCGGCAACCCAGATATCAATTGCAGTAAGTAAGCTCCAATCTATATATTAATTTATAATGAAATTTCAGATCACACGAGTCATTACAAGACCGATTTTCCCAGACCGGATCTCACAGTCAGCTGTTTGTCGGACGGTGTTCAAGTGGAGATAACCCTGTCAGAGATAGGGTTCAACGGAATATTGTACGTGAAAGGCCACAGCAAGGACGAGAAGTGCAGGAGAGTCGTTTCCATCGATTCCGGCGAGAAAATCGAATACTTCAAGGTCAACTTTGGCTCTTGCGGTCTGATACACGTCAACGTAAGTAACAGCGAATAAACCAGCTCAAACGTGGCTTTATCATATAGTATACCCCAAGAGCTATGAGTTTTATTCATTTGAATCTCTAGGTCGAGGGGTATACGACTAGAGTATTGCCTGAACAACTCAGATTGAAACCAATTACATGCAATTTTCACTAGATAGATTTAAATGACGATCAATTGATAATGTTTGTGTTCCTATAACCCTGATTACGGACCCGGACAATGCATCGAAAAATCTCTCATTGCAAAGTATGCATGTGAATATTTCGAATTCGAATATATTTTCATCGCATTTTGTGAAATGATGTGGATGGAGAAACTATCCAAAATAGAGTTTTTACTCATGGAAATCAATATTAGGTCATAAAAACGATTGAGAAATCGATGTATTTTCATAAATTGTTGCTGGTGATAGTAAAAGTCAGTGATTTCAGAAACAAGACACACTTGTATTACTAACAAATTATAATATTACGGTTGCCTTTCTTCACTTCCACAAATTTCTTTAATAATGCTGCTGATGATAGACTATTGATAGTCCGCCGAAACATATCCAGATATTCCTCACGTTACTAATGAATTTGTGGAGATGACTAAGAGTGTGTCTTGTTTCTTAAACTCGTTCACTCCACTTTGAGAAAATATGGACTTCTACCATAGAATAAAATCAGTGATGATCGACAAAACGAAAATCAATATGGAGGACAAAATGTTATTCGGGTGATTTATTAATCACTAATTCAAACTGAATTCGTTCAGGAAACGGTGGTGTTTGATTGATCGATTTCGTGATAAGGGAAATAATCATTTCAAAATTCCAGGGCGAAGCCAGTTTCGTGTTGGTCATCCAGAAACACCCGAAGCTCGTAACATATAAGGCGCAAGCGTACCACATCAAATGCGTATACCAAACGGGCGAACAAAACGTAACTCTAGGCTTCAACGTGTCAATGTTGACAACTGCTGGAACCATAGCAAACACAGGGCCACCTCCAACTTGCCTGATGAAAATAGTAACACCCACTGGAAAGGAAATAAATTCAGCTGAAATCGGAGACAACTTGATGCTGCAAGTCGATGTGCAACCTGGCTCCATTTATGGCGGGTTCGCCAGGAGCTGTGTTGCTAAAACCATGGGCGATAGCGTGGAAAACGAGTATTTGGTGACTGACGAAAATGGTTGTGCGACAGACCCGACTATATTCGGCGAATGGGAGTACAATCAAGATACTCAGAGTTTGCTGGCTAGCTTCAACGCTTTCAAGTTCCCCAGCAGCGATAACATCCGGTTCCAATGCAACATCCGAGTGTGCTTTGGAAAATGTCAACCGGTGAGGATATTTGGCGGAACTCGAGCTTATTGGAGTAGCGGTGCTAATTATGCGGTACTTTCGTTTTTTTCAGGTGAACTGCCGAGGCTACAATGCTTTCGGAAGACGTAGAAGGTCGATCGAAGGAGACAACGAGAATGACACAGATGTCGCAGTTGGCGGTGATTTGTTGACTGGACAGTTGAGAGAAGAAATCACTATACAGTCGAATGCCATTTTGACGCTTGAGAAGCGCGAGGAACGTTATCCAGATTCTCAAACGGGTAAGATAAGTTTTTTTTTTAATGAAGCGAATAGTTGAGTATCAATTCATCATCAAGCCATGAAATAAATAGCAGGGCTTCCATTGAATAATAATTCACTATTTATAAAAATGCAATTGAAGCATGACGATTGTTCATAGATAGTTCGAATGCCATTAAAATAGTTTTTCTTGTATCCCTCTATAAATATTGTATGTTTCTTGGGATCAATAAATGTTATCATTATTATAATTATAAATTTCTGAACAATCTGAAATAGAGAATTCTAGATAAAGAGATAAGAACGGTTGTTGCATCTTATGGTCGACAGAGGGACAACTAATTGATTTTTAATTAAATGATCCGGCATTTACTTGGTCAACTGCGGATGATCAATTTGACCTTCAACTTTGAGCTCACTTCTTTTATGCATTTCATCTTCCTGTATACTCTTTTCAAACTTTCGTTGAATCTCTCCATGCTGTTCATGTTCTGATCTCTGTTCTCCATGTGCCGCCAAGCACATAATAATGATAAACCTATTCTTATATGCATTCTTGGAAAAATATCAAGATTTACAACAGGAGTTCATTCACGTACCCATAATGCACTCGACGTCCTTTTCAAGACTTACTGAAAACGTCCTCTTCTGGACGTACTGGGTACGTACGATTCCGATGTACTGGGTACGTCCAACTCTGGACGTTATCGACTATTAGTGGACGGGATTGAATAAAATTGTATATATAATGATTATTGAAATTATTGCATATAATTCCTACCCTCGAACTCTGATATCTATTCATTTACAACCTTGCAAACATGAACACATAATACATTTCTCACAATTCATTTTCCACTGGCCGTACCTGATCACAAAACATCTATTTAGGTATTATCTGCCATGATCATCAAATTCTATGCAAGTATTGATGTGAAGGGTCAATCGACATTCGCACATATAATATCTAGTTGTATACACTGATATCTCATCAAGTCTCCTGTAGAGTAAAAGGTAGAGCATCTGCTCTAAAGGTCGTGGAATCGATCCCCGGTAGGAGCACTTGTTTTTATTTTTCTATTCAAAATAAGATTTTTTCTACCCTGTCTAGGTCTCTTTTTTATTTATCTGAGTAAAACAGGCGGATCTACGTTGATTCGGGTATTCAAGGTCCAGTTCAGACCTGAACAGGACCTTGATCGTACGCCTTGAGGAGGATTTCGGGACGTTTCTGTGTTATCTGGGTTTTAGTATATTGCTCAGTATAAAATTAGATCTATGCCTCTTAAACACTTATCATTCGTTCTCGTAATGAGGGATTTGACTTGCTTTTTTCTTTATTTTAACTCACGTTATTTTTTCAGCTCCGAAGGCTCAAAGGGCGCAGGACATCTGCGTCTCGATGATCGGCTTCATCATCGCCCTCATAATCACTGCCCTTCTGGCGTTGGTGGCCGTCGCGGTGGCGGTGTCCTGCTGGCTGATGGCCTACCGCCGCAGGCCAAAGGCTGCAGGACCGCTGCCGCATCCTCCGGAGTTTCCCAATCCGCTCTTCACCGCTCCGGAGCCGATGACGGAACCCAGCCCGGACTACCTCACCTGAAACACTGCGAAACTAGTTAGATAAGTGCGGAGGCGTCGGCTTATTTATTAGTTTTTTTCAATTTGTAGTTTGCAGGAAATGATGAAATACTCGCGAGAAGGTTATTTTTCTTCTGTAGTAGTCCATACTCAAAGTGGAGTGGAATATGATCAAGAAAGAAAACTCGAAGTCGTCTCCACAAGTTTGATGTTGAAAAGATGCAGTCAATCCTGCTTCAATGAGGTTCGAGACATGTTTCGACCATTCAAATGCCCATCTTCAGTCAAATTAGTATACATCAAAGTTTATCTACAATAGAAAACCCAAGCATGATTTTATATCATGAAGATATTGAGAAAGAAAATTCACAAAGTATTGCAAATGCAACATTGAATTAGTTAACAATTTCAGTAGTATAAATAATGAACAATGGTGATTATTATAAAGTATAACAATATTGATTGATTAGTAATTGATGAGTGAAGAGTGAACAACTGAAGAAGCCAAATTTTTATTAAAGCACAAATTCTGATAACGAATACCTTTTGGTTCGCCATTTTGTTATCAGAATTTGTGCTATAATAAAAATTTGGCTCCTTCAGTTGTTCACTCTTCGCTCATCAATTACTAATCAATTAATATTGTTATACTTTATAATAATCACGGCACCATTGTTCTTTCATACTACTCTGAAATTGTTAACTAATTTAATGTTGCATTTACAACTTTATGAATTTTTTTTTCAATATCTTCATGATATAAAATCATGCTTGGGTGCAGATAAACTTTGATGTACTAATACTTGACTGAAGATGGCTATTTGAATGACCGAAACATGTCTCAAACTTTATTGAAGCAGGATTGACTGCATATTTTCAACATCAAACTTGTAGAGACGACTTCGAGTTTTCTTTCTTGAAGGTTATTTTTATTGTTTTGTATACCGGGTGTCAAAGGGATTATTGGAGAAGGTGTCATTCAGTTGTTTTTCGTGTTAGAGTCTTGACATTTGGATCAAGGATATAGTTCGTTAAAATCCATATGTTCCATGAGAACACAATTTACCAGAAATGTATATCTGGATCGAGATTTCTTAATGGGACCCTGTTGATATTTTTACACCATTTGATGAAGCAAAAAAATTGTTCTTGATAATGACATATTACAAGTGGACATTTCTTTTAGAAATGGCAGTGCAGGAGACATTTTTTCCTAAATCAATATGGCGACACTATGTCATCATCGATTGAATTTCCTTCGAGCGACGAGATGGAATAGCAGATTGACGAAGCACTTCAATTAGTTTTTGAAACATGCCAAAATTGTGATTTATCGTCAGTCAGGATTCCTTTTCATAATTCTTTCAAATTTCACGAGAATTTTGAATATGAAATCACACTTTCTCAAATTAACATTGAAGAAACGTCAATATCTTTGTATGAATGCTCATATACATTATACTAAATATGCTTGGTTTATTCGTAATTCCATTAGTTTACTTGACCAAAATTGGAACGATTACTTCATATATAGTGTCGCGATCATATTGATTTTAGAAAAAATGTCGCTGCGCCGCCATTTTGAAAATGAATGTCCATGTGTGATATGTCATTGAAAAGGAAATTTGTTTGCTTTATCAAATGACGTAAGAATATATCTACAGGATTTCCTTCAAAATTCTCGACCTAGGTCAATTTCCTGGAAAATCGTAAGTGATACCTATTCAAATGTTTCTTAATGAAAAATATGGGTTTAGAGGAATTAGTTTTTTCGATCCAAATGTACGTCGAATTATAAAAAACATCTGATTGACGCCTTGTCCAATGATTTTGGTGTCACCAGGTACAAAAGTTTTTGGAGGTGCGTGACGTCAGCTTTTGTTTCTAGAATTCCGTCCAATGCTACTCACTTTTTCTACTGCCAGAAGAAACTATTGCTGATCGTTGCGCATCTACCGCGTTTTTTAATTATTCTAGCTAGATGAAAATCCTGGAAATGTTTATTTCCATAAGAAAGACTGCGTTATGGAATGAACATTTTCATCTACCTTTTCCACAGGCTGCTTTTAATATATTTTTTTCTAGAACAGACAAGGGAAAAATAAACTGATAATGGTGGTGGTCTTCTTGAATGAAAATCTGTCTGATCGAATTTCTTGGCCCTTGATTCTGTCACAAACGAAGAAAGCTGAAGGGCCAGAAAAAAATTATTTGCGTTTCGAACTTCTGACTTCTGTGTATGAGTTTAGATGTGTGCTATAATTTGAAATCAGAAACTATACCTATGTCACAGAATTCTGACTTGCTGCTCAAAGTTTCCTGGAATCTGGATCTCTTAATTTTTTGTAAAAAAAAAACAATCGGAAATCAAAATTTGTGATGGCGCATAGCTTTTGAGAGATTCCAAAAGTGTGAAAGAACGAAACTAACAATCTGATCCGTATTCAAAAAATACGCTGATGATGGTTTCTGGTAGATGAAAATTCGGATTTCAAATGTGAAAAACTTGAAAAACATTTTTAATTTTATTTCATTTACAAAAATTGACATTTTCTGTATTTTCCTCTGGATCCAATTCACAGAAAAACAATTGAAAAAACGGATCCGATGACTAGCACTGGGACAAACAAAATTCTACTATGAAGTGGGGGTAATTCTGACATAAGTCAGAAATTTGAAACGCTAAATTATTTTTGTTGGCCTTTCGGTAACATATCGTCTGTTGTAAATATTTGTGAGTTTTCCTTTATCTTGCAGCCCCTGGAAGAAGTAGGAACGTCATTAGTGATACGATTTATAAATATTTCAAGACCCTGTACATAGAATGGATGAATGTTTGATGAATGTTCTAGATTGTAATTTTGGTGCTGACTGATTTCTACACTCAAAAACAGTCATGTTTAGTCAATTCAATTTTTATTACTTTCTAGTTTTATGTTTATGTAGGTATCCACTTGTAAGTCTCAACGAGATGAACTGTTTTTTTTTTCAACCAGAAAGTATTTATTGTACTCTGATGAAGTTGTGCATCATTTTCCTTTGTATATTATTGTTTGCAGTCGTTTACAACGAAAAAAAAAAAAAGAAAGACTAAAGTCTGTGAGAATTATTTTTTTATCGAGTCCGTCTCTGGAACTAATTTCATTAATTATACTTACTTATTAAATAAATACTGCGGTGTTCTAACGAAGATTCCTTAAATTGTCATATGTGATAATCGCTTCTTTAATAAAGATTATTGTTTAAATTTGAGTTGTTTTTTTCCATAAGAGTAGATTATTCTGGTGGATTGAATTATTTTTGTCGACAAATTTTTTTTATGATCTGGTTCCCACGGAAAGGGATATTCTGTAAATATTTAGAGGACATCGTGAGAACCAAGGGAAATGACTAGGAATTGGTGATCTTCTTAAATTTCTGGAGGTTATATGCCTCGGGGGACACCTTCCTTGGCAATGTGTTCCAGAGCCTCGCTGTTCGTTGGATGAACGAGTCTTTGGAAAGAGATGTTCTGCAGGTCTCCAAAGTGACCACGAAGGGGTGCGAAGCCTCAACTCGACGGGTTAATCTCGCGGGGACTGCCAAGGGAGGAACAATTGTTGATATTTCAGAAGAGCATCGTTCATGAAAATATCTATAAAATAGAGCCAGATCGCCAACTTTTCAACGGTGTTCCAGAGAAGTGAGGTTCATATGAGAATCAGCTTCTTTGAGATGCAGTTGATTATGACACAGAGGTGATCAATCAAAGTTCAGAAGATCGAGATCGTCCATGGACTAGAGAAAATATCAACCATTTATGTCCAAATTTACTCTTCTCAAGTTTTTGATATAGGTATATGAGATCCGTTCGATCTTCTTCAATTCTCAGAATGCATGTCTGAAACTTATTTGGGGCAAAAGGGCTGTTCGTATCAAACTTCAATACCGTTTTCATTTTGTTTTTGTTTGTTTCAACTGGTCTGAATCAAATGAAAGAAAGATCCAATATAAACTGAGAAGAGACAATCGTTTCAGCGATCTTTGGGATATTTTTCGCCTCGAAAAATATGCAAGGGGTTAACGGATCCAAAAATCAACTTCGTCATGGGGAATTCAAATTTAGTATACTTACAGAGTCCTTAAGGGATGCCCTATATAGTGCGGAGGTGAAGCACAGCCGTATAGCTCAAAAAGGATAGAAGTTGCTTTTTTTTGATGGTCGATTACAAAGAATAATAAGCCACTGAACTTTTGACTAAACTGATTCCATTCACGTATTTTGCTATTGACGAGACAATTTGCCATCATATCAGCGATCTTTCAGAAAATTTCCACAAATTTCAAATGCGATTATCTGGGAAACGACGAGAGAAATAATTGCGCAGATTCTTGTTCAGCACATCGAGAACACACTGTGTGCAAATTTTCAGCCCGTTCTGACATCTTGTTTCTTATTTTCTTGAGCCAAAAATAAACTTTGTCGTAGGACTTCCAAATTTTGTATACAGAGGGTCCCTAATAGGGACGCCCTAGTGCGGAGAAGAAGCTTCGCTAGGAAAAAAGTTGATATTTTTGACACCGCAGTTTCCCCGACTCTTTTTTCATCTGGCGAAACTGAGTTTGTTCACGTATTTTGCTATTGAGAAGAGAGTATTTTTAAAAATGCAATTATCTTTGGAAACAAAAAGAAGATAGAAATTAAATGATTGCAGATTCTTGTTCTGCACATCGAGAACACGCTGTGTGTAAATTTTCTGCACATTTTGCAAATTCTCTACATCAGAAGATTTTTTTTCAAATTCTCATCGTGTGTGTTCAATAGATATAATTTTCAATGTTCTTCGATCGTGTCATATAGCCAGGAAAGTAGTTGTTATCTGTTGAATAAACCGAGAAAGAATTGATATTTTCATCACAAAGAGAATGCAAATTCTCAATGTATTTCTCTATAAGTATATCCATTTTTTATGTTCAGAATTATTATATCTGAGAATATTTCTTTTCAATACAGTTTGCCACCTCGAACTGGATGAAAAATGATATATTCTTCACTATTTTCATTTAATCATAGGCATGGTGAATAAAACAGCATTTCCAATTTTTATATACTTCAATATATTTCTCTCCCTCAGGTTAGTCCTGGGCTAACAAAATGGACCGTAAGGACTCAGTGTAAAATAATATTATCCGCATATATACACAAGATAACGGCAAATTTCATTCTTTACAAATTGTAATTAAGTAATGTTGAATTCGATCCAACAATCAGTCAGGGTTTTCATATTATTTGATTCTCCATCTACGTACTTAATAGAATCTAAAAATAAAAATTACCATAAAAATTCCTTCACCCCGTACAATAGGACAAGCTCCAGAATCGATACAACGTTTGCGAGAAGAGTTCAGTACGGTCATATAAAAAACGAAAAAATGACAGGAAGGCACGATACACTGCCTCATTTCAAAGGGCAGAGAGGTTATGACACAAAAATAAAATATATAAAACTTTAAAAATATAAATAATACATCAACACAATGATATGCACAGCAGACTCATTTCCAGAGATGGGACGAATTCAATTTAGCAGCTCTGCATGGAAAATTATTCAGTGTATTAAAAACTAGTGGAAATATTAATACAAACTCATTTCGATGTAGGTACCCATCTCGACAATTTTTTCTTATATTCCAAAAATCTTCCGGTCCTGAATTGTTTGCACATTATTTTTAAATAATAACTTCTACCATAATATACATGATGCAGTGAACAACTCTGCTATGAAACGACGCATGAACAAACTGAGTGAAAACTACGCTACCAAAAATAGCAGTACAAGAAAAAATTAGTCTCCAACCTACTCTGTTTGTACCATAAGAACAAAATATACGAGTGAGAATACAACACCAGTAATTTTTAACCAATTAAATTGATGAATAGATAATGCGTATTCTCAATATATACATTTTTTTCATTCTCATAATATATCGGAGAATATATTTGACGTATCAATGACAAAATAATTAATGATATCATAATTTTCTACCACTTGTATAGTAACCCAAAGTTGATATAAAATGAAAGAATATGATGTTACATTCTGAACTGGTACTTTTATGCAACTACCAAATAGGTAGACATTAAGAATTTGTTAGATAGGAAATACGACTCACACTTAATTTGTTCATAAACCTATACGAAAATAAAATTAATAAATAAATTCTAAAATAATTATTCAATTTTCATATATCTGGTGTGAATATCACACGAGGTTAAATAATTTTTCAGAAATGTTTTAATCTCTAGTGGTAAGTGAAAATACCTCTAGTAGCAAATAACTAACGCTAAAAAAATAATGAGAATGTATTGTCGGTTTAGAATTTCAATGAATTTATTCATTTTCATCACATAGAGAATGCGAATTCTCAATGTATTTCTCTATATATATACATAACATTTTTTTAGGTTCATAATTATATCTGGGAATATTCCTTTCCAATATTTGAGATACTTTTCATGTACGAATTTTACGATTCATTTGAAAAAATGGCTCAGTTTGGTTCATGAAAACATGCAATGTCTTGAAACACCGCGTTAAAATCGAATGAAAAAATGATTTACCAGAGATATTTCGAGATTTATGATGACATCTACAATATGAGCCATTAGAGAAACTACAATACCTTCAAAATAAAATAGTTGAGTAAATCAAAATGAAAATTCGAGATAACTATTTGTTTGACTGAGGTTGTTTCCAACTCCTGATCATTTCTGCTCCATACTAAACAGAAGAAGAAAAAACCTTAAATAACACATCGTTAACAAGGATATAAATAATGTAGAAGAAAGCTTGATAACAATTTTTTTGCGAATCATAAATTTATCAAGTGTCAAATTGTGGTCCAGCTTCCTCCTACATCATTTGTATCCTTGTTAACGATGTGTTATTCAATGGTTTTTCTTCTTCTTCTCCTGGCCCATAGGCCTGATGATGGCTTGATGGATTTGAAGTGAGACTTTCGAGTTTTTCCCTTAATTATTTCATTATCTCCAACTTGAGTATTTGAGGATATTCATTTTTCCGTGCGTTATTTTAATGTTTTCATGCGCTTTTTCATAACAGAGCCGCTTGCATGTCACACCTACCAGAATATACAGATGCAGTGAAAATATACAGCTAAATCAAAAAGGTATTCGTGAATATCATAACGACTCTACATTTATTAGTGCCAACTTTTAGGTCGAACGCCTGCCCGATTCAGGGAAGACTTAATATCGTCAAAGAAACATTTTGTGTTGTTTGTTGTTGTTTTTTTATTGTTTAATCCGGTAACCATATCGAGTCCAGTGTCGTCGCCAGGCCTATCAGTAATTAATGCAGCAAACAGTGAGGGAAGAAAGAGCTTAACGACTAAGGGTTAGAGAGGGGTGCGGATTCGATTTTCTGCTTTTCGATCGGTAGTGTTGGCAGTGTTTCTAATTTTTACGCCATTTTTTCCTCGACTTGATTCATTGATGATCACGTTGAAATTGAATAGAATTTTCCACACTTTGTATGATGAACATCAATTCATCGTACAACTGCCAAAAGATAATCAAGTATGTTAGTAGTATAACTATGGGTGTTCTGGATCACTTTTCATTTGACTATTGAAAGCAGTGCTGCGCCATTTTTTCCTCGACTTGATTCATTCATGATCACATTGAAATTGAATAAAATGTTTCCACACCTTGTATGATGAACATCAATTCATCGTACAACTGTCAAAAGACATTCAAGTACGTTAGTAGTAAAACTATGGGTGTCCTGGATCACTTTTCATTCGACTATTGAAAGCAGTGCTGCGCCATTTTTTCCTCGACTTGATTCATTCATGATCACGTTGAAATTGAATAAAATGTTTCCACACCTTGTATGATGAACATCAATTCATCGTACAACTGTCAAAAGACATTCAAGTACGTTAGTAGTATAACTATGGGTGTTCTGAATCACTTTTCATTTGACTGTTGAAAGCAGTGCCGTGCTTTGCCGTGCCATCTTTTCCTCGACTTGATTCATTGATGATCACGTTGAACAAAAAACATCAAAGTACGTTAGTAGTACATCTATGGGTGTTCTGGATCATTTTTCATTTGACTGTTGAAAGCAGTGGAATATAAATTGAACAAACATATTTCCTTTGAAAAATATGTATAAACAGAGGTGTTGTTTTGCTGCTGTGTAAGAGTCAACTATATAACAACAGAACACGTTAATTAACATTATTTGGAAGTACACCGTTCGAGGTTATTTCGTTGTGTTTTACCATATCTTATGATAACAAATGATAAAAATGACAAACAAAGAAAAACCAAGGAAACATCTCCAAATAGTAAATTGACAAAACACGATGTTCAGCTGTTCATTATTCCATCGGTTTTACCGGTCCTGAATGAGTATTATTGGGAAAATTGAGGTAGTGTTCTAGAACCGGCATAGGTGTACTACTTCATCTAGTTTCATTATTTTGATGAATTGTTGTTATTCAATTGTTTTTCCACTATTCAACATAAGAAATAATAAAGAATAGCAAACAACAACAAAAAACAAAGAAACATCTCCAAACAACAAACGATGTTCGGTAATTCTGAGCACTTACCTTTCCTTGAAAAGTTGGCCTGTATGTCTTGATACTTCCTAATATTTGTAATCACCCCGCCCCTTTCAATATAATATTTTTTCACCTAATTTATCCACATTGAAGATCTCTTCGAAACAAAAAAGGCTACAGAAAACGTGTTAGGAACTTTTTCCAGGGATCATTGCTTGACTACAGAAACCATACACAATTTTGATTACTCGATGCACGGGTAATTTTGCGCACTCACTCTTCCTTGGGAAAGTGATCTGAACGTGGTGATCATTCCCTGATCTTATATTTTATAGGCATTCGAGATTTCTTAAAAAAAAGGGGCAACGGAAAACGAGCCAAGAACTTTTCCCAGGCATCATCCCAACTACAGAAACCGTGAAAAATTTTCAATTCCTCGTTGAACGGATAATTCTGCGCACTAACTTTTCCTCGGAAAATTGATCTGCACGTCGTGGTCCTTGCTAAGCCGATTATTATCTCGTCGATTTCACCGATTTTGTATAGGTATTATTAGGAAGACAAGGAGAAAAACGTACTAGAACCTGCATAGTTGTACTACTGCTTCTAGTTTCGTTATTTTGATCTCTATGACCGCGCCTTCAGATATGGACGATGTTAATCATTGAAACAAGGAAAATTACGGATGATTTTCTGAAAAAAACTCAAGAAACAATGGCGGAGCATTAAAACCCATAACACCGCGCACCACCCTCGCAAAGCGAAAAAACCGAACCTAACCCGACGCTTTCTAGCGCCGCGACCCCCAGGCCCCGCCCACCGGAGCGGGAGCCTCCCTGGGAGCATGTGCCTCGCTGCTATCGTGTCTCCCACCGCCCACGAACGACGGGAACTCGGTGACGCTGGACGTGTTGGGAGCCGCCCGTTGCTCCCACGGGCCGCCCTGCACCACGAAACCGTTGCCTCGGCCGCCCCCGCCTCGAGAGGGAGGGTTCTGCTGGGAGGGCTGGTCGAAATGGATGTTGAGGGTGTGCTGCCTTTCGCGGGTTTGTTGCTCGTCGAAGTCTTGAAGCTGGAACACGGATTGAAACGAAACGTAATGATCGTATGACATGACAAATAATGTGAATAACTTTTTTCATTTTAGAACAATTTGAATTTGGTTCACACTGTTCGATAGCCCAGTCCTCCAGCTATAATCTCGTACTTCATTGATCAATAAGGGTATTCAAATAAAATCTTTACATGGTGTTTTTCCGACATTGTGCAAAATTTCGGAATATTCAAAAGGCTCTCAAATGGTGAAAACATTTTTTTTCTCAACTTCGACAACAGAGGCATGAAGATGATCTCATTACCTCGATATATTTCGCGAATTAACTTCCTATCTCTCTTATTTACAGAGTGATCTCAAAAAATCAACTTTTTGGTTTTGCAGCCATAACTTTTTTCCACGTCAACCGATTTTAGAAATCTTAGGCTCATTTTGAAGATAATACTTCAGATGAAGAGATCTGAATATCATAATTGACTCAAGATGGCTATCAAAGATCTAGAGTTTTCTTGAAGGTGACCCAAATCTGGAACGCCCTCCGAATCTCGATTGGGAGGAGAATTGAATGAAAATCAACGTGTTCTCGGAAAAACAATACATTTTGGATGCGTTACAAGAATCACAATGTGTGATTGACAAACCCGACCAGCTAAGGCTCATTATAAATGGTGTACCAACAACCCTATGCGGTCTCGCATTGTCATCAACGAGAACAAAGTTGTCACCCACATTTGCGTTAGATGCGGCATCGAAACTATCGAAATCTGTTTATGATTCGAAAACGACGTCTAACCTAACTTGTCAGTCACTTACTGTGATTCTTGTAACATTGGTTACGGGCATTGCATTACAAAGGAGAAATGGTCTGATGTTTCTGCAAGAACATGTTTCAATTGTGTTTTCTCACGCACATTCTTGACTACTGAGAGCGAGGAAAATATGGACGCATCCAGAATGATTTGTTTTTCCGAGAACAAGTTGATTTTCATTCAATTCTCCTCCCAACTGAGATTCGAAGGGCGTTCCAGATTTGGGTCACTTTCAAGAAAACTCTAGATCTCTGATAGCCATCTTGAGTCAATTCTGATATTCAGATCTCTTCATCTGAAGTTTTATCTTCATAATGAGCCTAAGATTTCTAAAATCGGTTTACGTGGAAAAAAGTTATGGCTGCAAAACCAAAAAGTTGATTTTTTAAGATCACTCTGTAAATAAGAGAGATAGGAAGTTGATTCGCGAAACAACTCGAGGTAATGAGATCATCTTCATGCCTCTGTTGTCGAAGTTGAGAAAAAAATTGTTTTCACCATTTGAGAGCCTTTTGAATATTCCGAAATATTGCACAGTGTCGGAAAACACCATGTAAAGATTTTATGTGAATACCCTTATTGATCAATGAAGTACGAGATAATAGCTGAAGGACTGGGCTATCGAACAGTGTGAACCAAATTCAAATTGTTCTAAAATGAAAAAAGTTATTCACATTATATCAGGGGCGATATTTTGGTGTGCGACGAAATTAGTGTTGAGTAGTTTAGTTTGCATGAAATAACCAGAAAAGCATATCGTTTATTCCTTGATCAAAATAACTATCAGAAATAATGAGCATTATTTTTTCATATAATGAGTAATTTTTTAAAATCATAGAGACACGAGATGCATACCGAACAAGTAAAAAATATCATATTCTTATCCTCAGAGTAACTAATTAGAAAGAATTATTCATTTTAACCATCTGAGTCGATCCATCTTGCAGTGGAGTGAAGATAATAGGGCAGGGAAGAAATTCTTACAGTCAACTCCACCAAAACTATACTTTATTTAACTTGGAAATTGGGACATGTTTCGAAGCTTTAAAGCTTCATCATCAGCAAAATTGTTACACCTCACGTCAGGCAAAGTATTCGAATAAAGAAAGTAAAAGAATCCTCACCTGTTCTGGGGAAAATTCACATGTTGTAAACCGTAATTTTTTGTTTTCAAATCGGTGAACACAACAACAATTTTGATAGAAATGAATGAAACGCGGTGTCTAGCTATTGTTATTCAGTCTGAACTCTACTCACATATTCCTCTTCCAAATTGAGCAAATGGTCCTTGGCCTCGGTTACGTTTTCCTCCTGTCCCGAAATAACGACCAAGTTGGGATCGGGATCATCGCTTCTCGGAAACTTTATGTCGACGTTGTAGTCCTCCATTACCTGAATAACAGTTTCACAGTGTTTCTTCTCATTTTGACTATATCATAGTTAGCGGTGCGATAGTGCATTGAGTACAAGATGAGAAGAACAAAATCAAACGGGTCAACGAAGACACTTCAAAGATTAACCAATCGCTGATAAGAAAGAAGCAAGTTTCAGATAATCTCAAGGTATTTAATAATAATTATAATGAATCGACTTTATTCATAAAGATTTGATGAAAACAAATACAATTGTAATGATCATCGAGGGGCGAAATTTAGCTAGGCTACTCTTACATCTAACCCCATAATGATCTGCATAAAAGTTAGCATTTAACGAAAAATAAAGTAATAATTACATTACATGATCAATCACATGATTACAGTCCTTTATATCTTCAAATTATTTCCTTTAAATCAGAATAATGATCTATTCAGATCGGTAGGACCGCTAAAAGATTCTGCTTGAAACGATGCTTGAAAGCAGACTTAGTAACGTTCATCATAGTTTCAGGTAATAAATTCATCAATTTAACAGCATTGTAGGTGAATCCTTTCTGAAAGAGAGTTGTATGGTGATAGTTGTCTTTTTTCTTATATTCACGGAATGAACTTGAGACCGGGGAACCAGATTACGTTTTATGTCCTCCGGACCTGTTTGCTTTCTGTAGGTAGGTTGCCAAGTGTAACTTTCTACGACTTTCCATATTTAGACAATTGAGCTCTTTCAATCTTTGACTAACATGATCATATTTTCTGAGACCAAAAATGAATCGAACACAGTAGTTTTGTACTTTCTGTATTTTGTTTCTGAACGCTGCATCCAGAAGAGGTCCAAAAAGAAAGTCACCGTATGTAAACTGAGATAAAATTAGACTCTCAGACAATGGGCTTATATCATATAAAAAATTACCTCCACCTCCAACCGTTTCTTGATAAGAGCTCCCTATGTTTTATAAAAAAATTATTGAAATTCCCGATTTTTCGGACCTCTGAAAACGAGGCGATGATGTGAAGTCAAAACCCTAATACTGAAACAAGACTTTTCCAGACAGAGATGAATGATACATGATTTCTGACAGAGTGAATTAGCGCGAGATCACAGTTGAAAGAATTAATATATCAGTTGCCTCAGTCTCCGTCGGGCGTTTGGTATTTTCTTTTAACTATGGCGAGATGAGGTTTCTACGTCATAAGAGGGTCCGTTTTCAAAAAGTACTATTATTTATGCCCAAAAATAAAATATTCCAGTTAATTTTTCGATCGAATTATGTCGTCAATCATTATTTATGTATGAAAGGATTATTATAAACATGGTTTGAGTTAGAAGTTCTACTAAGGTGTACATGCCCATTGTTGTATGTATCTGTTGGAACTATAAAACTGTTGGAATATAAAACTTTCAACGATGTAAAACTCCTTTTAAGTAGATTATTTATATGGTATTTGGAACTAAGATCATCGTCCAATACCAAACCCAAATTTCTCACAGAGTGTTCAACGTTTATCTGAGTTCCATTGATGCCAACTATAAGATTAGATTTAATATATTCGCACTGATTGCGAGGTGAAAAGATTAGTAACTTTGATTTTGTAGAGTTCAATTTCAGATTATGTGATGAACTTTTAGAGGAAATAACGTTGAGATCGTAATTTGCCGTGGAGAATCCAAAAAATATAGGTTTCAAATTGTTATTTTTTTACCTTGCGTATGTTGCGTCCTCGGGCACCAATCAGGCGCGAATGGATGCGCGCGTCGATCGAAATCTCCTCTTTGACTAGCTCGTTCAGCTCGTCGACGATCTTCATAATGTCCTCTTTGGCGCTGTGAGTGTTATCCTCGTATCCGGTTATCGTGATTATGTGCTCGTCCGGATCACCTGAACACGAGAATAGGCGTTATTCAACAACTGTCACCACATTTATATGCAACTGAGTGGATTTCTTCGAGAAAAAAAAGTTTCAACAGAAACAGAGTAGGGGCTTTTTTCTAGGCATCATCACGACTACAGAGACCGTACACAATTTTCAATTAACCGATTTCCGGGTAATTCTGCGCACTCACTTTCCCTCGGGATATTGATCTGCACATCGTGATCTTTCCTAATCTCTGTGGCGACTCTCTCAATCCAATATTTGTTCATCGCATTCAAACACATTCGAGATTTCTTTGAAGAGAAGAAAAGGTCTAACAGAAACAAGTTAGGAACTTGCTAGGCATCATCTCAACTACAAAAACCGTACAAAATTTTCAATTAATCAATTTCCCGGTAATTCTGCGCACTCACTTACCCTCGGGATATTGATCTGCACATCGTGATCTTTCCTAATCTCCGTGGCGACTCTCTCAATCCAATATTTGTTCATCGCATTCAAACACATTCGAGATTTCTTTGAAAATGGAAAATATCTAACAAAAACTAGTTAGGAACTTGCTAGGCATCATCTCAACTACAAAAACCGTACACAATTTTCAATGAATCAATTTCCGGGTAATTGTGCGCACTCACTTTCCCTCGGGATATTGATCTGCATATCGTGATCTTTCCTGATCTCCGTGATCACCGCGACTCTCTCAATCCAATATTTGTTCATCGCATTCAAACACATTCGAGATTTCTTTGAAAATGAAAAAGATCTAACAGAAACTAGTTAGGAACTTTCTAGACATCATCTCGACTACAGAAACCGTACACTATTTTGGATTACTCGATGCCCGGGTAATCTTGCGCATTCACCTTTTCTCGGAAATTGGTCTGCACGTCGTGATCTTTCATGATCTTAGTCATAACCGCACCCCCATCTAATCTAATATTTGTTTATCACATTCATGCACAATTTATTAAATTTCTTTGAAAAAAAAGTCCAACATGAAACGAGTTTGGTATACTCTTTCCGACATCATCTCGACCACAGAAACCGTACAAAATTTTCGATAACTCGACGCACGGGTAATCCTACGCACTCACCCGTTTACTCGGGTAATTCCGCGCACTCACCTTTTCTCGGGAAATTGATCTGCACATCGTGATCCTTCCTGATTTTCGTGATCACCGCGCCCCTTTTGCCGATGATTTTCGGATGATACTCGGGGTTCACCTCCATGGTGAGGGCGAAGGATCTCAACTCGCGCTCCCTTCGATCCGCCTCCAGTTCTTGCACCCTTTCCAGCACGGCCTCGCGAGCCCTTTCGGCGTTCTCTGCCGTTCCGGTGATTTTGATGACGTCCTCGCAAATGGTGGGAGGTGACAGGACGATGTGCACGTCATACCTACCGAAAACATATCAGGATTCACAAAAGGAAACCGAAAAGGGTACTTGGTAGTACCTGTCCATGAGATCTTTGACACCGCGTCCCTGCTGACCTATAATCGACCTGTGAAGATCGAAGGGCACATCGACGCTGATGGAAATCGGAATGAGGTCGAGCAATGCCTGCTTGGCGCGCTGACAGTTGACGTCCTTGCCGGTGATCCTGATGACGTCACACTGCCGGATCGACTCGCCGTCCGCGTCGCCGTTCACTTGTTCGCCACCTTCGAAGTACTCTTCTTGATTGTCGCGCTCGGGGAACTTGATTTGCACGTCGTATTCCGACGTGATGGCTTGGACCTTGTGACCTTCAGAAGGAAAATACTCATTTCATGATTCATTACACTAACAAGATGAACCATCCTTATGAGAGCAATAAAGACAGAAATTCTACTCAGGAGGTGGCGGTATCTATGAGCGACAAGGTGGAATACTTTTTGTTTCATGAGATTCCATACACTTCGAATATATTGCATTACCGATCTCTACCCTTCGCTCATAGATACCGCCACCTACTGAATAGAATTGCTGGCTTCATTGCTCTCACAAGGATGGTTCATCTTGTAAGTGTAAATAATGAAGGTTTCGGGCCAGTCCTCACCTTTGGCACCCATCACCGTGCGATGGTGCTTCTGCGGTATCACGCACTCGATCGTCACCATCGATTCCAAATCCTCCACGATCTCCCCTATCCGAGCCTTGGCAGCCTCTATGCACTCTCTGGCGCCCTTTAGCACCACCCTGTCGCTGTCCACCCCCGAGCGGGGAAAGGAGATCATCACGCCGCCGCAGTCGTCAGCGATGCGATGGAGCACCTCGCCGCGCCTCGCTACGAAGTACTTGTGGTGGCGCGGGGGCACTTGCATCTCGCCCTCCGTAATATTATCCTGAATGAGATTTTAGATTTCATGAGATTAAATGAGATTCAATGAGATCTTATGAAGTTTTTATAAAATTTTATAAAATTTCATCACAACAATTTTCAAGATTTTTGAGTATCATTACTTCACAAGATTTCATGTGACTCAGCATCATTCTATCGCTGTCCACCCCCGAACGAGGGAAGGAGATCATTACGCCGCGCAGAGGTACTTGCATCTCGCCCTCCGTTATGTTATCCTAAATTCATGAGATTTTATAAGTTTTCATGAGATTCTTCAAGATTTCATAGAATATTATTAGATTTTATGAGATTCTATAAGATTTCATGGAATTTTTCAAGATTTGATGAGATTTCATAGGATTTTACGAGATTGCATCTGATATTCAAGGTTTTCAAGTATTCATAAGATTCTATGGAACCAATAGGACTACATAGTCTATAAGACTCCACAAGATTTTATGAGACTACAAGATTCCATGAGTCTACAAGATTCCATGAGTCTACAAGATTTTATAAGACTACAGTATTTTATTATACTTTAGAAGATTCTCTGAAACTACAAGATTCGATGAGCCTTCACAAGATTTCATGAGATTTTCCGTTTTTTATGAAGGTTTTCATGAATTTTCAAAAATTTCTAATGTTCATGCAGTTCTTTGATCTTATCCTTGGTGCCAACGATGTTTTGTTAACGGCGCTGCTTGATTAAAACGTCTTTCTCTTCTTCCTGTTAGGTGATTGAGTGAACAGGGTTGATTCAACTTTTTAATCATTGTTTTACGGATTTAATTGGTTTTCGTTTGATTGATTGTAGCACTCCAGAAAAATGTGTATTTTCATATAGAGATGAATAAAAAAAATATATAACAAATTAAACTGAACGAAAAAAGTTAGGGATATGGTTCTTCATGCTATGAAGACAAAATGTGGTGATAACTATTGATGCCTATGTCGACTGCGTTTAATAATATCCTAATTTATTTCGATCAGATCATTGAACTATAAGGATAATTATTTTTCGACATACGATATCTTTGATCATCGCTTGCAGCGCATCTTTCGCCTCTTCCACAGCCTCTTTCTTTCCGATGATGGTGATGACTTCACGATCGTCATCATTGTTCGATGGAAAAACAATCCTGGCTCCGGTAGAGTCCCGGATCTTTTTAATGTTGGCACCGTTTTTGCCGATAAGGAACTTGTGGTGTTGAGCTTTGGCGCGAACCTTGAAAAAATGAAGAAATAATCACTTTGTTCAACAAGTTTTTACTTCATTATCGTAGTATGTATGTAGTATGACGACATAATCATCAATACTAACCTCGGCACTGAAACTAGCCAGCTGCCTCTCGTTGGCCAAATCCAGCAGCTGATTCTTCGCCCTATCCACATCCTCCTTGGGTCCCCGTATGGTCACCTTGTCACTCTTGCTATCGGCGCTGGGAAACTTGATCGCCACCCCGCCGCAGTCCTCCATTATAGAATGGATGAGCTTGCCTTTGGCCCCGATCAATGTATTGTAGAACTTTGGGTCGATGGTTATCTCATCGGTGACGATAGTTTCGAGCTCGTCTTGGATCTTGCGGATCATCTCTCTCGCTTCTTCCACGTTCTCCTTTTTTCCGGTGATCGATATGACGTCGTTTTTGTCGCCCTCGGCGGGCAAGTCGATTTTCGTGTTGGTTTCTTCACGAATTTTTCGTATGTTAGCACCACCTAAATAAATAATGCTATTTGTGTGAATGGAAGAGGCTCCAGAACAGTACCTTGAGGTACTCCGTAAGATATACTACGGTTTATATAGATTGGAAATGTTAGAGACCCCTGGACAGTGACTTGGGGTATTTCATGAGTCCGACTCATTATCGGTTTTCAGAGTTTTTCTGACATGGAAGCGATATTTCGAGAAAGTTGTCGGACATAGGTCAAGTTTGTTATATTTAGAAACATCCAAACTGTTTCCAGTTTTTTCGCTTCTTCCAAGTTCTTCTTTTTCCGGGGATCTATGACGTTGACGGATATAGGTCAAGATGTAACCTTTGGAAATATCCAAACCGGTTCCAGTTCGAGATAGCCCAATAATGATTGCGCCAATGACTTCTTTAGGAAGACTTTTTGGCAATGACCGACATGACGACGTTTTTGTCACCTGAAGGAGTAATAATATTTAACCCGATAGGAAACAGAAGAAGTACCAGGGCAGTACCTTGGGTTACTTCGCGCGATTTTTTCGGATATTAATGTCACCCGCAGAAAGAATGCCATGTATGTAGATGGGAACTAGAAGAAGGCACCGGGACAGTACCTGTGGGGTGCTCCGTACTGTCCCGTATGTTCGACTCCTTTTTGTGTTTATTTCAGCGCGAGTTTTGCGTATATTAACGCAACCAGAAGAAAGAATGCTATTCATGTAGATACAACCACGAAGAGCCACCAGAAGCGTGCCTTGGGGTAGATTCCCCATATGTTAGACTGTTTTCGTATTGATTTCCGCGTTGATTTTACGGCTGTTGGCGCTACCTGAAAGATAAATACTATACATGTAGATGGGAGATACCTCAGGACAGTACCCTCCTCGTGAAATTTGCAGATGTTAGCTACCTTTATCGCCATATCAAGGCAAATGGCAGAAAAGATTGAAATCGAATAAGTATTTGAATTTTTACTGGATACCTAAATCACCGAAAATTTTCAAGATTTCGGAGAACAAACTTTGAAAATATATCAGACGAAGAGTCACTGATATGTTGTGCGTTTACCTTTGCCGATGATGAATTTATGGAACTGTTTGAAAATCGGCACATCGACTTGATGAGAAGACTCATTGAGCTCCCTAACCAGCTTCTCCAAATGCCTGGCACACTTGTCGACATCTTCTTTGGGCCCCCGCACTTTCACGATGTCGTTCCGGTCGCTAGGACCGGGGAAATAGATTTGCACCTGGTTGAACTTGTCACGCACCTAGAATTGGAAAATTTTCACTCTTGAATTTGAAACTTCAAGAAAGCTAATGATATACACTGAAATCTACGAGATTTTAAGAGAATTCATGAGATTTGATGAGATTTTATGACGTATTCAAGATTCTCAACATTTGATGAGATTCAATAATATCAATGGGATTTAATAAGACGTAACAAGATTTAATGAGACTGCAAGATTTCATGAGATTTCGTAAGATGTTCCGACATTCTGATAAAAATGTTTTTCAAGGGTTGTAATTTTGTAATATCTTCAATGAATCGGTCTTCTTTGAAGAAAATGTAACAAGTTTATGAGAAAACTTCTCCATTGAATAGAAAACTTTTCACTCTAGCTTGTATATTCTATTGCACCACTTCTTGTACAAGGTATTGACCAAAGCAGTACATGTTTAGATCAATAGTGCAACAAAATCATAACCAACACACGAACTTGATTCAATCAACTGAAATCTACTGAATTTTAAGAGATCTCACCAGAATCTTTTACGAGATCTGATAAGATTTTACGAGATCCAATGAGAATTAAAAAGATTTTATAAGATTTTATAATACTTCATGGAATGAGTTGTGATATTCAAGATTTTATAAGTATCTATAGGAACAATGGAAGTTTATATGACTACAAGATTTCCTAAGACTCTCTACGAGACTTTATGAGATTCGAAGAGTTTTCACAAGACCTCATGAGATTTTCCAAGAAATTATGAGATTTCACGCACTTCTTTGATCTTATCGCCCTTGGTACCGATAATGTTTCGGTAGTGGCGCTGCTCAATGATCACGTCCTTCTCCTTTTCGTTTTCCAGTTTGAATACTCGCTGATCCAGCTCGTTTTTCGTGCTGAGTACGTCGTCTTTGTTGCCCTCGATCCTGACAAGCCCGCTTTCATCGATGTTGATCAGTACGTTAAAGTCTTCCTTGATTTTGTTGACTGAAAAAAATTAATTTCAAAATTTACACTGACTCAAACAATTCTTCTCACTGTTAGCTCCGCTCTTTCCAATGATGTGTTTGAACAGCTTCGGATCCACGTGCATTTCGACGAACGTCATCCTGCCAATCAGATCCCTGGCCATGGTTTCGATTTGCTCTTGGGCTTTTTCCACCTCCTCAGGAGGCCCTTCGATCTTGATCTTATCCTCTTTGTCAGTAAACTCGACGTGCACCTTGATAAAAATAAACCATTCATCTCCGAAAACAATGTAACAGAGTGGTCGACATCTCGACGGGGACGTTATGAGTTCTTCTTCTCGAGGGTTTTATGGATGTCAAATGAGTATGCAAATACGAACCTTGGGCAGGTGTTGCGTGACTTCCTTGATGTTTGCGCCCTTGCGTCCTATGATGTACTTGTGCAACCACGAGGGAGCGTCCACGTCACTCGAGCGCACTGAGTTAGCTTTTTCGTAGACCTTGCTGAGGGCTAGACCGAGTTTGTCGTGCGGGCCACGAAGAGTGATGGTTCCTTTTTACAAAATTAATTTTCAGAAATTTTCGAAATGTTGATAAATCAACAACGATACAAAAATCAGGATTTCTTCACAACCAAAAAAACGGATGGTCCGATACGACTCATAACTAACCTGTTGGCGAATCAGTTTGAGGCATCTCGACGCTGACGCCTGTCTCCTGCAGGATTTCCTGGATGGTCGATCCTTTTGGCCCTATCACATACTTGTGCTGACTTTTTGGCACCTCGACCGACACGGTGGTCGACTTTTTCTCGATCTGCCTGTGGAAAGGGTCAAAAGTATTTCAGTTATGATTTGTAGTTGGAATTCCACAAACGATCATATGGAATGTGTCATAAAATTCCATGTCATAAGTTTCTATAAGATCAAAGCTATTTTATTTACTATATGAGATTTTATGAGAATTTATAAGTTCCTATGATACCTTACAGGATTCCACGAGGTTTCATACGATTTCATGACGTGGGATTCTATAAGACAAAGATTTCACGAGACTGGATTTTATGAGATTGTATGAGACTTCACAAGATTCTATAGTATTTTATATGATTTGATGAAATAGAACTTCATAGGACTGTATAATTTTTAAAGATTCTATAAGTCTTTACAGGATTCTATAAGTTATGAGATTTAACTAGATTCTATGAGACCTCAAGTTTTTATGAAAATTTAGAAGATTTCATGAGATGAGAAGATTTTATGAGAATTCACAAGATTTTATACCTGTAAATCTCCTCGATCTTAGCCTTAGCAGCCATCACCCCCTCTTTTTCCCCCGCGATAAAAATCTCGTCCTTCATGACAGAGGGCGGAGGCACATTGATCCTGGCCCCCGTCTCCGAGATCAAACTATTCAAATTACTATTGAAGGGCCCCGTGATAAAGGGATGGTACTGCTTGGGGATGTTGAGGCGTTCGGAAGCCTTTTTAGACTGTTGGTCGGAGGTGATTCGGATTTCGTGTTCGGCTTTTTCTATGCCCTCTTTGGTACCCGAAATGGTCAGCACGTCAGAGTTGTCGTTCATAGCAGGCACGGAGATTTTCGTGGCGGTGTTTTTTTCGAGTTCGCGCAGTCTGTCTCCCTTCTTGCCGAGGATCCATCGGTGGTGTTCTTTCGGTATGGATATTTGTTTGCTTGCCTGCGAATTCGAGTTTTGGAAATTTTGGAATGTCAAAAAATGTTTACAACTTTCGATTTCCAATGCGTTGTAGACAAGTTTTCATCAAACATTCTTGTTCAGAGTAACTCAAATTATACGAATTAGACAAGAAATATATGATGATTGATACATTGAAAGAAAATCGGAACGCCTGTATACGATGCCAGGTTTTATGAACATCACTTTCGAAATTCTGACATTCCCGAAGTTGGAAGTGGTTACCACAATATTGAATATGTTAATCTGTAGTGAGCAACATGCTATTTGAACCTGATTCCTATGTTTCAATGCGTTTGTCCAATATATTCTTCGTTACGTTCACTTCCTTGTATTCATTTCTGCGACACACATTGATAGAAAACCAAAATCACAACTTCAAGAGCGCACTAATTTTTTTTCTGATAGTATTATAAAGAAAATGTCGGTAAATTGAAGAGAAACAGAAAAAAGAAGTCAGAAGCTTGAACAACAAGAAGGAAATATCTTCTTTCTATCCCCTCTCTGATGCCGGATAGAGTCAACACATCAAAAAATCATGACTTCAGGAGCGTGCAAAAAATTTTTTCGGAATGGATACAAAAATAATCACGGAAAATCAATGAGGGTCGAAAACAGTCAGAATTTCGAATATATCGGACCTACATCAATAGAAAATCAAACTCAGGGCTTCAAAGACGTACCCATTATTTCTGAAAGGGTGTACTTTGAAAAAAATGTGTAACAAGTATATGAGAAAACTTCTCCATTGAACGAAAAACTATTCACTCTAGCTATACCCATTGCACTATTACTTTTACAAGGTACTACTGACAGATACGGTACTTGTCCAGGTCAATAGTGCAAACCAAATCACCATCATCAAAAAAAATTCGTAGACGGAAATTGGACTTACTTGAGTTTGGAAGTGAGTCAAAATCTTCCTTCTTGCTTCTAGTACTTCGTTCTGTTTTCCGGTTACGAGGAAAGTGAGAGACTGATCTTTTCCTTGAGATATCTCAATGTGAGCTCCTGTTTCTCTCATGATGTTGCCACAAATGTGGTTTGATTCCCCTTCCCCGAATTTTTGCCCGTCCAATTTACGTTCTTCATATGGAACTCTGTATGCAACCATAACAGAAAACGAATAATTATATTCTTTATGATATGATTGTGAGGAATTTTCTGAGAAGCTTATGATGTCAACGTTGGTCAAGTGTTTATTTTACCGTATCAGTATGCATGAATCTGTAGCATTAAAAAAATGAGTTATGATATCAGTACTGAATTATTAATAAAAACAAGTTGTTAGGAATTGGGGATATTTCACATGACAAAGGGAAAAGGGTGGGGTATTTTATGTTTCTGTTGGCAGCAATTGCTGTCATATTCGGTATCACTTGTTGAATATATTGCCGTTTTTGCCGTTTTGTCAAATTTCGTCAATTATAGAATTTGAAAATTGAGGGTTCCAAGTTACTTTTGTTCTTATATTGAATGGCTAACATCAGTTTTTGATCTAATAGAGAAGGAATGATTTTTTTTTAAATGGCACCGATTTTGTTTTCATTTGACATTTATTTTGACACCATATTATAGCAAACTGAGTTCAATGAACTAATAAATGAAGTACAATAATGCTATTTGGGTTCAACAAGTACATAAAGGTTTGAAACTGAATATGACCTGGAAAATGGGTGAAATTTTTGATAAACATCACTATTGAATATGCAGATGATCTTCAATTGAGCTGAAAAACAAAAGCTAGGAAGTAAAAAACCGTTCTACATCTAAGAAAAATAAACACAAATAAACAACAAACTCTTTATTAAATAAACAATAAATGTATAGTACTGGTACTTCTTCCTGGTTTGACTTCTATGTAGAAACACAACTAGCTCAAGCAGCACATCCCTATGCAGTCAAGACTGACAGAAAACATCTAATAAATGATATTTCCTTAGAAGAAACTAGATGTCATAATATGACACCTTTTAAGAAGGGTACACACCAATATATTACCTTTTTTCTAGCAGTGAAGATTCATTGATCAGATAAATTGCTTGAATTTCAGTGCAAAATAATGTGTAAGGCCTTGGTATCAAATGAAATGTTGGCTAAGTGAACATAAAATAATTGTATTAGGGATAACAGAGGCATGCTTTTGATTTTTGTAATGCAATTATTGCATAATAAAGATAACTGAATATTTAATGAACCATTCTCAGGAATTTCAATTATTTATGATAAACAATTTCCTTCCATTTCCTTTGATAAATGTTTATTTTCAGCTACAACACACAACAAGAAAAGATTCAAATTATCCCAGTCATTGCATTCTTGTGGCAACTTACCTGAAAACTTGAGTGATGGTTGATGAACCCACCCTCATCTTGCTGTTGGTCCACTGCCCCATGGTGTTGTTGCTTTGCATAGGGGGTGCAGATTCTGGTAGGGCAGGAAATAGGTCGTCATAGCTTCTTGGAGATGGCTCATAGGCCACACCTTCTTCATTCACTGGTTGCTGCATTTTGGGAAAGTCCTGATTCGTGCCAAGTCGTTACAGCAACACTGATTTTGAAAATTTTTCTTCACTTATTTGCATAGGAATCAGTTTAAAAATGTGGTACATATAATTGATACATAAATGAGACAGAGCTGATACATTATAGAAACATAACTGCAACATAATTGATACACAGATGAATTTGTGCCTTTGATGAGACAATGATTTCAGAAAAAAATATTCCAAGTGTAAGTAAATAGGTTCCTATATCTTCAATATTCAGTGAGAGATTAATGAGTTATCAGAATGATAAATCAAAATTTCAAATTAATAGACTTTGACCCACAACCAAGTTTATCCTTATTTCTATGAATAGTATTTTGAAGAAGTCACATAAAATGAGCACAAGATTATCAGAATTTCACATCAAACAGAGACACATGAGACATGTGTGCTATTCTCTTTATCCACTAATTGGTTTTATGGTATTATTAATTTCAATAATAACGGGATATAAATGCCAAATAGTCTATAAGATAACTAGGTACATGTGCATGGTTCAATGAACATATGGAATGTTTAAGTAACAAAATTGAAAATTTTGGACATATATGCCTGATTAAATCAATATTATCCTATAGGAGCATTCAGAATAGAAGTGGAGCAGACCTCTTGAAGCAAAAATAAATACTTTTCACATCGAAAATGCTATGAGATAGTCGACGTGTCACTCGTCTCAGCATAGAGATCAGATAATGAACCATAAAAATTATAGAATTTTTACTCACTGTACTGTAAAAACAGAAAATCCGTCCTAATGAATCCTGGATCCTCGATGAATCTCCAGTTTAACTCGGTGTTGCTGTAACATCAAAAATAAATCGTAAATCTGGAAGACACCACACGCACGTTTTAACATACCTACAGCCAAGTAGAAAATGAAGAATTTCTCATAAGTTGAAAAGTTCTCAGTTTTTTTTAATAGCCTACAACGAGAAACGTCAAAAGCGTGAGATGAAAGATCACATGATAGCAAGAGTTGGACAAGGATGGAGGTTTGTTTGCTTGTCTGTCAACGTTAAAGTCAACATCACCGGCTATGCGGACGTGTTTGAGTTGTCGTTTGCGTTGCGTCTTGCGTCACAGAATCGCGAAGGATCCACTGAACCAATGACGGCTAAATATCTAGACTGTTTAGCCGTCATTGACTTGACTGAACGTTTATTTATGTACGCTGACTGAACTAAGAAATGGATTGTCCTAGACACAAAAAATATCTAGATTGTCTGATCTCAACTGATTCATATAGAAAAGGATCATACATGATCTAAGGGTGCACCTATCTAGTTTATCAATCTTGAAAATCTTTCAGGTTAGTAATGCTGTCGCCTGTCATTGTCAGTACTGTCAGTGTCAATCTCCATCAGCTGTGTTTGTTGTTATTGATGAAAATGGATATGTGACATGGTATATTGTTATTGTTTAATGGAATAATATGCTAATGAACAAATGAACCTGAATAGTAAGAAAGTTATTACACATCCAGAGATGTAAAATGTCTTGTCAAGTTCGTTTAACAGCCTACATTCAAGAGATTGATGCAATAAGAAGGTGTTTATTTCCAACAGACGATCACAGAGGTTCATAACTATTTCTCCTTCACATTTCCCAATGTTCAGCAAGTTTCTTTGTAGGTTCCGATAATTGGTTGCATCATTGTAAAATCGCAGTATCTCCTATAGCCGACCTCTTAGTCCTAGCCAATGAAAGGAAAGTTGTTGTCCTTACTTCCAAATGGAATGCTCATTCCTCCCTGAACCAATTTGAAATCACTCATTCAGGACCAATTCATGATTATGACAAAGTCAAAGCTGTGCTTTGCCTACCAATTATCGGATGCAACGGTAACACACAGCTTGGATCTGAATGGACATGCATCTTGGTGGGATTTGACTCTGGCCATGTCAGGTGCTACACTGAGAACTGTGAGCTGCTATTTGAAGAACGATTTCATGCTGAAAATATCACCACCATCAAGTGCCAGTCTCAGCACAGTCCCAAGCCTCACATTTCACCTGACTTGAGCCCAGAGGAGATTTATGTGCAGTACCAAAGCAATATTTGTGTTCTTAGTGGCTATCAGTTATGTAATGTGCTAAGAACTTGCAAGTTACAACTTGAAAATGGTGGGGTAATTGACCATTTACAAAGCTCTATAACACCTAAGAAGTGGGGCTTCCAAGACCAGTCAATTATCAATGACAGTGCTGTTGTTGGGCTGAATTTATCTAGCACTTTTGATCATTTGCTTACTGCCTCTATTTGTGGGGGTTTTGATAGCAAATATAGGGCAATGCCTCCTCACAATACTCTGGTTTTAGCTGCAGGGTCTAAACCCTTTCTGGGGTACCATTATGCCCTTGAAGGGGGGGCACAGCCTGTATTGAGTGATGTGGCTAAGGCTGTAGCTAGTAAACTCAAATCAGCATTACCGTAAGTCAAGTCTTCAGTGAAATATTTAATAAAGAGGCTTTGAAATTTTTAAGTTTTGGTTTTGAGAATTGTCCATATTTCAGTTTATGAGGGGTAGATATTTTGTGCTATATGTTATACCAGCTGACCCTGCAAACGTTGTTTTGCTGTATACAGTATTTCTAGAAAATATTTTTTCAGTTGTATATCAACAGACTATTATTATTTTATTTGTTACTACTTTTGAGTGTGGCTATCTATAGTTTCTTCAGTTTTCAAACTACCATTTATTTTCTACTGCTTTTAAGTCCACTTGAATTTCCCAATTTTGATGAATGAATCATAATCTTCAACTCCTAAAACCCCACATGAATTTTGGATAGAATTGGATCATAATTACAAAACTCGTCCGCCCCATCGGATCCGCCATCTTGATTTTCCTAATTTTGATGAAGGAAATCATAATCTCCGATCACGAAAAATTCTAGGTATCAATTTTGAATAGAATCGGATTATAAATACATATAACTCGTCCGCCATATTGATCCCGCCGTCTGGAATTTCCAACTTCCCCGCGAATTTCAAAATTGTGACGATATAATCTTAATCTCCGACCCGAAAACCCCCAGATTCCAATTTTGAATAGGATCCAATCATATTTACAAAACTCGTCTGCAATATTGAATCCGCCATCTTGTATTTCCTAATTTTGACCGATATTTTGACAATGGAATCATAATACCCGATCCCGAAAATCTCTAGATACCAATTTTGAATAGAATCGGATCATAATTACAAAACTCGTTCGCCATATTGGATACGTCATATTGAATTTCCCAATTTTCACGAAGGAACCAATATCTCCTATCATGGGAACCCCCAGATACCAATCATTCTGAATAGAATCGGATCATAATCACAAAATTCGCCATATTGGATCCGCCATCTCGAATTTACATAGATAAAAGTAACCTATAGCAGTCTCCTGGTTCTACTTCCCCACCAATTTTCAGCCTAATCGGTTCAGGAAAAACACTACAAGTGTAGCTCTTCAATTTGTACGGCCAACTTCGAGCAGATTGCTAACAATCCATATGAGTAACAATTTTTATCTTGTACCTACATATATTTCATTTGGAAATAGTTTGAAACAGGGATTGGTGAAATTATGAAGAAATATATCATTTTGTTGAGTTGCAATAAGATGTGATCAATATTACTCAATGATCTTTGCTGACCACCATTTTGAAAGCAGAACCAAAGGTCAATAGGTAGAGATGAATAATAGAGAGGCATATCATCTAACTGATCTAACTTACCGAATGCTTACTACTCTTGGTCGAACAGTAGATGCAAGAAATGCTTAAAATAATTCCGTTATCCCTTCAAAGGGCATTAATTTTCCTCCTACTGATGAGGGTTTTCCCGAGTCCAGGGCGCATCATATTATTCCTGTTGGTCCGAAACAACCATTCCGGAAATATTTAAGATATAATTTTAACACCTACTAACTACTCCTGAAACATCATTACTAATCAATTTCCTTGATAGCATGATAACCTAAAACTCAGTAATCCTTAAGAGAGCTCAATCACTTAAGAGGGTGACAATTCATGTTAAAATTTTTTAGGGGATGGCTCACTGGGAACAAATCCCAGTCAGATAAACAAATGTCGATAGCTATGCTGCCAGCTGAAGCCATGGGGTGCAGATTTGGTCTATGCGATCTGCGGCGTACAGCAACTGAAGTTTTACTGTCTCCTGATCGAAAATTAGCAGCTGTTAGTGATGCTTTAGGGAGAGTTTTACTTGTAGATTCTGCTAAAGGAATAGTATTGAGGATATTCAAAGGGTACAGGGATGCTCAGTGCTCTTTTCTACAAGTCCCAGAGGAGAAAACATCGAAACATAGGTTAGGAAATAAGGTGGCTTTGTTTTTGGTGATTTACACACCTAAAAAGGGTACTTTGGAATTTTTTTCGGTGCAGAAAGGTTCCAGAATAGCTACTTTTTCGGCTTCCAAGCACAGCAGACTGCTTTACATCAATTATGGACTCATGGGCTTTGCGAACTCGTCGAGAAGCAAGTTCATTTGTCCGTACACTACTGTCTTGATAGACAATGATGGCCAGATAAAAGATTTCACTATACCCTTCCACTTTGCTTTGGCAGAGAAAAATAGCAAGAGATCAAGAGATATACATCTGTACAAAAAGTTGCGTCATCTTATCAAATCTGGGGAATGTGAAGAAGACAAACTGCTTAGTGAAACTGTCAACACTTGTACTGAATTAAAAACAATTGAAATCAAGTCACAAACCGTTGACATGTTGCTGACCAATAAACATGCTCCACCAAGGGTTACTCTGCAAGCTGTTCAATACTTTGCTGATAATCTTATAGATGAAGAAGCTGACCAGTTGAAAGTTATGTGTGGAAATGCGAGTATTTTGCTGAGCCTTTACTTGTTCGTTACTATTTCGGAAATAAATGACATTGAAAATGGGAATGCCGACCAACTTATGTCCACCTTTACGAAACTGGAGGAGAAAGAAATGGGGAATTTACAGAAGCTGTTGGATTTGAGCATTTCCAATGATTATGATAAGCTTCCCGAAGTCCATGTGTCTTTTTCCGACAACGCTTTATTTTCCGTAACCGAGTTTCTTTCCATTTTCGAAATGTCTAAAGCTGATAGTATATGCATCAAAGATAATATAGATGAATGTGTTCTATTCAAATCATCAGAAATACTTTTCAAACGCTTTATCGCTGGATCTCCTCATGGTTTTGAAGAAGACTTTCAAGCTAGGCTCACGAGTTCTAAAATTTCAACTAAAAACTTGTTTGATTTACTAGTTAATTATTGGGTGAGCCGGTCACTTCATATCAACCTTAACCTAGAAAAAGAAATGTTCAACTTATCAAGGCTCATCCACACATTAGCCAAAACTTCTAGCGTAGATAAATTATCCACCGAGTATAGCGAGATTTCGAAATTCTGGAAGGAAATACGAGACATTTTGGCAGACTCAGCTCGGCCATTTCCTGCGCTCATCGCCGCCATTTTGTGCAAGAGCGTGGCCCAAACCATCGATTCCGAGTCACAAATGGACGAGTCTTCTACTAGCTTAGAGGACGATAGTTTGGAAATCTTGTCCCAGGAGAATGTGCAGTGGTCCTTGTTGATTGGTAAGGATTTGATGAATAGCTCGTTTACCGTTTTTTTATGAATCCGTTTTCTAGGGAAACTAGAGGATATATCTTTACTCAACATTGTTCTTTCTAAGAAACCGGTCGTTGAAGATTGCCCTCTACCGTTACTTGAACACGAAAAATTCAGTATCAGCTTGAAATACGTTTTACAAAAGGGTAAAGGTTCTGTTACAGAATTGGTGGCTAAATGGCTCACGTCTACGGGAATAAATCCCCAGAGCATTATCCTAAACGACAAAATTTCTGGGGTGGATGAAGACACGCTAGACTCGGAAAAAATGTCACCAGGGGTACTTGGCAACGAGAAAGTGTTTGAACAATTGAATTTGTTGAAGCAGCAGTTTCCCTACAGTTTAGAAACTAGTACTCTGCTAGCCAATATGGTTTGGGAGTATGCTTTGGCTTGGCAAAAGGATATACAGGATCTGGGGAAATTGGAAGCTGCTATCAGTTGTCTTTGTTATGTTCAGGATCTGCACATTAAGCAAGGTTGGTAGAGTATCAGAAAGTATAAAACTTCATTCGAGAGTAGGTATGCATAAAATTCATTATAGAAGTTCAAAAGAGAGTACTATAATATACCTACACGGTGTTTGAAAGGTTGATGAAAAGTCTTATTGTGTAGGCGGCTGAAGAACTCGTTTGAAATCCGTATTGTATTTTTTTACAATTTCGCGAAGATTATTATAATGTACTTAGGGAATACAGTGAATTGTTATACTATCATTCAATTTCTAGTCTAGTAATCATAGGACTAATTTGTTCTTCAGATATGAAAATCACCAACTGACTATACCATCAAGGATGGGGCATTTTGTATCGTCAGGTTGGCTATAAAACATAAAATCACAACCACTTCTACAAAATCATTTAAGTCCTGTTGGATAAAAAACTGATAGATAATTGGAAATTAGGGTTCCTTGATGCAAACAGACGTATTTGTCATCAACAGGATACGGACAGATCATAGCTCATTTCTCTTTTAATCATGTAGTGACTTTGGTTTCGTGTATCGGCGTCCCTGACATGACATTGCTGTCACGTCACATTCATCGGAAGGATGGTAAGTAGAAACAGGCATATGCCCTACATTCAGGAAATATTTAGTGTTCGTGAAAAACAGTGAAAATGATTCCCAAAACATGAAAATATACAGCACACATGACATATGAGCACATTAGTTGAAATACCTACATAACATTTTTCACCATTTCACAACCATAAGGCTTAGTCTGAAGTCAAAATTCATTTATTGATAGGTACTGCCTAAGAACAGTCTCATTTGGTAAAACGTATTAAACTTTCAAAAGAATTGGCTCACTGTCTCATAAAGATTGTGCTGGAGTTGAAAAATCAAAAACATGAAAATTATCATCATCATTTGGATATAATATGTAAAGTTGAATAAGAGCAGTACATGTGGAAATTACGTATGATACGCCAATGTCCTCAATATAACCTAAAAAGCAACAAATGTCAGAAATCTAGTGTTTATCCCCAAAAATGAATGAAGATGGAACTGTTTCACAAACACTTTAGAGTGAGAGGAGACGAGGATCTGTCCGTTCCCTGTTGAGATGACGAATACGTCAATTTACATCAAGGGGCCCTATTGGGAATCAGAGCAAAAACAATTAGGTAGGTATATGTTCAAGTGACACTCACTCTGACATTAATTGCTACCAACACAGTACAAAATGCCTCACCCTCTTCAAGTGACCCATGGTCAATAGAACATACTTTTCCCAGGTTTGTACCAACTTCTGTGGAACACCCATCTGAAAATCGTCATAGAAAGTGCTTGCAAACTCATAAACAAAGTGGGAAAACTCCCCAAAGAACGTCTGTGCCGACAAGACACGAGTCTATCCGATTACCAAATATCTCTCTTCATCAGAATCTCCACCGAATTCCTCGACAATTTCATGGATGTGGTGCAGCAAACCTGTTCCGCCACCAGACCTAACCTCACTTTCGAAAACATTTGGGAGAACGCAGGAGGGCAAGCGTTGGTAGAACTGGCTGTCCTGCAAAAAGAAGCCAGCTACGAACTGTTGCTTCTTCATTACCAACTTTGCTTGGTTCTGCAGATGATCACCATATTTTCCGTGAAGCATTCCAAGCCAATCAACAACCTCTTTGAAGGTCACGTGGTCAATTTGTTCTTCACAGACTTGCAAAGGAAGCCACAGGTGGCATGCAACAGGTCCGATCTCAAATTGAGCTCGTCTAGAATCGAGTTTTTGTTCAAAATCATCACTGCCAGTATGGAAAGTATCACTTTGAGCGACTCAGGGGCTATTCATTCAGCTGAACATGTGACCTGGATGGGGAAATGTTGTTTGTTGGCTAGGTTTTGGAATTTGGAGGTGGACATTTTGAGGAGGTTCCAGATAATAAGGCTGTTTGCCAATGGGTATGACAGCTTAGGGGAGGAGTTGATACCTGCGGTGAACGAAGTAGGGGAGCTGGGCAAGTTTTTGTTGAACATTGCTGCCAAAAGGCTGGCCCAATTTTTGGCGTTATCGCCTGCTTTGAGCGAGAATATCTCGGCGCTGAGTACCTCATTGACGAAATTCATGGACAATCTGGTGAGTGCCACAATTATTTTTGTCACAAATCCGAACATTTTTTTCTGTGTTAATGTAGGAAACATTCCATTGAGATTACCCAATAACCCCAATTAGAATCATTTTAAAATTTTGGGGCTTTCTCAGTCTCCATTATTACTGAATTTTGGCACCATGAAAGCTCATACAGGGGGGTTATAAATAAAAACAATTAATACTTCCAAATTCAACATCCTGTATCTCAAAAACGGAGCAAGTTGAGGCACATGTTTATGTGAACTTTATTTGCTAGAATATCACAAGAAAACGCTCCTTGAACTTTTTCGGTGTTATTTAGATAGGTGCACTGTTGATGGCTTAAATAAGCCAAGAACTGAAAGTCTTTATCATCTTACATTCCACTTCGCAGTTACGAACATTATACTAAACAATAACCACTATTTATACATATTCGATTACTTCAAAAAGTTTCCATAACAACAATGACGATACCTAAATACAAAAAGATGCCTGTGAACACAGGTGTACTACCAGTACTACTTCAAATTTCACATCGATAGTTTTCAGATTTTATTATAATGTAATAAATTCTCAATATTGAATGTCGTTTTCCCTGTCACAGAAAAAAAAAGTGTATTATACACGGGAAATATCAAATTTTAGCTCTCGGTTTTTTGTACCCCTCCGCTACGCGTCGAGAGACAACATAACCTCGAAATCTAATACTTTTTTCCCCCGTACAATTAATAACTATTGTTTTTTTGTAGGATGATGAATGGTGTGAAACGTGTCCTCTGCAACGCATTACACGTTTAGCTACTCATTCTTTGCGGTGTCTCGACGAAAATTCTGGCGAGTATAAGATCGCCCAGTTACTTTTAGAAGCATGTAACACCTTAGAAGAAATCCGGGCGTGAGAAATTGTTAACAGTTTTAAACTACTATTGAATAATAAGTCTGTGACTAGAAGATGGGGAAAATGAAAATCCTGTCAAAAGCCAAGTCAAAACAAAGATATCTTTAGATTGAATGATTATCTTAGACGTCTTAGAGATTCAGAAGATTCTAAAATTTAATGTCATTATATCTACTTCATTGATAATGTTTGGCCTCTATAATTTCATTTCTTGGTCATGGCTACGATATTGAAGGTTGTTTTAGTGATTTGTTGAAGTTTTATATTTACACAAGTTGGTCCTATATATTGTGATTCATTATACAATAGAAAATAAAAAAATATGAATTGATTGTTTACTTTCATGATACCTACCTCACTATCGAGTTATTTAAACAAAACAAAAAGGAAAATATCATCATACAATAATAGTAGTAGGTAATAGTTCCCTATTTGGTATAATCTCGGGTATAATAGAAAACACAAAAATAACTTTGTAAAAATCATATATATTATAATTTTGCTCTAAAGTAGTTGATAGGTAGATACACTTAAACATGAATAACATAAAATCGAGATAGTATCAACATGAATTTCAGGGACAGATCATCGATTGCATAAGTGAATTATTCCTTAAAATTCCACTAATAACCAGTTCAGGCTTCACAAACTGTACTGTATAAAAAATATAAACAAGGACATAGTTATTTCATTTTATATACATCGAAAGATTATTTTAAAAAACCATTTTAGTTTAGTTTCACCTTTCTTAGTTCTCAAATTTTGCAGGTCATTCTGTTGAGCAGAACCATTTTTGAAATGAATAGGCTTCTCATAAGAGTATAGGTATTCTTACTGATGATACACGTATAGCCAGAAAATTATCCCCAAAATGAGAAGTAGAGGTTAATTAACACTTTTATCTAACAATAAGATTGTCATAACTAGGGTCAAAGTGATGTATATACCCAGAACATATTTGTCATGGAATAGGAATGTTATACCTATATATTATGATAATGAAGATTTAATAATAATTATTATTTCCAAGATCTGTATTTATGAACTTCATGTTTTACAGAGCAACTAAAATCACAAAACACAACAATAAAAAGGAGTATTATACCATGATCAAGTAAGCTTGGAATAGGTAATAATAATATGGTCGTTTAATAAAACAGACCATGTTGGGGATCAAATTTCCCAGAATAATCACAGTTCCTTACTGATTTAAGTAGATGAAAATAATTTCCTTTAAATCTCTCACATAACACTATAAAATAATTATTCAACGAATCATCAGATATATAAAATGTATTTGTAATAAATATATTCCTTATGCTAAATATTACAGCCCTGAATAGTTATTGGAGTTTGAACCAGCTTGCCTTCTAGATGCAAAAGAGTTTCTCTTGTGAAGGTCATCACGCTGGTCCCTGAAAAATGAAAATTTGAAATATCGTAAAATCCTAGCGATGTCTTTTCTTACTTGAAAAATGATAAATGTTGCTCTAACAGAAATCTACTATTGCAATGTGCCAATTCCGGCCAATGATTAATCACTCTTCGCAAATATATTTGCAATCTTTTCCTCCGTTCTTCCACCAAACTAGAATCCTAAAAAAAACATTTTTATAGCAGCAACAAAATATAATTAACCATCATTTTTGTTTTCGACAATTCATTGGCAAGAATATGATCTAGTTGGAAAGAACTTGATAATAGTTAAGGGTACCTTTTTTCCTATACTTTTCTTGGGAGGAAAATCGAAAGTCCCCACCACAGGGTCCAATTTTTTCAGATCGCTATGTAGAGCATGAAACTGGGCGTACCTCCTATAAATGTTCCACTCATCATGCCCTGCTCTCAGAAATATCTGATACACATGATGAGAGTTGGAACCGCTTCCTGAAAACCCAAAATTCAGTCCAAATCGATCGCCCTGTATTTTATTTTAATTCTCCGTGAGTGAAATTTCGACCCAATTGTATATTTCGGAATGTTAGCATGCATTTTAGTTCTCAAGAAGAACTGATCGTTAGATCATTATAGAGGGATGAAACAGAAGTTCTTCAACCCTTATTGTTAACGCCCTGTGGCAAAAAATTTGAAGTTCAAAAAAACCTATGCTTCTCATGTCAAAAATGTAATTATAGTTATTTAATTTCATAGTGTAAAACATCAATCATTTGCAAACGGTATTCGCGAATCCAAAAGTCTAGACGCCACCTGGCGGTGAAATTTAGAACCTTCCTTGTGAGTAATCTGTAATAGATGCATCACACGATTTAATTAGTCACTTTTCGATAGTCCTCAATACTTCAAAATAATCCATATCATTGAAGCTTAAAAACGAATGGGCCACAAAGATTCATGGTTCATGACAAGAAACATTACTCACAATCCTTCATTGAAATCGAGAATAGTGTAATTATTTATCTACTTCTATTCTATGAAGTTTTCAAAAACATATGAACGGAGCCGGTTTTCCATTTAGGTAACGAAAAAATAGAATAGAAACATTCAAAAACTGCATTGAATGGCATTGAAGTACCTTCTCATTGACTTATGAGAAAAACTATTACATTTGACAGTTATCTGACAGCTACTCCCCACTTTTTATTTTCAAATGCCGCCCCTTTTGTATATTGTCATTGGAAATTATGTGTCATTCAATTTGAAATACAATAACGATAGCGTATACCTACTTGGTATTTTTGAATTGATAACAACAAAAATATCAATATTTTGTGACTTGTTTCAATAAGTTACTTAATCATCCTTATGAAACTGAAAAATTGCCTGCGCTCATGTTTTTTACTTCAAAAAAAGCCGATGCTTCTTATGTCAAAATAGTTTTGAACTCTTGCTGTGATTTTTAGTTCAGTTGAAAGTCATACTTCATTAATTGTTGCTGGTTTTGTTATAAATTATGATAAAATAAGTATATGCTTACGTTGTATTCCTTTTTCGCCATAGAAAATAACGTACGCCACCTATCGGAGTCCTTGAAAGCTGTCAAAGCGGCCTGTTTACTTTGATTTTATTGGTTCACATTTGTTTTTTGTTTGTGCTTATTGGTCATATAATCAAAACAAACCGCTCAGAAGTGTTCAAGTCAGGTGGGGTGACTCAATTTTCAATGACAATATACAGATGGGGTGCCATTTGGAAATAAAAAATGGGGGATAGCTGCCACAGAACTGTCAAATGTAATAGATTTTTTATATTCCACTGGGAAGGTACTTCAATGCCATTCGATGCAGTTTTTGAAATTTTCAATTATCTTGTCAAATAAGCAATATATTGCCTATAGGTATATGATAACTTGAGACACCCGCGGTATAATGTTGATGTTTTTGTTGTCATTAATAATTAAACGAAATACCAAATATGTGCTATCGTTGTATTCCAAATAGTATTAATGACATGCAATTTTCGAAAACTATAGAAGGTTAGCCTTTTGCAACTAAAGTGAGGGGTAGCTATACCACAGGGCTATCAGATGTGAATATTTTTTTTCTTGATTATTAGCTTGTCAAATAAGCGAGATATTGCTTTTATACCTGAAATACCTACCTGTCAAAAATGCGGAGGGTATCCAAACATTGACGCTACCGCTGCTCCCTTCTGAGCCCGATTCGTCTGAAGACATGGGCCCCCTTAGGGACTCCAGTTCTGCTTTCAACCTCTCCAGGACTGTCTCTTTAGTCAGAAGAGTCTGCTGGAGCATCACGTTGAAGTCCATCAGTTCAGCGTGCATTTCAGCGACCTAAAAGGTTGAAGATTTCTCCTTCTCCGCATATTCAAATATTCAAATTTCAATAGAATATAAAGCTTGTTTAAAAATTCAGTAGCGAGATTTCAGGGGCTCTTTTAGGTTAAAATAATACATGTTTTGCTATGAACGTGGGTCCGTAACCGATCGACAGAGAGTTTCAAGATTTTTTCTTTATAGTTACTCTCAAGTTTCGAGATATTCAGATCTGAAAAGGTTAAGTATTAGGGTGTGCATCATACAGTAGGCCGAGTGATTGTAAGAATCTACAGGGAGATATTTTTATTAGGGGACAAGCATTTTTTCGCTAGCTAAACTTTTTTGTTGAACATTTTGATTGAATCTAAGGAAAAAAATGATGATTTAATTTTTCGATCACGCTCACAGATGTATGACAATTACAAGAAACAAAGAACCTATGAACAAAACAATAAATTACGTGTTATATTTTCTATAGCGATTTCCATAGAATTTTCAATTCAATTTATAGAAGCTTCCGTTTCATTCTGACAAGTCATGTATGTAAGTACATTGGAAAGTGAATTGCATTAGTGGTGTATCTATATATTTACCTGGACTAACTTCTTCTCGAACATTTTAGCTTCCACCCTGTAATTCGGCATCGCTGGGATATTCAAATCCTCCAAGATGCCGTTGATGCCTTCATCGTCGCTTTCTAGCATCTGAATGGCACTGACATATTTCTTCACTTGTTCCTTTAGGGCCTCGTTTTCCTTGGCCAGCAAACTGATTCTTTCGTCTTTCCTAAAATATACACAATCATAACATTGAATTCTCCTTCATTAAGTGGAGGAAACATATATGGCACTCATTTGAACAAAAAAAATCACGAATCACGAAAATATAAAAAAAGATAAATTTTCCCTTATACTTATGCTCGTAAATGAATCCGATATATTCAAAAATATCAGAGTTACCGTTTCTTGAAGAGGGAAGTGAAAACAGAAGAAAAATCATATCAAAATAACATAGGTAATCTGGAAAGCATTAAAAATAAAGCTTTCCATTTGAAATAACGAAGTTACTGTTCACTTCCGGTAGGTATAACTGGATTTTCCGCCATCTTGGAAATATTTTCATTAAAACAGGATTCATATGGATAACCCCCCTGTATACCAATGTTCAGATCAGTGTTATGTTTAGTACTCCAAATACGTCGAATGTGCGGTTTAGATGGAACAGCCTGAATCAATATCAATTATTCAAAATCAATATCGAGTACTCAAATACTATTATCAAGCACATTCGTAGCAGCCAAGGTCATCAACTGCCGTTGCAATGACATGAAAATGGATAAATGAAATTAATAGAATTGGCGAATTTCAAGGTCACACAGCGATGACGTTTAGCAAGGAGGAAAACATTTCGAACTCGCTCAGATTGGAAGTCAGGCATGTTTTCCACATTGCTAAATGTCATCGTTACGTCATCTGTTGACCTTGAAATCCGCCAGACAGTGGATGTGTGATGTATACAGAATATTATACCTTGAATCCGTGATCTTCCAGAAAGTGTGCATTTATTTTTATCGTGAATAGTGCTTGGAGATATGACTGCAGTTGAGCTTCGCATGAAAGAAGTATTGTATATTCACGATAGAAAATAAGACGTCGCTCCACCTGACGGCAACAATTCGAACACTTCTTGGAGTCATTATTATGTTATTGCAGTTATGTGAACTGAATCATACATTGGCAGAATTAAGTGCCTACGTCAAAACTAAATCAACACTGTATTCGAAATGTGCGTGAAACGAATTCTGCAAACTGTCAATTCCTATATATTGAATGTTTCATGGTCACTCACGGTAGAGATTTAAAAACAGTGGCTCCTAAATTTTTTTTTGTGTATTTCTAGAGAGGCGGTTGTAACGATACGAGAACCAAGGTGAGTCTTTCGAATTTGGGGGTATTTCACAAGCAGTATTCGCGGTAGTCAAGGTCATAATCTGACGTTGCGATGAGATGAAAACTACGGGAAAACATTCCAAACTCCTGACTCAGATTGTAAGTTGGACAGGAGAACGCATAATATATACCTAATTTTTGAATTTGACAAAGCGATGGGATGTCACAATATTACTCAATAGTTCTGTCATCTATGACTGAATACACAACAGCAATAATTGACGTCAACTGTTGAAAATCGAGTAAGCAATGGATGATTAACTTGATAGTTGTAGATGAAGAAATATTACCTATGCAACTCTTCCCTGTTTCTGCTCTCAACAGCAGTGAGTACAGCGCTAATGTCCGTGGGAACTTCCAAAATGTCCTCAGACGTACTAGGGGAATCGTAGTTTTTGTTCATCTCCACGGAAATAGGGGTGAGCTCTCCGATTTCCGACTGGACAGGAGTCAAAGTGTCCGGCAAGGTGGTCGAGAATTTCTCTCTGGCACCGCTGTTTTCTATCGACAGCCTTCTCACCAGTTTAGTGACTTTTTCCTCGTCGGTTTCCATTCTTCTAGTTTTCGAGTGGTCTTCGTTGATCTGGTTCATACCGGGTTTGACGATTCCTATATCATTTTTATATGATCAATGAGAGCTAATATTATTTGTTGTCCACCAGATCGCGCTACTGAAACTTGAGGTCAGAGTTGGTAGAACTGATATGAATATAATTCTTCTTTAGTTACTTTCTTTTTGTTGTTTTATGCACCTGAGCAACCCCAGTGTATGTTGCACTTGCGCTACTGCTGAATAGGACGCATTTTAGTGAACTTTACAATGAAAAACGCCACTACGCATGTGCTCTTATTGTTTTACATTTTGAAAATATTGAAATATTGCCAATCTATGTTGATAATGTCTGATTTTGAAGACCAGCACGTAATAATTGTGAGTTGAACTATTTTTTACATGAAGATAGAAAATTACCAATGCTAGCTTGTCATTTGACATTGACAGAAGGATGGGGGAAGGTAGATGGTGTAGCATTTTTCATGCTTTGGAGTAGTTCCGGTGCTACGCGCTACCCACAGAGTCAAATAGAAATTGCCTTTTTTGTGCTGTTTGACCTCTTCCTACGATATCTGCTGCTTCTCCGTCATTATTATTGGTCGTAAAGTTCCACGTTGCGAGTAAACAACTCAATTTTAATCAAGTCTTTCCAAAACTTGAGTTTTTCTATTTGTACAAATGGGCCACATAATTTTTACGAATATTTTCGATTAGACAGGCAACAACCTCTTAGTCTATCGGGCAAAATTTTGCAATAGTGCTGCACTTTTTATCTGGTCAGATCTCTATAATATAGAGATGCATTTACCCGCTGTATTGTTTTCTTCATTCACTTCTACACATATTAGGTCTGTTCGCTGTTCCTCCAATAACTACAATATTGTACACAAGAGTAGATTGTGTAGCACTGATAACGTTCGGTGTTATACAGGGTGTTTCATAATTGAATGTCAATATTTGGGGACGCAATTCTTGGGCCCATTCTAAGAAGAAAGTTTCATATGAACGTATGACCTAAACATCCTAACTTTTGAGATACAGGGTGGTAAAGTTCTCAAAAATTAATAGTTTTTTATTAATATCTGTAATACCACTTCAGATATTCTGATGAAATTTGGCATACATGTACTATGTATCAAGAGGCATCAGTTAGCGTACCACATTTTTTGTTGTTGCCACCAGTGGCGTTCGTATGGAATTTCACATACCTATTTTGGCAGACATTGATGGTACGCCACTGATTAATCTCCAAATTGAAATCATTCCTGAAATTCCCGATCATTTCTAAGCAAATTTGATCACTACAATTTTTTCAATCTGATGCACGGTTTTCGCTTAAAAATAAAAAGCTTTTCACTACATGATTATAGTAATATTGTTAATATGATAATATCACAATGCAGAGAAATAGTTTTTATTTTTAAGATCAAATTTCAGAAATACAATTCATAGTTCATGAACTTTGTATTCGTATTTGGTATTTTCGAATTATAACTTCTCATTGTAGTAGGCTATATTAATTTTCGAGAATTTTACCACCCTGTATCTCCAAAGTTGGGACGTTTAGGTCATACGTTCATATGAAACTTTCTTCTTAGAATGAGCCCAAGAATCGCCTCCTCGAATATTGACATTCAATTATGAAACACCCTGTATAGTGTACAGTCAGATGCAATGAAAAAATAACAAAAAATGACGCCTCGCAAGGATTTGAACGAGAGTCACCGCCGTGGAAGTCATTTACACATACAAAGTTCTGACTATGAAGATAGAATAAATATCGCGTGTTGACTTGTTTATCACATCGAGCAGCACAGCAGCATGCTACTAATTCAATTACTTGCGGGAGACATTAATATTTGGAGGTCTATTGTCGTTAAGGTCGTCACTCTTTTTTCAATCTAGTCACTCTAGACCTCACGTTCTAGTAGCGCTAACTGGTGAGACTGAAAATGAACCCCTCATTCAAGGACTTAAGAACTTTATTATTAGTATCATTACTAATTTCATAATATTATATACTTACCGGGTCTGGATATGTTTCTTGTCGTGGTATTGTCGCCTAAGGACATGCTGTCGGAGGCAGTACTGCTGGAACTCGATGGAATGCTGGTCGATAGGGTGCTGTCATCTTCATCGAAAGAGATGAATTGGCGAGCCACTTTGTGTTTCCGCTTTTCTTTTGGCTTTTCCTTGCTTTCTAAAACAATATAACGCCTTTTCCTTAATCAGATACTTTCTCAACAAGATAAATTTGCATTATTCCATCCCTATATGTCCTGATTCGCTCATGAGTAACTTTCAGAGACCCATTTGTTTAACGACATCTCATAAATAGAGATAGTAGAGTTAATTCCATAAACTAGGTAATTGATAAAATTTCTCAAGACTCTATGAGAATGCTAGTTTCTTTCAAACAAGATTATGATTATTATCACATGCAATTTTTCATTGTAATTTTGGCTGTAAACAGAATGAAATGTCAATTCAATTCATTTTGTTTCATTTCTACTTTTGTCTCAATATTTTATATAGAATCATAGTAGATTATAGATCGAGGAAGTAAAGTGCATAATTTTTCTCGAGCTGCTTTTGTAGATCGAGGGCGCTACATTGATGTACGGAGGGGGAAAAAATAACTAAGTTCCGAAGGAGTCTGATTAAAAGAATCTTGTATATAAAATGAAATTTATTGTAAAATATGACATTTCTGATTTGGGGAAATGAAAATCTGGACACAAAAGTGAAATTACCATGAGGACCGATAAAAATAAGAGTAGCCATATTGCTTTTTGTCGACATCGAAATCATTACTGCGGACGCTCTTGTATATAGATTCTTGCCTTTTCTTAAACATATATGAAATAATTTTGGCGAATTACAAAAAAAAATGTATCTCGATAACTGTCGCAGGTGGGTAAACATTTTAAGAGAACACCTGCTCGCTATATCTGCTAATTTATAAGATCCTGTAAGTCCTGTGTATCCAGTACTCCTGCCCTGCAATCATTTTTCCGAATTGTTTATTTTATAATTTCAAGTGAGTGAAATTATAGTACGCTCAAAATTGATCAGATCTCATACTCCCCTCGTAACTATTTATTCAAGGTCGCATGACGCATATCCTCTAGTTTATCAATCTTGATGATGAGTTCATCGATTTTGACAGCTTAAGTTATTACGAGAAAACGAACCTTTTTGACAGACAATCTGTCACTCACTCTAACATAAAAAATGGCGGCAAATTCAATTTCCTGAGAATTTCTTAATATCAGCAGAACTATAGTGTGATTATTGTGTCTTTGGTGTCTTCAGTTCCAGACATTTTTTAGGGAAGGGACTGAATTCTAAAATGACAATCCAATATCCAATGGCAGAATTAGGGATATTCCTTAGTTGATGAAGAAGAAAAGGCGGGAAAAAGTTGACAAAACACAACAATGACATCATAATATTGGAAGTAGAAAACTTGAAGTTGTCCAAGTCCCAGAAAAAGAATAAACTGAGTTTAACTGAGTAAAACATCGAGTTGGAACTCGTAAGAAAGTGATAGTTAGGAAAGAAAATACCATAGTAATGATATTTTCTTGAGCAGATGTTGAAGCATGTGTAACCAATATGTTCAGCCCAGTGATAGGAAAAGAAATACATTCAATAGATTCAATCAGTCAGGTCAGGTCAGGTAAGTGCAAGGTATATTGAAAACTGGACAAATATATCTCTTGGATTCAATTGTTTACCTGATATAGGAGCTTCAATAATTGGTTCAACTTTATTCTTGTGAGTGTCAGGTCTATATGCAACTCCACTATTCAATTCTGGCTTATCAATGTTGATAGCAAACAGTATTGAATTCAGACCTGCTGCCATATTAGGCAGCATGCTATTTTTCTCATCATCACACAGGATAGAAAAACTCTCATAATAATCTTTCAGAATATCTGCATTGCTTAATAGTGTGTGTAGGTATCTAAAAAGGAAAATAGCTCAAGTGACACTGCTGAGAACCATCAGAGGGAGTCCAGGACCCACCTTTCTAGAGAACGTTCATTCAAAGCAGACCTGATCCAAGCCCTACCACGCCCAGTGTCAGTCCAAATCTGCTTCAAAACTGCATACCTTTCTTGCTCGTGCTTTGTCAAATGCTTGTTGATGAATGGCCAAAATGCTACAACAAATAACCACTAGTGTTGCCTCTAAACTGATGTCAAGTCTCACTCACAAGGTTGTTCATGTCCTATACTCAAAGTATTCACCACAATATCAGAGACTTGCTTTAGGGTAGAGCTATTTGGGTCTCCAGCACTAGAAGGCTTTGTTCTTAGACCATATGATAGTACAGCTTCCAATGTAATGCATAATCCAGCTACACAGCTATCAAATTCTGTTGCTAGTTCTGTTTTGCCTCCATATTGCTTCTGACACTTCTGAACACACTCTAGCAGTTGTTTGAGGAGTTTGTCACCATCATTGACTGCAGATTCTTTCTGAGCAGAGGGTGTACCTATTGCAGACATCAGCCTTAAGGACTGAAAACAAGAATTATTACACAGGTAAGACAGCTAATACAGGATTGATCATAGTTTCATACCATAATAATCTTGAAGAGCTATTGATAACCATGCATTTTATTCAGGCCATGTCAAATGCAGCTAGGAAAATTGTTTCATTATTTCAGTCCATATTAGACAGTGAATTCACTATCAGAGGATTGTTATCAAGTGCAATTTGATACCTTCAGCACATGATTTATGGTGTGGAGATATGATCTACTAGATTCCTTGTTTAGTTTCAGTAGTTACACTTTTTCACCTAGAATATACTAACATTAACTGAAGCATTCAAAACATTTCAATGTAGACATCATAACAATGGCACAAAATACTCAAATGTGACTTATATGTGGTGTTGAAAATGAACATATCTGTTGGTCTGATGCAGATGCTGAATCCTGAATTGTCATGATGTGTCAGCAGTCAATTAACTAAGGCTATTATCAATATATTCTATAGATAATTATGATATATGAGGCATACTAGTCATGTTTATGGGATTAATTAATTTATTTATTTTATTCCTGCTATGAAACATATATTTAAATATATATAGATATATTTTTACTGTGAATTTCTGGTGAATTGTAATGGCGCCTAGTGACATCTATGATTGAATACCACAATCAATTCAATTGTGAATGTATGCAACTAGCAATGCCAAAGCTAGTATTGAAAGTTGCTCACATAATTATTAGAAGAGGATTTTGTAGTAGGTGTGTAGGTAGGTACTAGAATATAGCCTTCCAATCCGTACAACATTTTCGTCTATGGTGGTTTTGAATATAAAAACAAAAAAGTCAGAGAGCTATCATTATGATATCTTGGTAGAAATAATAGAGAATAAAAAAAGTATTAGTAATATTTCTTACTTTTTTACCAATGTATATTGATTTTTCGTGGTAGATACTGGTTTATTTTGTTTTTTGATGTGTAATTTATTTTTATTAGAGTTTCAATAGGATATACTCTCATTGAATTATTCAACTATGTAGTGTACAAAGCTAGGATGGAATAAAATCTGTATCTCCGTAACAGAAATATATTTTGAAAAATCCTTGGACAGGTCGAGTTTTATTTTTGAAAATATTTTTTTTGCGGAATATTTTTCAACCACCTGTCAACCTCTTGCCCTACAAATCGACTCGTCAACATTTTAAAATTTGTCAAGAGGTCAAGTTTACATGTTATATATACAGGGTGTAATTAAATTGATGGCTGAAAATATGGGATATGATTCCTTACCTCATTTCGAGAAGAAAAGTTTGAATGAACATATTCCCTAAACCTCTCAGCTTTCGAACTATAGGGTGTTGACATTTTATTTCATCTTTATTCGTCAAAGAAACTTTCACATTGTGAAAAACTGTCACGTTTATGAATACTTTTGTCAAAATAATATCGCAACTTAATCGATCAAATGTTATTATTTCACACATAGACATTAGCTTACTAGTTCGAAATAATATCGTTATGTCACAAATGCATGAAAATTGTTTTTATTTTTGTACCCGCAAACGGTTCGTTGGACGAAAAAAAATAAGGAGGTCAAATTGTTGCAAAAAAATGAGGATCTCAAAAATGATTTTTATTCTCGGAAAAATCAAGGGCGTACAATATTTTTCAAAAAATCTCGAGGATACATCCATCAGGTACTCCACTGGTAGAGATATCAAAAAATCTTCTGCATTGGAAAATGCCTATTGGTGCTTAGCAGGTGCTTGTCAAATTTCATCAAAATATTTAGAACGGTATTGAAGTTATGATAAGAAAACGATTTATTTCTCAAAATTTTAACACCGTATAGGTCGAAAGTTTAGGGCACATGTTCATATGAACTTTTTTCCTCTCAAAATTTGCTAAGGAACCATATCTTTTATTTTCAGCCATCAATTGACCACAACGATCTATATTTTTTTTTTTATCAATTCGAAGCAGTCAAAATTTATTGATATTTTTGTCCAAATTATTGATAATTGTAGGTCTAGGTATTCTTTGTATATATAGGCGTAGACGGACATTCAGTATAAAAATACTCATTTTGTATGTAGGTGAATCTACTTCACAAGTAGAAAGATGAAACTGTACCAATAAATTGGGCAGAAATTCGACTGCTCCCTTGTAGATATTGCTCACTGATTTAGATAAAAAGAGATCGTTGATTCAACAAGATGTAACTTGATCCCTTGTACAATTTGAAACTTTTGAAAGGATTGATTTGCAAGGGCAGAAGGCTGACAGGTGGTTAAAAATTTGTATGCATAAAAATACATTTTCAAAAATAAAAATCGAACTGTCCAAATATTATGAATATGGAAAAACGGATTTTGTTCCATCATAGGTGTCGTCATTGTATATCTGATACATAGTTATTAGTCTATTAGTCGTGCGATTCGTACCAAATTTGTACCAGTATGAATAACTATCAGTAAAATCAGTTTTTCAGAGACGAACATCCTGTTGGGTCGTGCAGTGTTTTTTTGATAAAATAAAAAGGGGTCTTTTTTAATGAAATCGTATTAGGCATTTCATTTGCAAGAAAACTTACTTCATATTATTGCTTCTCATGCATTCCAACCTTCATATGCTGAAAATGACCTCATTTTCAATTACCAAGATTGGCTTAATTTTTTTTTCTATTTTCAGCCTCGAAAATATGGTGAACTGAAATGAACTACTGATTTTGGAACGTTCAATGGCTCCGGTAGCTAAAAAATCATGATTTGAAAGATAAAACAGCATATAATATCTCAAAATGCTACTTAGATCTGTCTGTTTTTTTGGAAACCCTTTGTAGGAATCATATAATAATTCACATTAGGGGGTTTAAAACCATGAAGAACAATATTATGAGGTCAGTTTTCTTGTGAAAAAATTCTCAATATGATTTCACAAAAAATCAATAAAAACGCACGACGACACTGTTTGAAATTAAGTTCGCCTCTGAAAAACTGTTCATAATGATGATTATAACTACCGGTCCAATTCTGGTAAAGATCGCACAAATAATAGCTGAGATCTAGAAGGGGGGCCATTTGAAACACGCTGTATATGTAATATACAGGGTGTTTCATTGAATTCGGCCTTAATCACTATTCACAAACAAGAACCTGTAGAAGAATTATTTATAGTAAAACACGGTCGAAAATTGGCATTGTTTGATGTGAAACTCGATGTGCAATGAGTAGGTATCACCTCAAACAATGACGAAATTTTGAAGTAATTTGGCAATTTTCTAGTTATTATTTACTTATTCAGAAGAATAAAGCATACTTATTTGACTTTGAGTTTACTGTAGGAAGTAATTGAAATGATTTTGCAAACATTTTCAGAGGTAAGTGCAGTGAAAACATTATCTTATAATGCTTATTTCAAGGAATCTTCATGTTGAAGTTATTTTGCCCTAAAATGTGATACTATATCACATTACACAAGTATAACATTACATGACCATGTGATAATATAGCATGAGTAGTACATGGTCATGTAATGTTATCGAATTAGTATTGTTATAGCATTTGATAGTATCATAGAGGTATTAGAATAGCATGAAAAAGCCATTGTATGATTATGTAATAGTATGAGTAGGTATCGTGAAGTATTTCGCTTGTCCAGCCAAGTCAACCAATAAGAACCTATAGGATAATTTTGCAATTTTCGAATCATGTTTTCCTCTCATGGGGATTTTTACAGGTGAGGGATACATTCGCATGACGAATGGAAAGTTTCCGTGTTCATGTCAAAACTTGAATTAATGACACCAAGTCGATGTTTTTCCATATGCTGGGGATTGTAAAATGACTAGCGATTTTCTTAGATTCGACTTTCGGGACTCAATGGATTTTTTATTTTGCTATCTAGAGGACTGCGGTTTAACAGTCTATAGGTAATTATTTAATTATTACTAGTGACTGTCTGATTCATTACAATAAATAATTATTCTTCACCATAAATAGACTGGAATCAGAACGCCTTAAGGGACATTTTTCATGTCATTAAAGTAATTTCAAAATGAGTGAAACAAGTTATCATGATTGTTCATTTGGTTCCTTCATTCACCTATTCAGCTGCCTTTGGAATATTTCAGTTCTGAAATAAACTTCTGAAAAATACTGGGTTCGGGAAAATTAACCCTGTTTCCAATTTAAACATCTTATAAAAATGTACTAACTCAAATAACTGGGCGAATTGATGCATACTTTCAAAATAGGAAGATGGGAGGCTTTATGATTTGAATATAGTGCTTCGTTGTTATTCTACATCAACAAATGTTTGCATAACATTTTGATGAACGTGATGTGTATTTTCAAATATCTGAAATTTCTGGGTTTATGCACTTCAAACATGATATAGCACCAAACAGCTGAATGATAAGGGGCTCTTGCTAGTCATGGAATCGTACCATTCCAACTGAATGAGGGCCAGTGTTGCCACAGAAATGTTTTTTCGAGCAAGTTGTCGAAAACGAGTGAGATTCAACTCAAAGGGCGAAATTTTGAATTGAATCAATTCCTCAACACCAAAAATACACAATTTTGTATAGACCAAACTCTTTTGTGACAGCTGTCGATAGTGATAAAAAAATTTACAGTCTATCATTTGAAACTATTCTCATTCAAAATAAACGAATCTCTTTATTAGATCTTGCCGAATAGTATTTACTATGTACTTGGAAAGACTGATAAAATGAAATGATTCAAATTACCTGAACAATAACTTCATTACATAATGAATCATGGAAATCATTTATATCTCAAAGTGATCCAAAGTAATTTCAAGAGAAGAGATGCTCAAAGTCGGTCGACCACACTTTATATAAAATACATCAATTATCACATGTAATGTATTACATGTAATAATTGATTTATTTTATATAAAGTGAGGTCGACTTCGAACTTCTCGTTTTTCTTTTGAGAATACATAATTCTCACGTAGAACTAATCAATGATGTCAAGTGATAACTGATATCAGATCAAGTGATTTTCTGCTCAAAATGAAATTTAGTATCAGAGAATCAATATTCTGACATTAATTTGTGTTTGTGTGCTGGATTTGGTAACTTGAAAATAGGGGGGGTGGGGATAAAAAAGCCTATACCTCTAAAAACGTATCACCCTGTAGATCTAAAATGCTTGAACTCCTAGAAACTGTTAGCACACCAAATTTCAAATAGATATCTTCAAAAACGAGCGAGATATTTTGATTAATAGAAAAAATAATTGAACTTTGACCCCCTGTAGATCCGCTATCGATCGGGATTTTACTCATGTTGATATGAACTTTTTGAAATGAAATAATGCGATCTATCACCCATTTCAGTTTGTACCTCAAAACCTCAATGAGGAAAATATTCGATTTCACAATAGTTGTACAAATTTTCGACGAGCGATAAACCCGTCAGGTTTAGTGGTACCCCGTTTTTGAGCATCACCTCTGTT